ATAAATTTCCTTAAGTGAATAGAAGAACTTATATGTTATTTTTGTTATTACTCTTGTTGTTGTTATTACTTTTTTTTTTTTTTTTTTTAATGTGCAACAGGAAATTGCTGAAACAAGCGCAATTTCTTTGTAAAAAGATTTTTCTCGTGTTGTTCTTCTTTATGTTGTCGCTATTCGGGCAACTGTTTGCACAGTAATTTCGCCTGAAGAAATGGTTTGCGTGACAAGAAAAATAAACACGCTCTCGAAGGAAAAAGAGCAAAGGAAGAAGTACATATAACTTTATATAGGATCTGTCTACATTTTGATCAAGATTTTTATTTATAAATCAATTTTTTTCAAATTAAATGATTAATGAATGAATAGTAAAATCTTTGTTGCGCTTAGCAATAAGGCTCAAATTTGGTATTAATTTGTACTTTCGCCAGACTAAGGTAAGAAATTAGTTAAATCGATTGTGGAAATCACCCACGATTCCAAAGTAAGAAACTTTTCTTCTATTCCTTCGGCTTAATAATTTTCCCTTCGGTCATGTTAGATGCGGGGAAATATAATAGATCCATATTTATTGGAAAACTAGTAAGCAGAAGGAGGTTATCCAAAACTTTCCTTTAACTCAAACTTTAAATTTTCTTAAATCATTATACCAAAAATGTTGCCTATATTCTAGTTGAGATATTACAAACGCGCCACAATCTAACATGCAATTACATTAAGGATCTTGCATAAAAATTCCTTTCAGACACATAAACATTCCGAGACAAAAGCCATTTGAAAAGGGAAAAAAAGCGGAAAAAGAAACCATAAAACGAAGTTGTGGTAAACTCTATTAATGAATCAACTCTTTGCATGCGTTTATATGTGCGTTGTCTACTCCAGGCGTACATGTCCGACAGCATCAGCATCACCGAGAGATAGCAAGCCAAAAATTGAAAAGGAAGACATAACGTATTCCTAACGAAAGCAAACGTTGACATCAAAAAGCATGTATTCGGCGTAGACACACACATAAATGAGTTATGCCTACAAGCGCATTTATGTCGGCATGTACTTTCGAACATAGAGAGCACTTGAAGATTCGAGTTTTAAGTATCATATCTGGCACCATGGATGTATGTATTACAAATATTAATCAACCCGATATCTAGCAAATGAATTATGAGAATATCCGACGACTCCGTATGCATAAAATTATTTGAGGAGGACTAGTTTAAATTAGTCGATTCTCGAATCGAGATATCAGGTTATAGTTTATAAAAAATTCTCATCGGTTGCTTCCACTTTTCAATCAGGCTAAACGCTGATCGCAGTATTAGGAACATTAACTAATTAATGCAAAGACTTTTATTCCACGTGAAATTTAGCCATCTTCACTCACGTTTGTCATATAGAAATGCGCGTTAAGCGATAGTTTGCTCTTTTGCTAGAGCGAGATTATCCTCTGTACTATATATTGCTTAAAAGCATGAAGTGTTGTAAAAGAAACAATTACACAGTAAACTAAATGCCACTTAAAATCCTTTGAAACATTAATGAGAAGCACGGACGGATGGGTTGTTTTCTGTGCTGTTGTTGTTCCAATGTTAATAATCCGAAATTACATTGAACTAGCTTGACGTGGGCAACGATTCTAGATATCTCTTTTACCGCACTCCCGAGCTGGTATCGAAACATTCGATGAGAAGTAAAAGCAATTTTAGTTTCTCTTCTTCCGTCTTCTTCGTCATAAATGACAGCAAAATTCACTTAATTATAGACTGAATTCAATTAAATACTTTTCCTATAACTTTGGCTAATAAGTAATTATCGTAACCCATCCCCCCATCCATGCTCGGCATATTTGCGTTTGGTTGTGCTATCCAATAAGTGTTTTGCTGTTGGCGATATACAAACTTGTTGCCATTTAACATTTTCGAATCAATAAACCTCCGCACAGACCTTGGATGTGAGTTCACCAAGAATTGATTTTCATTTTTATATGCAATACAAGATAGAAATTTTCAAGACTTCAAACGTAGTCGTCAGGCAAATTTTATAAAATAACCCTTAACGAAAGAAAAGAGAGAGAAAAAGGAAAGAAAAATCTTATAAATTAAATTAGGCATACGGAGCATATGCTGACGTCCTGTCTGACTTCACACCATTGTCTCAGAATATCAGAAATGTACACATTTTTAATACTTAATAATAGCTAACCACAATGGCGTGTTATTTCAAAACTAATAAATCATTTAAGTGGATACGAACTTTGTTGAATATCTTACCATTAATTAACAGTAAATTTAATTGAAGAGAATAACGTTCGTCTAGTTCACGCAAATGCACGCTAAGTCTGTGTGCCAAAAATTTCCTTCAAGTTAAGTTTTCTTCCATTTTTTTTTTTTCTTGTTTTTGCTAAACCATAACGAACCGAATATGCCACATAAGTGAAAGGGCCTACGCAAAGGGAAAACAAAAAAAAAAAGAAAACTAGAAACAACACAAAGAGAAATAAACTTTTCAAGGTAGAGGAGAGTGAACTTGAAATTACTTATGTACATATATATATATATGTGTGTATATATTTTCATTTATAGACAACACATCGTCTCACTGGTCGCCATTTAATATTTTATATTTACTCTGAACTGAACAACAGTCAGTCAGAAAAAGGTCAGCTGGGCTGGGATCCAATTAGTGATAAGAATCGCAATGTACGCCATATGCCACACGCCATACGCTATACGCTATACGCTATACGCCAAAAGTGTACAGGTTTCGCTTTGTATTTGTCGGCAACGTTTTCGTCGAAAATAAAACACAATGATTATAGCTGTTACCACTGAAAGACGGTCGATTGCGTAAACTTGCAAAAAGCAAATTGAAAAGAGAGAAAGCGAAATAAAACAAGTAAAAAAACTACATTTACCCATAAATACGTTTCAAATACCATAAACACCCACAATAGATCAAAAGTATTTCTAAGTCAAACTAACGAACGACATCATCATCATTGCGGCTAATTGCAATAATAATAATCTAACTTATAAGTGTTGCTTACGAAAAACTGATGTTGAAATTTGCGAATTGTTTTGTGCTTGTAAAAGTCTTTGTTGACATTGCGGGTCCGCAGCTAATGTACAAAAACTCTACAATTTGAAATAAATTAATTCCAGTATATACCAAATTAGCTTGAGGCGATCTTAGCGGAAAGGAAGCGGATTTGGGATTGGCAAACACAAAAGACAAGTGGAAATGAAAAGGTGCCTCGCAATGCCAATGAATGTATGCAAAACTATTAGACTAAATGTAGGTATAATTAAAATAAAATCTTAAAAACGGGCCACGCGGAACCATGTTAGCTCCGGTTACTTCAATTTTTATCTCACTGCCTTGAAGAGTTAATAGCAACTTCAAAAGAGTGTCGAGCCATTTAAAATCGTTTTTCCGAAAATATAATCCGGACTTCGCTACATTTTCACTGATTTATTCAATAAATTTTCGTTTTCCTTTTTATGATACAAAATTTGTAACCTTCAACCGCATAGTAAGGAAAGTCAAGTAAAACTTTATTTTGCGAGTATTTTCTCGCCTCGAGTTTTTGGTTCATGGAATTTCAAAGAATGTCCATAAAAGCATATTAATAAAACTATTCAACTCGCTTCGAAGTAAATGTTTTTATAATTAATAATAAAATAAATATTATATATAGTTATGTAATTTAATATAAAACGTAAGCAAAGGAAGGAGGGCTGAGTCTTCGATATGCACCAATGCACATGCTTTACACTTAGCTTAGCACTTGCGAAAATATCTTTTGAAGGCTACAGCCTGGCCAAGTAGGCTTAGTCCGCATGCCCGGGTTTAATTCCAAATGCCACAGATCATAGTGAATGTTCAGTCCGAAGAACCATAACACTTAGCGGCTGGGGCCGCTTGATACCTCCCACTCTCTCTTTACACTTCTTCTTGACAATCAACATGTTATACGTGTCAGGGCCATTCTCTGAACGAGTGGTCATAATTTCATAAAACAAAAGGTAGCGTTAAGCTTTCTTATACTCTTAAATGTTTGTTTATAGTGTTAATATAGTGAAATCTGTTGAAATATTTTTCAATTCCAATTAGTTATATTCTTCAATATTTCACAAGAGCAATAAAATTTCAAGCGATAGCTCCTTATTGGACTCTGGATGAATAAGAAAAAAGAATTTTTAAATTTTTTGCGCACATAACGTTTCGAGAACGTATCGCTTGGACTCATAAGGCTGACAATGTAGATGAAAGGTGAAAACCTCTTTTTAAGTTTAAATTATTAAAGATTAATTTTATAAATCACATCTCTACGCACATATACACAATGTAAATATGAAATATTTTATTGATTTAAAATGAATGAAAACTGGCGGCTTTCATGATAAGCATAATAAATATTACCTGCGGCCATCTACACCTGTGTCTATACATGTTGCATTTAAAAACGATTTACAAAATGGCGAAAGCTATCGAAAAGAGAATATTTACGTACGACTTTAATGTGTCTTTCAAAAAATTATCCCACTCGGCTACGTGTTAGTTAATATTTCTGACCGGAAAAATAATTATTTTTCAATTAAGAATTTAATTATATTCTCTAGTTTGTTTTATGGCTAATGAACAATGGAATTGCATTGGCATTGTCTTGCATATCAGAGATCCCTTGAAATATATATATATATATATATAATGGGCAGAGATCACGAACTACTGGCACTAGCCATAGAATGGCAAGCGTAACTTGCAGAGGAGTGCAATTAAATGCGAAAATTTCAAAATAAGGATAAACAAGTGTTCAACTATAGCCACGGAAACTCGTATAATTAATAATTAATCGGAAAATTTCTAATATTTAGATAAAGGATTCACCATAAGGCGCATACAAATCTGTCTCCGAATTTTGTTTTTTTTTTTTTTTAATGAATGTGTTCCATACTGTGCCTTAATGTTTGTCTCCTCTTTGTTTCTCTATACTTTCTTTCCAGACAATCTAAATATTTGCAACTTGTATCTGTCCAGAACGTAAAGAACTGACTGTATTCTATACTACTACTCTACTACTCTACTACTACTACTACTACAACTACTACTAGTACTATCTATTACGAACAAAAACAACATAATATACTCAAATCATAAATTTCACAGCGATTTACACCTTTAAGCCACAAACACAATATAACAACGAGAATAAGAGCAACAAAATCAAACACTTGGAAATTAATCTGCACAAAGAATAAATCGAGTATAGAAAGAAAACTACCAACCAACGTTAGCGGAAATAGTAGAACAGTAGAGCACGAGAGAGAGAGAGAGAGAGAGTGAAATAGATAGACAGAGTAGAACAAACTCAGGCGTAGAGGATAATAACACTAGTGTTACAGTAACAGTAGCGGTGAAGATGGTATTAATGAAGCTGATGATGATTTCTCAAGGATAAATAATTCTGATGAATAATTGAGCATTCAGTGCATCATATAAAACGTATTAGAATAAAATCAGAAAGAAAGAAATAAAAAACAAAGGAGGAAAATGTCGAGTGTAAGTTTAATGCAATATATTACGATGTTTATCGTTTTTTATTCAAATTCTTTTATTCATTTTTCTTCCCTTTTAAATATGTATGTATCGATACAATAGCTATTGTTTATGGACGAATCGAATGGTAACAGTATGTATGCTACGACAGCGACAAGAACGGCGCCAAATGCGAATGCGAATGCGAATGCGAATGCGAATGCGAATGCGAATGCAACTAACAACAATAACACTAACATCAATAACATCAACATTCACAATAATAACAATAATTTAAATGCGAATATAAATAGTATGTCAAACAATAGCATCAACAATATCATGACGGCTGCTTCAAGTGCAGCAGCAGCAGCGCCCGCCTGCCTACCTACAACTGCCTCAAACGAGGATCTTAGCCAAAGTCTTTCCGAATATACGGACGCCGATGAAAGCATATCAGCACCAACTGAATTTCTGGCCGAAGTAAGTTTAACAGAAGCATAGAATGAATTCTCTGACGCAATTAAACTTTGTTTGAAACTAGATAAAAAGGAAAGTTTTCTCTCCTTTTATGCTTTTCACTTTTTTTTTTCTTCCACAAAATCATTCCTCTTTCACATTTTACGCTTATCAATGACAAACTGACTGTGTAGCTCTTATACCCGACCCCGGAAAATGGTCTGCCATTAGCTTTGTCTTTTGTGTTTATCAACTCATTCAGACGTCTCTCCTCCGTCAGTGCATGACAACCGTTCTGATTGTAAACCTCGCAAAAAAGTTTGAGGACACGGTTCATAAATTCGTGGCTTATGATTTTACATAAAATTTGCAAATGGGGCTTGACTCGTCTTTAATAGCTGCATAAATGTAAAAATTTGAAAGGAGAGAAGACGAGTTCGGCGAACACAAGGGACTTCTGTTTAAGGCGTAATAAAGACAGTTATCGGACTTGTATAAAACTTCACTGTGGATTGGTCTGCTAGCTGGTTTACTATGGGTGAAGCACTTTGCGATTTTTAAATATTTTTGCTTACTATGCTACGGGAGCGACGATGCGCCCTAAACCGGATTTTTCTTTCGAGCTCGTTTTCATTTCTTTACATTTAAACGTTGAACATGTTAACTCAAACCTTACATAATAGAAGCATTTCTATACAAACTCAGTTAATACCTTTCGTAGCATGGCATGGCGTTGAAAAATAAAATTAGTTTCCTTTTTTCCACAAATTTAGTGTTTCGTTACACACAGAATACTAAAATAAGGCAAAAAACTATAAATGCTTTCAGTCGACTCTTGAATACCCATCACAATGTATGTGTCCAGTGCATTTTAAATTTAAATTGCATTTATAGCATTGCATGTCATGCGAACGAAGGCGAATAAGAGGAGAAAACATGCAGAGGCGTCCCCGCAATGATTATACGAAGAAAAATGGCTGTAGTGAAATAAATTTACTCGTGTTATTTGTAAGGCCATCACTGGTTAGGTCCAAGTGTTCCATGAATGAAACGTCACTCTGCTGTTACGTAAGGAATAAATAAGCGGTATTCTCTTCCATGGTATACTTGTTCTTTGGGGAAAGAAAAGTTTTCCGCTTTCGATGGTAAAAATACTAATAACTGTTTAAATATTTTAATACGTATGTGGGCAAAGTTTTCTTTGCTTGTTTTCCTTTTAAGAGGGAAAACATTAAAATCATAATTATGAAATTGTTAAAGCATAAAATTAATTTTTATTTGCAACCTCCATTAAGCAAAGGGGCGGCTTTTAGCCGAGTGTAATAAACAAACTTCTGTAAGCTTTCAATGTTGTAAACATTGGCAACTGGAATCAGTTAATATGAATGGTTTTGTTTAAGTACAAACGTATTTGTGTGCTTGCTAAAGAAAAGAAAATCATTGCTACGGATTTTTTAATTTTCACTCTCACCGCTCTCAGAGAACAGAAGTATGCTAATTTTGTCTTTCTTTTGGTAACCGGACGGATAGCCATTACATAGGAAAATTCAAAGGTACATTTTTGAATAACTCATATAAATTAAAACACCCTTCTGTTGATGGGAGACGCGTCGATGTACGCCTTACAAGTTGTTAACATTCGTTCTTGTTAATGGCAACGTGATGCATATTCAACTCTTATCTCAATTTGCTTAAAGCAATGTTTTAGCTGACTAGTTGTGACTTTTCATTGTGAATTTCCATGGACTTGACCATGATATGGCAAAGATCTAAATCTATGTGAGGCCTCTACACAAGCTGAATAGTCAGTAGCGGCATTCGGTTTCGTTTCTGTCCTGAACTAGCTTGCAAAACAAGCCCCTAGCAAGTATCTAACTATCACTAACTAACTAACTAACTAACTAACTAACTAACAATATATATATAAATAAAGATTAAACGATTCAAGTGTAAATTGAAAACAAAAGGGAAATAATTTCTGCAAATTTTTGTCAACAGTTTCTCTCGGCTGTCATGCTCAAGGATTATAAAAAAGCTTTGAAATACTGCAAACTGAGTAAGCAAACAAATCTGATATAACTTTAGACTTTATAACGGAAGTTTAATAATAATAATAATAATAATAATAACTGAAGTTTTTAATTCAAAGCAAAAATTCTTTTTATTTCTTAACAAAAAAAAAAAAAAAAAAATTATTCTATTTTGTTAGTTTTACAATACGAGCCGAACAACGGCACAGCAAAAGAGTTTTATCCTCTGATTTTGGATAAACTACGAGGTAAGATAAGGTAGAAAGAAAATACAAAAATGCATTTTTTCTTCATGGGAAAAATTTCAACTACAGGCACTAATTCGAGTGATAGCGATGAGAATTATAATAAATCTTCCTCTTCGCCGGAATTAATATTGGAGGCACCTTCTACGGATCCCTCAACGGGCGAAAGTGATGGAGCAGAGGTGCCGCTAGATGGACAATCGCCTGCACGTATGATGCATGTTAATCTGACTGTAGGTGACATTGACGATAGTTATGGTGTACATGAAGACAATTCCTCAGGTGCGGATCCCAATTCAAATTTAAATAGTAGCAGCTGCAGTGGCAATGAAGAAGGCGAAGCCCCTGGCATTAGCTGTAGCTCAGCAGGCGGCAGCCTAAGTGACTCAGCCGAAGATAACGACGACGCGGAAGACGTAGACGATATAGACGATGATGATGATGATGATGATGACGATGATGACGATGATGACGATGATGATGATGTAGATGATGATGATGATGAAGACATTATCAGCAGTAGCGGCGACGATTTACCCGTAGACGAGCAACAAATTATAATAAGTGATGCCTTGGAACTTGAATCTTCGGCTAACGCTGGCTGTGGCATGATCGCTAATATATCAAATTCGTCCCGAAACTCTTCAAGCGCCGACAAAGGTGCTAGCAGTCGTAGCGATAATACCACTCATTCTTATTCAAGTCTTTTGCTTTTCGAAGAAGAAGACGATATTGTGCCCACAAATTTACATTTTCTTAAAGATTTAAACACACCCGATCTAGATGTCAGTAACGGTATGTCTGTACTTGCATTTCTAATTAATAAATGTTTTTGTTTATCTTTAATATATTATTTACCGATATAGGCAATAAATTACCCTCCACCTCGTGCAGTGATTCGGAATCACCTACAGAACCTCTAACACAAAGATTGGCAGCTATTTTACGTTCAAAATGTGGCGTTGGGCATGCAGAAGTTTAGATTTATTCCCGATTCGCGAGATTTAAACACACATACACACACACACGCACACACGCACACACGCAATCCGAGCATTGATTCATAATTCTTATTTAACTAAACTTTTAAAGAATCAAATTCTATAATCAATCTCTATCTATCTATCTATCTATCTATCTATCTAACTATCTATCTATCTAACTATCTATCTATGTATCTGTCACAATCTTTCTCTTTAACTCTTATATACATATATTTATAGATCTGTAATTTAATCTATTTATTCAAAGCTAACTATGAATGTAATGTTGTGTGTTTGTGTTATGATATGCAACCTTAGAATTTTTCTAATCGCTTATTTTTAGATATATTTTTATCTAGCAACACAAATTGCACTAACAAACTATGCATGCACATGTGTACGTACGTACGATACGTACGCAAATGAATGCATTAAAGTATGTATGTCTTATAAACATTATAAAAGAAATTTAGTGAGCTTATTATTATCAGATAATAATTTAGTAAACAGATTATTAATATAATTATTAAATTACGTATGTGAAATTCAATTTACGTTTATAATTTGTACAACTTAAGACATGAATACATGCATAAGGCACATCAGAGGAAGGACACCAATCAATATCTCAGAACATTTTAATGACTTAACTCTCGTCTAAGTTCGCTTCGTATACTTCTTATCGGAAAGCCAATTGCATTCCTCACGGAGTACATTCTTCTTAAGGATAAACAGCAGAAGCAATGTAACTCAATGATATCCTTCCGTGTTGGCCTCATTTATTTCCTTTTCTTTTTTTTTTGTTTATTTCATATTCAGTTGAGAAAAAATCTCTTCCCATCGAACAATTTCCGGGGCGGACGTACAAAAGTCCGAAATTTTTCATATTCTATTATTCGATATGATACAAGAGCTTGCTTGCTGATGGCCGATAGAAGAACATATCCTACACAACGCATTGAACATTGAAGTTTTATTTAAATAAAGCAAAAATTGATCAACTTATGCATGTATGTATAGACAAGTTATAAATTTAATATTTTTTACTTACTCACCAATCAATAACCGAAGCAATAATTTTATTAATTTTCCCACACAAACACAAACTTCTATTATTACTACTATGGTCCAAATACATATTTTCTTATTACTTAAAATAGAATATAAACAAAAAAAAAAAAAAGAAAAGAAAACAAAAAATATATAGAAAAGGAAACACAATAAAATAAAAAATCCTACATACCTACATACTTATAAACAAAAATATATATATATATATATTTAACAATTAAGCAAGAGAAACCAACATAACACGTATTTGTATACCAGGAAGTATATATATACATATATATATATATATATATATATATATACATCAATATTATAAAATATATAATAATAAATAATTATATCAAACGCAAATCAAATATTTATGTACGATTATATATTATAATATATACACATGTAAATGTGTATGTAACTAAAATGAAAAATGAGAAAAGTAAATCACAAACAAGACAACAAACAAAATATATCGTCAGAAATCTCTGAAATTGTTACATAGCAATAGAAAGACTTAATGTTAGTTATAAGTGCAACAAACAAAATCGGCTTAAGCCGATTAATTCTTAATATTCATCGTTGGCTTGTGTGCAATATATTGTTTAATGGCGAGATATAGGAGGACCGACCCAGTCTAACATCCACCGTACATTGTCGCATGTACATACATTTGTCCAATCCAGTTGGGCCTGTTAGTAGGTGAACTAACGAACGTATTAACATACTCCTTACTACGCTTATCTTGTTACAGAGGATTTCCTCGTAATTGAAAACGAAAATGAAACCTTTTGAGGTTTAAAATTTTAAAAATTTCCTCGTTTTATTTCTGTGAAAAATTGTCGGCGATTTATAATTGCGGATGGATTGTTCAGTTGAATTTTCGAACTTTATCTCAGGCAAAAGGGTAAGAAAAGTGAGAAAATCTTAGTCTTATGTATGCAAAGTTTTGGGATTTACCACAGCACAGACGGATGACAGACACACTACTTAGTTGAATTTATTCGATTCGATCCAGGCTGATCCTGAAGAATACATACAAACACTTTCGGAAATCGCCGACCTAGTAAGCCAGCAACGGTGGTGGTGAGTATAGCCAGGGACAAAATTCTTATCTAAGCATAAAACGCAAATGTAAAGTTTTTGAATTTAATAAAAGCAAACGAAATTGACTTAATTAATATTGCTTTCTTATTGGAACATTCTTGTCAAAATGATTAAGAGGATATGTGTTTGGTGAATTTGTTTTATGCGCAATTTAGTTACTAAAGAAAAACCTAATTGGAATAAACAACACAAAGAAATGCAAAATAAAAATTATTTTATTTAAATAAATGCAAAAAAAAAATAAAAATAAACCTGAAAAGGGAATGCATGAAGTATTTTTTCTTCTCGTTCGTTAAAAACATTTTCGTAAGAGCGGGCATCTGGCACACCTTCTTGTTGTTTGCTTAATAATTTCACTAAGTTAATCAGATCAGAATACAAACCTGTACACTACACTGCCAATTGTCCAAATTTCTTATCAAAGTTCGCGTTCAGCTACGAATAGTGCAGCTACCTGCAAAAGGATCAGTACATTCAAGGTCGTTGGTCATAATCGTTGGTCGTGATCATTTAGGTAAACGATTATTCGAAAAAGTTCTACTCACAAGTATGCCTGTCACGGTTTTCCCGTATTAATAATAGATTTCAGAAGTTCAAGGATTACGGAGAACATTAAAATTGCACATAAAAGGCAGATAAAATCCATTAAGGCATTCTCTTAACGAAAATTTTATATTAACGACATGCGTAACAAAGTCTTGCTTATTTTTTTAGTTAGAGCGTTTTTTTTAAAAGATTGCAGTGTGAATATGCCCCATTCATCATCCTAAGCAAATATAAGAGGAGTTTCAAGAAGGTTTTAATAAAACACCTTTCTTACTATTTCTTATGGGTTTTAACTATCTAGAGTAAAATCGTGTCCAGTTCTTTTTTCTTCTCTTCAAGTTTGCGTTTAAAGGAAGCTCAGGCAAATGAAGCGATGGACTGAGGCATGCGCGTGTTTGGGAAACAGAAAGGAAAAGTGAGGACGGTAGGGAGCACGGTGAATATGTCAGCCATCTTTCTGTCCGCTATGTCGAGACTTCTTTTTGAATTCTCGCATCCAACTAACATGGTTGAGAAGAACTTTACCGATGTCTTATGAAATTTTGGTGATTACAGGGATAATCCATTAGCGAATACTCCGTTTAGCTTCGGGGAAGTTCATGCCACTCGACGCTTCGAAGACACTAAAAACTAGGTTATGTCCCGTTTGCAGTTTATGGCCGCAATTCGAGATCCTAACAACATTTCGTTTAAAGGAAAACCAAAGTTTCCCACCAGCTGTGCGTGGTGTAGTGTAGTTGAAGAAGTTTCATTTTGAACCAAATTGAACAATTCCTATATGGTCCTCGCATTTTAAAAGCGTTAATAAAATCTCCTTCATTCACAATTCCTTTCATTTTAATTCACCGAGAAAGATTGTTGTTAGCAGCGTTTTGCTTCTTTTTAATGAATACCGAGAGTATGAGACAATTTTTTAAAGACTATAAGCAATTCTTAATGCGAATGTAATCTAAGCTCGTACTTCCACTAAAAAATAATTCCGCTTTGCGTGCGCTTTTTATGAAAGCGTGAAAAACATAAGATTTGATATTTTTTTCGTTTAATAAAAATTGTTATTATTTTACTTCATTATTGCACACACGTATAAGAACATGTATGTACATTTATGTATATATATATATATATATATATATATATATAATTACAAAATTCAATTAAATATTTTTTTTTTTTTTTTTTATCATATTACTTGCACTAAACTTGAACTTGAAGTTTTTATTTTATACAACTAGGTGTACATACGTATATACCTGTATATGTGTAATGAATATTAATAATTTCTTAATAAAAACTCTTATAAATTGTCTCAAGTCAAGTTTTATTAAAGATCCGTTGTATTTATGTATGTAAAGAAATGTGAAATTTTATTCCAAACCAATTCAACTGCATAGACGCCTTGGACTCTAGCAAACGCGCGCAGAACACAGAAGAAAATTAAAATTTACCCTACGTCGGATCGCAAATAGCCAGCAGCACTGGCAACATGTAGTTGCGTTGATTGCCCGATGGAAACAATTTCAGCAACATTTTGCAGCGACATTTGTGTCGACTCTGGGTCTGTTTACCGTTAGTTTATTGCTAATTATTCAAAAAATAAAAATTTGAAACATACGCGCGAGAGATCATCTCCCGTTACGAATTCTTGCGGCTGCCAGCCAAAGTTTCGACTACAGACGGACATTACGAAATAGATTAGACGGCTTGAAAGGTCACGTTTTATATGTACACATATTTCGTGAGTATTACAAACGGAATGACGAAATTCTATGCTTCGGGAGGATGAAAATGAAGAAAATTAATTACCTCACTTTTAGCTTTCTTGTCCACGTGTAATGAGTATTCTGTACAAATCGGGTTTTCACCTCAAGATCGCAAGGGTAGTGTTGTGATATGTTGCTATAATAACGTCTACATATATTTACTGTTTGCTTATTAATCTCTAAAATACTACGTTTATATTTTTAATGGCTAACGCTATCCTGCTTGTTTTTTTTTTTTTTTTTTTGTTTGTTTAATTCATTTATTTTCTTTTTAACATAAAAGTTTTTATAATTTTCTTTTTTGTTTTATCAGCACCATAATTATAATTAAAAAATTATTTCATTTTTTAAAACAATATGCAATAAATCAGGTAATGATATATGTTCAGTATTATAAATGTTATAAGAACAAATGAAAATTAAAAAATTAACTAACTTAGCCATTGTCGATTACATTCTTGCAACCTAAGTTAAAAAATCAGGTAAATAAGCAGACATATATTTCCTAAAATTCTTATTCTTCTTATACTTATGCATTTATATACAATTACATATATATGTGTATTCTTATCTAAAACCGAAATTTTTTCTCTATTTCAAAACTGGTTTACGTTCATCGTCCTTAATCGAATTGCGTAGAGTAAAAACAATAAAACTTGTATCAATATATATATCTAGGTATTGTGTGACATGTGATTTAAATCCTTCGCCCCGTATAAAGAGCTAGTGCTGTAATAAGACTTCTTTTCTTCGGTTATATCAGCTTTTTTCAAAAAAAACCAAGTGGAATACCGTCAATTTACTATCGCCGTTATCGTGAGGATCGAATAATTCAACATCGTGTCAATAAGTTCGAAACGTAATCCCAGGCATAAATCCAATTTTATCAAATCGGCTGATAGATGATTACACAAAAAATAATTTCAATATGTGGACACTAAGCCGTAATGTGCAAAAATTTCCATTCTCATCAGTGACTCAACAATTTCGTTGATCTGCTCTTAGACAGAGGTGTGTGAAACATTTAGGAGATTTGGAAAACTTTATGAATGGGCGCACATCGATGCTTATTCCATTGCGTGAAGTCATTCGCACGATTCAGAAATTTTTTTATTACAACACTATCCAGAGAATAAATTCTACGACTAAGGTCTTAAAGCAGTAGCGTATAAGGCTATCGGCTTCATTGAAAACTCGACCGCATTGTCTTTTTTCAACTTTAGTAGCAAAGAAACTTATTCTACATGCATTGTTGTTTGGCAAAGCAGTGAGAAAGCTTAGCTTTGTCGATCTGTTCCCATATTTATAGCGTGAAGAACTGAAACAAAGCACATTTTTTCTTAGCTTAGGCCCGAAAATCAAAGTTGAAAAAATAAATATGAAAATAGAACGTTTGGGAAAGAGAGTTTGCACAATGCCTTTGCCAATACCGTAGAAGAGATTTAACTTGGAGCAAATATTCATCAAAGCAATCCAAAATTTCAGCACAAAAATATATCTATCAGGCAACAGACACTTGTTGACCTAGTTTTACTTATTTCTTGTTTTACACAGTGCGTAAATATTGTTGCAATAGTTTAGAATGACATAAAAGTATTCGACTGCATGGGCAGATGTACAATTGCTTCGGGAATGAACTGAAGAAGGATGTGAGTTATCTTTTTTTGCTTGGTTTATTAATGTTATCTAAGTTAATTGTTCGGGTTATCTCTAACAGGTATTTTCAGAACCGATTTTGCTCTCTTATCTTCTAGGCAACAATATGGATCATGATTGTTAGTAACGATTAATATTTTTTATCTAATCATGTTTTTATTCTTTACTTTTTTATTTGTAATATGCAAAAAGCCAGCAGAGGCCAATGCTTATATAATCAAATTCTCTGCAGTTCAAAAAAAAAAAAAAATGTACTTTGCATCTTTGATGCCCTTTTCACAACTAGGGCATAAAGCCCTACACCACTCGTGGTACAGAGATATTATGTTCGTGCGGACATACGTAACATCCAGAAGAGTGTAGGAGAGACTCATCTTTTATTATAACGATCGATTCATAATCGACCTAAGTCTGCTTGTTCGCCTCTCCGTTCAATATGCAGACTTTCATGGAAAGCATGCCTTTTCATGAAAACAATGTATAATTCTCGATCTATTATTACCAACAAGTGGAAATAACTTTATAGCCGGCCAAGGCCCGTAAATTTTTTTGCTAATTTCGCAAGATTAATCATTGGAAAAAGAAATAGCGAAATGTAAGTCTATCAATAAACATGAATATCAGGATTCATTATCATTCGTTTTTTGCGTAGTTACGCCAAAGTCCACTACGCAACGCAGCACAGTGTAAAAAAGTATTTCGATATTTTCCAAATAGAAGCGGTACCTTTAGGTTGACCAGAGAGCATTTACAGCCGTTCCGATGCGGAATCGATGCGAACGCTTTGTAATGTTTAACAATTTGTCACCAATTTATCGCAAAGATCACGTAGAACTGGAGCGAAATTAACTTCAGTGAGTACTTTGCAAAAGTGACTTCTTCGCAAAATCATTTTGTGCTGGAAAGTTCTGGCTGAGTGGTTACGCTGGCTGCAATTCGATCAAACTGGCAGAGCGAACTTGCATTAAAGCAAGCTATGCTCTCCAAAAGTTAATTATTTAACGAACATACATTCCAAGGCGGCAGCACTAATAAACTACATCTTTTCTCTGTGATCGAGGAGTTCAGCCCAGCAGCTTCATCGGTTCTCTTAAATAAGTTGTTTAAGGGGGCCGCAAAGGCGGCGAAAGAATCAAATAATTGGAATGGGATTTGCACGATCATGATTATACCTTGAAAACGTATAAATTCTACGCGAATTTAACTAAATATTGAAAATATACTTGTATTGAACTTTAACGTAAATACTTATTACTATATATTCAAGCTGTTTTAGTTTTTAAAAGAAAAAGCTGGCAATAATGATATACTTTCAAGCAAGTCATTCGACGAATCAATAAGAGATGAGAATATTTTGTGTCTCCATTTGCATGAAAATCCTTTAAAATAGTTGATATTCTCAAATGTCATTGTATGAGAAATTGTTACCAGCGAATTCCTTATCAAAAAGACATACGGATTAATTTTTAACATTTTAACGGTAAGTTTTTTTTTTTTTTTTTGATTTTTAACTTTCGACTAAATGAAGTTTTAATAATTTCTTTTCGGTATATATATACATGAAAAGTAAAACTAAGAAATGCTTTTGTATTTACTAATAGACTTAAACCTATTCACTTACATATATAAACATATACAAAAACTATCTGATATTCTCTGTTATTGTTTAAATAATTGTGTTTTAACTACCTTTTTTTTTTTTTTTTTTTTTTAATTTTGTGTTTAACTTTACTTTTTAATAAAATGTGGTACTTTGTTTATTTTCATTATTTGTTTGTATCATAAAATCAGAAACTTTAAATATTTGATGTGTTAATTAACTGAAACACAATTTCAAATTAAGAAATGTGTGACAGTTAAAACATTGTACTTTCAGTAGACGAAGAAATGAAAAAATTTAAAGAAAATAAAGAAAAAAAAAAAAAGGTGTAGAAAACATAAAAGAAAGAAAGCATACATACATACATATGAAATTTTTTTTTTTTTTTAAATGTAACGAGAAGCGGTTTAGGAGAACTTTTATTAGGGCAAATATTTTTTCACACTTCTTCAGTATGAAACGGCCGTAATGAACGAACGAATTCTCACCCTAAACTCCTTTAAACTCCACTCCCATAAACTATAAATAAGATAATGTTAACGGCAAATCTAATAATGGCAAAAGGAAATTAATTATAAATGTATAAGAAAAAAATTAAAATCATTTATTAAAAACAAATTAGAAAAAAGTATAAACTTTCTCGCTAAACAAAATAATTACACAAAACATAACTTAATGAATAAGAAATCAAACTTAATTTGAAATAAACAAAACAAAAGTAATTTTTAAAAAACGTATTCGGTTGTATGTAGTTTTTAGCTATATGGATAGGCCCTTACAAAATGTGAAGCAAGGGCCTGGTAGACATGGCAAATGATTTATTTAGGAAACAGGAGTTTTGTTTTCTCTTTTACTGGACATAATCTTATCAGAGAGAGCTTTTGAGAATTTGTTTTTCTGATTTCTTTTATTTTAAAGGTGTAGGGTAGGTGTAAGTCGTGAGGATATCCGTCAATGAATTTGTCTTCTCTAAAATGTTTCTCACTTTTCCTAACTCTATACTAAACATTTTTATATATATATATTTGAAATTAATTCGCTTCGACTCCGCTTACTTTAACTTTTTGCTTAATAAATATGTTTTCATTTTTTCTCATAATCCTTCAGCTCCTTCTTTCTCGTGATCTTAAGAGTAATCTATAAAAATAATAATAACTTTATTTAAACTTAATATATACTAGAAATTATTTTTAAAAATCTGTTTCAAGTGTGGACTCAAGAATTTTGTCGAAACACATATCATTGATTATTTTTTCACGATTTAATTTGCATGAGTGGTGGCGCGCTTTGTAAGAATAACAAAGAAAATCACTCTTCCTTCACAGCTTGTCTTCCCTTATTTTTAAAGGGCAGGAAGAGTGATTTAATACCTTTTCTATAAACAGCTGCTTGTATCTCTTGCATCGACGCTGTTTATATTGTTTTCTATCAATAGTTGTGTGAGTGCATATTTATTGAGTTGTGAAAACCTTTCCATTACACACGAAGAGGATAAACGAGCCTCTGCATCATGATCCCAACATTCTTCCATAGTATCACATATGTTACTGATACCCTAAATAAGAAAAAATAAACACAATAAGTTCGCTCTCCTTGCAAATAATTGGACAAAAAAGACCTAAAAGAGGATTGTGCTGAAGGCATTTTAAGCAAAACTACAACATACAGACGAAACAAGTTTTTAAATTTATCCAGAGTATTGACTCTTGAAAAATGCTAGTGAAGACTGAACACGGTTTTTCAACGCGGACATTACGGATTAATATGGAATAAGCTGTTGACCTCAAATACTTTAAACAGAGCTAAACGTATACGAAAGCGTATATGGCAAATACAATAGAATATGAAAATATGCAGTCTTCCGTTTAAAATGAAAAATATCATTAACCCGGCCTTTAAAAGGTGTAAAACCCCTTCCATAATATTAAATTGTTTTACTCGTACATAGTTTCTACATTATGGGTGAAAGTTATTGAAATTTATATATGCTAGGACGACATTAACGTTTCAAACCTTACCGAATGTGAACGCCACGAATTTAAAATTTGTGGACGCAATTTCTTCATTACAACATTTTCTTGTACTTCCTCTAGGGTCGGCCCTTGGCCAAGCTACGATCAAAAAAAACAAATAAAGAAGAAAATTTAATACACAAAACCGTTATTAATCAATACGAAAAATCCCACCTCAGCCTCAAATGGCAACAAGTATTCGGCAGGAGGCTCTACAGCGTCACACCTTGAAACCATCTCCCATAAAACCAAACCGCAAGCATAAACATCAATCTTCAAGAAAGCGTCCCGATTGAAATTGATGGCACCCTCTAAAACTTCCGGAGCCATATAACGTCTTGTGCCTACTTGACCGTGAGTATCGCCACATGATTTTCCTACCATACAACAAGGTAAAATAATAGATAAAAATTTACTGAAAAATTTCACTATTTACACAATTACCCGGTTCAAAAATCATAGCCAAACCAAAATCGGCTATACATGCGGTCAAATCCGCTTTTAGTAAGACATTTTTCGATTTAAAGTCCCGATGAGCAATGGACGGTTTAAGACCTTCAGTATCCGTGGCAGGTATTTCCTCGTGCAAGTGAGCTAAACCGCAAGCCATTGTCTTGGCAATTTTACTTAATTCGCTATAAGAGATTGTGTGCGATTTTAAGTAATCACACAGCGAACCATTGTGTTGATAGGCAGAAATTAACCAGAATTCCGGTTGCATTTTATCTTTATGCTTTTCATGACCTAAAAATTCCAATATATTCGGATGATGCATACGAGGCAACTAAAGGGAAGATGAGAAACAGAAAAGTATTAATTAACTGTTAGGACTGGGTAGAGATGCAAGAGAGTTATTTGAGGATCCATTCCTCCATTTATATATGTACTTTGTAAATTTCCAATTCGGTATTCCAAGATTCTTTTTCTTGCATGCGAAATATCTTAACGGCCACGTCTTGATTGTGTAGCTTGGCCTGCCAAACATCTCCGAAACGTCCGCTAGCCTTAAGTTCCAGTAGCTGTATAGGCCGATTACTTAGCAAAGGCGACGAACTGTTTACTTCAGCTTCATTCTAACATTTTCGGGAAAATACGATTTCCGATTTATAAACAATCAATGCAGGTAAGCAAATGTAAGTCCACTTACCGTTGGTATTTCATTAAAATGAGCTTGTTTCCGCCTTCGGTATAAAAATAAACCGATGCCAGTAATAATTATTAATACTGCCAGTATAACTGAACAAATAATGATGTATATCAGATCATTATCTTCCGGTGTCTTTGCTTTTGGCACTAAAGAATGAGATGGAAAATATGATTAGAAAAAGTCCTGAGGGTTGCGCATTCTGAATTCTCATCAAGCAGGAATGTTTGGTTTTGTATTTTTTTTGGGAAAAAACCCCGTATTTGAACACTCAAATGAAAGAAATAGTTGAAGAAGATATAATATGACACACAAAAAAGTATAGAATGAAAAAAACCTACAGGTGAACAACATTTCAAGTGGCCAAATAAAGAGAAGAAAAAAGTTTGATGCCAAAAAAAAAAAATATTAAAAATAAAAAAATAAAAAATGAAAAATGAAAAAAGAAATTCGAAGATGAGTACCAAAATAACATGAACATATGCAAATACATATAAATGTATGTATGAATGTACGAAGACATGAAGACATAAACTCCTGTACCTAGTAACTCACACAAATATGATGTTGATGGCGTTCTGAGAGGTGCACAAAACTTAGGCACAAAAGTATTTGCATTTTATTTTTTTAAGATATAAAAAGAAAAATGAAAGTTCCCCCAATTTGAAAAATAACAAGTGAATCAACAAGAAACGTGCCTAAAACGGAAAAAAGTTAAGCTGCACTAACACAACTAACCGCATCATTGAAATCATCAGTGCAATCATCCTTCATGCACCCAAATCAGATCTGCCAGTAGCGGCAGATCTCTCAGTAGTAGCAACAGTGAAATCATCTACGTCAAGGCTTTCATGAGCAGCATGGGAAAGAAAATGCACAAGGATATGCAAATATGTATACTTGCTACTATGTACGCCGACAAGGCAAGGTAAGGCAAGTAGAGGCAACCAGGCGGTCTAAAGGACATTAGTATACATATGTGAAACAACATGAAATGAAAAAAAAAAAAGAAGAAAATCAAAAACAAGCAAAAATCATAACAATGAAACGAACGTGTAATACAACCAATAAAATGTATGTACTTGCAACATATGGGCAAACAACCTAACTTATATATGCACTTTTTTGTTATTTTCATTTAAGCATGAGCAGATGAACCCACACACAATCACCATCTCACACACTAGGCAAAACTATATGACTGTAGAGCTGCAGAGACTTTGCAACGTTATAAAATCTCAGTAGATAGAGTTCGTTAACTTGGCAAATTGTATGATGAACATAAACAAACAACTAAAATGATCCCTTGCTATTTTTGCTTAAGCTAACACACGTACACATATACGTAAAATTTGTTGTATATGAGGTTTATAGCAAAAACTCTACTGTTGTTGGTGCTGATACACTGCCGCTGTCGATGTCGATGCCGATGCCGATGCCTATGTCGATACTGATGCCGCTGCTACCCGCTGATACTGATGATGCTGTTGTTAATGCTGCTGCCATCGCTGCTTTATAAACGTAACGTTGTATACGTTTTGTTGCTTTGAATAGGAAACATACATAAAAATTGGGGTAAACATGGCATTGTGGCTCATTCACACGTGCTGAATCATAAAAAACAAGAGGAAAAACAGCAAAATGAAAAGAGAGAAAAAAAAAAAAAGACCCTAGTCCTGAAATCCCTATTACATAAAAAAAACAAATGCAGCAGGTAACGTTGAAAAGCACAGGCGCATAACGGCTTCATTGGGATAATATTAACAATATTTATGTATCTTATGTGTTAGTGGCTAAGTTAGGGGATTGATGCCAATACTCAAATCGAAAGGATTATGCATAAAAACTTTATCGAACGTACCTGGTGTTGTTGCCTCGGTGGTAGGGGGTTCCCATCTCTGGTCCGTATTGCACATTGATCCTCTACAGCAGCAAAAATAATAGTTACCCGATCGTGTGTAATTTGTAACACATTCAGTTTGATTACAATCATCTATCTGAGTAAAGCAACCCTTCATTTTAATATGGACTTCACCTGCATTTAAAGCAGAAGAAAAGATTAATGAATGGCAAATATGAAATGAACTTAAAATAACAGCGCACACAACAGCAGTAATGTGATATTATAATAGGCAAGGGAAGAATAACTACATCATACACACTTTGTGTTTAAAAGAATTTTATTGACCTTCTTCAAGCTAACTTTCGTAAATTTAAATTAAAGGCTTTATTTATTTAACTTATTGTTCAACTCAAGAAATTCAACTTTATATCGATCTGATTGTTGCCAATTTCCTCATGTAATATCATTTAACTATCTCTGCAAATTCAAAATCAAAATCTTCTGAATTGAATGAAAATAAAATTTGGAAACCTTCAATAAAGTATTGAACATATTTGCAGCTCGAAGAACTTGATATTCTAAGAACTTTACATTCTCTACAAAATCCGCTCATATGTCCGTCACTACACCTCGGTACGCACATGTCCATAAGAACGGATATCAAGAAGCTGATCACACAGCAGATCTCCATTAATTTTACTGTGTTGATTGGTCGACCCAGCCTCTAACCCCCTATCCCGCTCTGCTACAGTTCACAGTTTCAAACGAAAAGAAACAAAGTATTCCGCTTTCCAATTGATCTGACCACTACCAATGGAAGATTAATAGTACGCCTCGGAAGACAAAACATTTTGTAAAGTAAGTAAGATTATACGATACGTTGTGGTAGATGCTTAAGGTAGATAAGCTTATCAATAATCGTTTGGCGGCAACATTAAGAACCTTTCGCGAAACTTGATGTTTTTGTGATGTTTTTATTAATAATCTGTTGTGCGTAGCAACAATATTTTCGTATTGCACTCACCTGTTACTTTATCAATGGACCATAATACGTAGCAATCCGATAATTTATCCGATTCAGTTTCGCAGTGTTCCACTTTGGTAGCGCAATCGCCTTTTTCTGTACAATTAGTCTCATTAAAAAATTCGCAGTCGATTTTATGACTTTCAGGCGGCAAAATGAAAGCCTCTGATAAGCTCAATATTCGTAACATCATCGAGATGCCTAAAAAAAAAAAAAAACAAAAAAAATAAATAAAAATAAAAATAAAACGGCAACGTAATAACTAAATTATTAGAGGAAGCCAAACAAATTGTAAAAATGAAAGCCGAAAAACCAAAACAGTATAAAAAGAAATGAGGAAATAAAGAAAATCGAAAGTTAATATGTATTTCCACACGGGAGGGATATTTTCGGTTATACTTGCTTGCCACTATCAACACTCACGAAAGAAATATTCAGTCATAGAGGAGGAAAAGTAAAATCATTGAATGAGGAACCGACTGCTCTTCCTTTACTATAAAATGCGAAAACTACGACTACGGGGGCTACATACGTAAACATAAACATTTTTTTGCCATCCATTTTTTATTTCTAATTCACGCGTATTTCCTCTTCTCTCTCTCTCTCTCTCTGTACCCTGCTTGAAATTTTTACTTCTGTACAGCAATTATTGCATTCGTACAAGGTGGGAGTTGGTTTATATGTAGCAGATTATAAACATTACATATTTATGTATGTATTTTATGTATAATATAAAATACAAAACAGTTAGCTTATATATATTTACATATAGTTGTATGCATATATATATACGTATTTATGTATCCATGTATGCATGGAACTCTCTGCATGTATAAAAAAAAAGGATGAAAATTTTTCCTTTGTACTCATATCAATTGCACGCTTGCTTTTTCATACCGAACACAGATGTAAGGAAGTATTTTACATTTTTTGTTTCGTTTGCGACATTTATATGACATTCTGCAAGGTTTGCATGTTATCTAGATCGATATCTTTCCCGCTAATAGTTTGCAAATATAGATTGCGATCAATATTTTATCAATTATATAGTAAATAGCAGTCGGGTTGAAAAATCTTTCCAGGAAAATTGACCAAACGGACCATCGACAAGGAATTTTTTCCATTTTCATATATTTATTTTGATTGAGGAGCTTCCCGGGTTCGCTCTAAGACGTAAGTAATTTTCTCATTTATTTTCACTATCATCTTCGTATATATAGTAATAGTGTAGAGTTCTTATCGTTGCTGTCATTATTGTTGTTATTGTTGCATTTGCTATTGCTGTTGCTGTTGCTCTTGCTATTGAGGGCTTTAACTATTCATCCATTGCTGTGCTGTGTGCGCGCTTATTTGTCTTATAGTATAGTTGGCGGTGTAAATTGAGTATCAAAGCTTCGTTTACGTACACGTATATATATATATATATATATATATATATGTTTTTCAGTTGAGTAAGGACATGCTCAATGGATTTGTGTTTACTTTGTTATTTATATTTCTATTTTTATGAATATGTATATATGTTTGAGTGTTTGAATGATTGTGGCGCCAATCCTTCATTTATTACTAAATTTGGGTAGGTTATCTCGGTATAACGAAGAATTGAAAAAAGTGTTTAAATAAATTTATTTTACTATTTACATGGCTGAGAACGAAAGACTTTGAAAAATAATCTACATAAAAGAACTTTGATCACCTCATGAAAATGAAACAAATATAATAATACCCCTAATAAGCACACGATCCGTAAAGGATCACGACGACGAAACGATATTGACAGCAAATGCTGCTCGTCTCCGCTTACTTTCCATTTGCAGCATAGACCTTTTTGTAAAATTCGCATTTTTTAAAATCTGATTTACTCGTTTGACTTCGCATTACTTTCTCGATTTCATACATCAAGTTCGAGCACAAGTATGAACGATATCGATGATATAGAACGCTTAAATAATTTCGAAAGAAATCTTCAAGATATGATTAGTGCGTAGACTTTGCCCTTTGTTTCGTTGAATGGCACTGCCAAGGAATGGAATAAGTACTCATACACACATGCGCACAGATGTATTTTTGCGTACATACGCACGCATAGGTCTACTCAATAGATCTTGTTGCCGCACAATTATATTTGTGATGCATCTGGAAGGATTTGAAAGTCGAGAAATAAGCACATAAGTCCCTTACATGTATAAAATATTATATGTTCGTGGTCACCATACTGATTTTGAAACAAGCCAATCGTGGCGGACTGTAAGTTGACACATGTATTAATGTATTAGATCGGTACATCAGTTTAAAAAATTATCAAAAATATATTTACATTAAAAATAAAAGGAAAGCGTTTACATACTAGTCTCTGAAGGCGTCGGATAAAAGTGATTTTAAGTGAACCGTTTGCGACTAGATAATTGATGAAAAATTATAAAAGGAGTGAAGTGTACTTGTGAAACTTGCCCCAAAATGCGAATTTGTTTGTATATTTTTGGGTGAAGGGCGTACTCCTCTTCTCAAAACGTTTGTAGCGTCTATAAGGAAGCTTCGAAAGTATATATACTCTTGATCAATATCAAATTCTGAATCGAATCCGTCACCGTAAACATTTTCCTAGCCGCAAAAATGAAGCTGTTGACTTCAAATTTAGGAGAAACATTAGGAGGTCTTGACAAATGAGAACAACTCGGCCTTTTAAAAGAAATAAAATTGTGTTTTTTGCTCGTTACTCATAAAAACTGCAGCAGATAAAAGTACAAAGGTTTGAAAGCATATTCTCTAGGCGACTTTGTAGTAACTGCAGAAAAATGGAAATAAGTGGCCACGCCTACCTAACATAATGGTATATCAAAATTTAATTTCTTGGCTGCCTAAACATTTCCTCCTGTTCGTCTGTCCGTGTGCCAAACTGCTTAATATCATTCATAACATTCAACAACATTCTCCCAAAAACTTTTACTTCAAAAATAGAAAAAATCAGCAACGCCCGCTCCCTATTACAAATTAAACATTTGGCTCTTTTCCTTTCTTTGTCTTCTTTAGGATAACGGTAATGGGCATAAAAAATTCGATAATGACCGAATTTATGTCTTACTTGTTCTTTGTAATTAGTTTAACATGAACATAACTACTAAACTTTATTATTATTCTTATAGCGCTATTTGAAATCGTTAGTCTACAGTAGTAGAAGATTCGTTTCATGCACTATCAACGAATATTAAAAGCAGTATTGGTGAAATTGGCCGACAGTTTGCAAACAAAGTGTCCAAAATCGCGAATTGATGGGATTCACTTTTGGAAGACGACCTATTGTGGCAATTTGAACGATGTTATAATATTTGAACCCTTTTTTTAGTTAGATTTGGATCAGTTGGTAGTGGCTGGCTGTGCAAAATAAAAACGCAATAAATCGAGAAATAGAGATCATTTTGTTCCCGCATAGTAATTCTGAAGGCTAGAAAATTATGCGAAATTGTTATTATAGATGTTAACATATAGATATAAAGACTCCAATTTTCAGTTTGAAGATAGGCCTGCCCCTTACATTTCGTCAAGAATAATTATCGAACGATAATTAATGGTTTGAAAATCAAGGAAGATTACTAACCAAAGGTGGTTTTTATCGTTACATGAAGCACTCGCCACATAAGTTATAATATTATAAAATGCGCTTTCCTGTCTTTAGAGATTACCAAATTGAAGGTTTGTGGAGAGTTACGTTATATATTGAAAACTTAGATTTATATCAAACCCTTAATTAAGCGAGTTTTCGATTTACCAACTAATAGCATAATATATAAAAAGCGTATGCAGTAAACGATTGAAAAAAGTAGATCACTCGCTCACTATTTTCACCATGATGAACACGCCTAAATGCACACAAACATGCATTTACTATGCATTTAAATAATAAAAAAAAAAGAAATCTTTTTTTAGAGCTGTCCCTTTTGAAGTCAAAAAAAAAAAAAAAAAAAATAGGAAAAATAAAAAAACAAGGGTTTTATGTACTTGCTTAAATGTGCTTGAATGCTTATATGTATGTATTAACCTAGAAAACGGTATATCATCAAAAGTTTTACGAAAAAGTAATTATCTAAATCTTTATTCATATGCATACAGTTATCGGCAAAATTACGTTAAATTTTAGGTAAATTGAAATGGAATAAAGCGTTCGAAGACAATGCAAATGTTTTTCCATCCACTGTATGCAAGTCTATGGGTACAGTTTTACTTATTTACTGAAAGGCTAGAACTTAATGAAAGAATAATTCAGGTCACTTTCCCGTAATAAAATATACACTTTTGTACTTGGATAAATTCACAAATTTTCACCAAAGGATTTGAGCTTTAGAGGTGCGGAACAGAAAACTTCTACCCAATAAGAAGCAAATAATTTACAATTCCACAATCAGGAAAGTCGCTTATTCGTATTATGACGAATCACAATTGTATATATAAAATATTTGCTCGTCGGAAGCAATACGAAAGCCAATTGTTAATAAACCATACCAGCCTCTCGAACAGCCCAGGAACTGAATTTCAAAAGCGCGGTGCAATGTAATTAGATTGAAAACCTCTATAGTAAAATACATTGCAAACCAATGTCCTACCTGCTACAGTATTTTACATCACGAATATGTGATACGTATACCTATTAAAGTCGCGGACTATTTACAAGTGTTTTTCTGCAATAATAAGATAATATTTTTAATGTGATCTCTGATATGTTCTGTTTGTATGCTAAAATCAGAACCACAAATCCCGTATACACAATATTTCATCGTCATAGTGATACTATGCCTAAAACCATTTAATATTTATCTAAAATCAAGGATCTTTTACTACAGTGCCAAACAATTTGATAGAAAATGTGGGAAAAATTTTCTATCTCCCCGATAATTTGGGCGTTTAGTTAGTCAAGTCAAACTTGAAAAGTAGCTGCCAAAGAGAATTGCGCTTATTTTAGAAAGATCAAATGTGCATACACCTATTTTTTATCAATATGCAACGAAGAAAATTGACTAAAAACCTTTAGTGAATATTTCTAATAATTGAGAAACAAGCGTAAATATGTGAAGGAAACTTTATGCAAACGCCAGAATCCTTTTAAAATACGTAATTGCAGGTATTTACAAAATCTGAAGCAAATCTGGAACAATATAGAATAATTCCGTTCATTTTTACATTGATTTATGTTGGGATGAATTTTCGTATTGCAATGGTTGGAAAAGCTACACTTTATACATTTTTGAAACGTGTATATAATTGAATTACACTTCTCCTAAAATATGAATTATACGAAAATTAATCATACAAATAAACATACGCGCACACACTACATCCTATTATAAAAACCTAATTTATTTCATTTATTAAATAGAGAGAAATTGAATATTATAAATATTGAAAAGAATGTGGGCGAAAAACAGATGTATTAAAAACAAACGATAACATTAGCAATAACAAAGACGCTACTAAAATAATGAATGAATAGAAACCAGATTAAAGAGCGACAGTGAATTTTATAGTTACTTACCTAAATACACAAGAAAATTCGAATAAAACTGCAGCATTTTATTTTGGAATCATATTCTTTGAGAGCAGACAAGTAGGAGAACAATTTAATGGAAGAACATGGTTTGCTAAAATAAAATCCAGGATTAGAAGTCCCGAGAGTGGGCGGGTATTTTTTCTTTTCTTTAGTTAAAAATTGGTGGTTGTTTGTTAATTGGTTGTGTTGGTGTTGATTGTATATATTGGCACGATTGCTTTTTTTTTAATTTCAAACAAACTAGAATTTTTAATTGCTCTTATTACAAAGTATATTTTCTTTAAACATTTTCAAAAAACATTGTAAATTCAAATACGATTTTATAAAGGTTTTATTTTTTCTATTCCGATCGACCGAGAAGAACTTGGGCGCTTCACTGGCGCTAGTTACTGTTCTGCACATTTCCTTTTTTACGTTCGATTTTATTTTACTTTATTTCTCATACCATTTACACTTTGCCTTTTCTTACATCATTGTAGCTTTATTAAGAATTCATTTACTGCTTCCTTTAGAATAAATTAACTATATAACATTTTACCAAGTTTTCTTAAAATTTTTCCGCAGAATTTGTTGCTCCCGTGTTATTTTTCGTACGTTTCCAGTGATGCTAACACGTGCTTCTGCTGCTAATTAACTGTTGATTTGTTAATTGAAATCCGCTAATATTTTAGGGTGCCATTGCATTCATTTAATTCTACATGGGTTTTTGGCATAAACGTTTATCAACTTTTACACCCACTTTACAAAATTTTAGATACATATTACTTGTATCATCTTCTTTAAACAACTCTGTGTGTTTTTATTTAAGTTTACGCTTTTAAGCATTATTTTTTGTTTTCTAAAGTTAACATTACTCACATTACTTTTTAGCTTATAGAAACTTTGCTACCATTTCCTTGCTCGGAGCACATTTATTGGAAAGAGATGAAAATATATCAAGATTTCACTGAAAAATATACATATTTCTCTTGCATAACTTATAAATTTTTACAAGTTTTTACGATATTACGACAAGAGTAGTTATCAGCACTGACCATTCCCTATTTAAAGTCCTCTCAAAGATGTTTATTAACTAACACTGCATTATAATCATCTTGCTGTTGTAATTATGAAATGATCGCTATTTAATTTATAGCAAAGTGTTGTACGCTTTGCGTATGTAAAAGAACATGTGGGCAACAGGTCTTCATGGTCAACGAAAAGTCACGGCTCGAACAAGAACATTTGAGGAAAACCATAATCCGCATTCACTAATTTTTAGTATAAAATAAAAAAAAATTATTCTGTTTTTCTTATTTAAATTTAAAATCCATATATTTGTTTTTTATTGGAGCAGTTTGTTTTGAATTACAGAATTTGATTCTATCGTCATAAGTCGCTAATTACAATCACAGCTGTACAGAAAACTACAAGCCATGGAGAATAGAAAAGATGGCTGATATTGTGTCATTAGTTTTGTTCCTGGCAATACTATTTCTTTGCGAAACGAAACAATCGGCTTAATCTTAACAAAAGTTTCCATTATTAAAGTAGATTAATTTTGAGTTTGCCTAAAAAATGTTAAATCGCAAACGTCGTGCGAGTTCGATATCAAGTAAGCAGGATGAAGACCTTGGACAATTAGATGACTCTACTCCAGAGCACTCGCCGGTGATGCAACCAACATCTGCGGTGATTATTACTTCAGCTAGAAAAAAACGCAAGTTAGATCCAACCGAATTATGTCAAAGTCTTTACGATTCCATACGAAATCTGAAAAAAGAAGATGGTTCCATGCTGTGTGACACTTTTATACGTGCGCCGAAGAGACGGCAAGAGCCTTCGTATTATGATGTGGTCAATAATCCGATCGATTTGCTAAAGATACAACAAAAATTAAAAACAGATGTTTACGATGACTTGGACGAATTAATGCAAGACTTTGAATTGTTAGTTAAAAATGCAAAAGCTTTTTATAAGCCTGATTCCACAGAGTATCAAGATGCAGTCACCTTGTGGCATTATGTAGTGGCCAACAAGCAAAGGTTGATGGAATCTTTGGGCATAGCAACGGAAGAGGAGCCAAAGCTTAAAAAAGGACCACGAAGCGCCCGGAGGCTAACCGCTACAGGAGATGAAGAATTAAAAGATGACGATATGAACCCTTATGAGGAGCTGTTTGCTTCTGTCATGACTTCTGTGGATACCAGTATGAGTGACAGGCCTTTACATCGTATGTTTCTGTTGTTACCTAGCAAAAAGGTATATCCCGATTATTACGATGTAATTGAACATCCTATTGACTTAAGGTTAATAGCCACCAAAATTCAAACAAATGCTTATTCAAGTTTAATAGAAATGGAACGTGATTTGCTTCAAATGACCAAGAATGCTTGTCAATTTAACGAACCCGGCTCTCAGATCTATAAAGATGCTAAGACTTTGAAGAAAATCTTTACGCAAAAACGAATTGAACTCGATTCAGGCAAAACTAAAATTATGCGCAGGTCAAAGGGTCTATCCAGTTCTGCAATAGCTGCATTAAAAGAAGAAGCAGATAGTTCGGATGACGATGAGACCAGTAAAAAAGGCGAAGGCCCTATGTGGGCTTTATTTGATCATCTGTATAACGCGCCTGGCCATTCAGAGCACCCAGGGGCGACTGGTCCGCCTTTAGGTACCTCGTTATGGAAATTGCCTGTACGTAGGTTTCACCCGGAATATTTTGAATTAATAAAGCGTCCAATTTCTATGTGTCAAATTCATACAAAACTTAATAAGGGTGAATACGCCAACATAAGCGACCTCACGGGAGATTTGTATTTAATGTTGGACAATGCCAAGAAAGCATATGCTGCTACACACCGAACTCATAAAGACGCCGTCAAAATGCTAAAGCTAATGAATGCTAAATTAGTTGAAGAGTCCTTGGATCAAGAAACCAGTGAAATGGAAGAAGACGAAGAAGATGAGGACGACGAAGAAGTCGAGCATTTAACTGGTCCAGGCAGCACTGAGCCGCAGCCAGAGAAAAAGAAAAAAGGTAGGCCACGCCTTAATCCAATTCAGCATAATTCGGTTGGCAACACCACTCCTATTACTTCAGCTACCAATATTTCACCAAAATCTTCTCGAATACCAATAAATGCTGCATTAAAAAAGAAGATCCTTAGTATACAAAAGTACTTGGTCGACTACACCGTTAACAATCGTCGTCCAATAGAGTTATTTATGGAAAAACCACCTCGTAAAGTCTATCCCGATTATTACGACATAATACAAAATCCTATCGACATGAACACGATTGAACATAACATTAAAACGGATAAATACAAGGATTTGGAAGACGTGGTGGCCGATTATCGTCTAATGTTTGCAAACTGCCGCCAATACAACGAAGAAGGTTCGACCATATACGAAGATGCTAACATTTTAGAAAAAGCTTTGAATGAAAAACTTAAGGAATTTCCGGGTCTAAATGAAATTAAGAAACCTTTGCAGAAATCAAACAAACTGGGTCGCCGTAGAGGCAATCATATACCCGTAACTGATAAGTTATGGCAATTTTATGAAGCTATACGTGATTATCAAGAACCTAAGGGTAAACGTCAACTCTCGCTAATTTTTACAAAACTGCCATCAAAAACGGAATATCCTGATTATTATGACATTATCAAGGATCCCATGGATATGGAGCGAATAGCTAATAAATTGAAACAGGCTTCGTATGAGTCCGTAGATGAATTAGCAGCTGACTTTTTACTTATGCTGGAAAATGCCTGCAAATATAATGAACCGGATTCTCAAATATATAAAGATGCCTTGGTTCTGCAACATCTAACTCTGCAATTAAAACAAAATTTGCGTAATGATCGAGAATCTGTGCCGGATGTTTCCCTGGCTGTTCAAGAGCTTTTGTTAACTCTCTTCACTTCACTGTATAACCATCAAGATGAGGCAGGTCGCTGTTACTCCGACTCATTGCAGGAATTACCAGAATATGATGAGCTGCCTGGTGATCAAAAAGTTCGAGGTATCTCTTTGGATTTGGTCAAACGTAGGCTGGATAAGGGTGTTTACAAACGGTTAGACGTCTTTCAGGAAGATGTATTCGCTTGTTTAGAACGTGCTCGTCGTTTGTCACGCACTGATTCCGACGTTTTCCAAGATTCCATAGAATTGCAGATTTTCTTTATTAAGAAACGCGATGAAATTTGCGCAGATACCTTGAACTCGCCCGCCCTGAATTACACGTTGGATAAAATGCTGTCTGAAGTCGAAATTATGAAGCAACAAAAATTACCACAGGAGGAGCCTGATCAAGATCAAGAAGACAAGGAAGATGTTGACACCGCTGCTATGCACGGTGAAAGCATGATTATCAATCAAAAGGTGTTCTCCGCCGGCGATTTCGTGTACTTTCAGCACAATGAAAATAAAATTCCAAGCATTGCATACATAGAACGTCTTTGGACTTCAGAAGACAATAATAAAATGATGCACGGTGCTGTATTCTTAAGGCCACATGAAACTTTTCACGTTACGACGCGTAAATTTCTAGAAAAGGAAGTTTTTAAAAGCAGCGTATCCCAAACCATACCAATGGATCGTGTTCTCGGCAAATGTTACATCATGCATATCAAGGACTATATTAAAATGAAACCTGAAAATTTTGATGAAAAGGACGTATTCGTGTGCGAATCTCGTTATAATGTACGAGCTCGTAGCTTTAAAAAGTTCAAAAATTGGCCTTTTGTCAGAGAAAATGATCCCAATGTCAAATTCATATTACGTGAGAAACCTGTTGAAATAAAAAGAGTCATGTCAGTCTTTAAGGAACGGATAGAAAAACATAAAGGTGAATTAGAAGAGCTCAAATTGCAAGAAGCGTTAATTGAAAAGGAGAAACCCAATGTCCCATGTGATCCGCCGTTCAATCCAGAACCGAATAGTGTGTATTATCAGCAATACAATACCATCTGTAGCGGAGTGGTAAAGACAGGAGATTTCGTCTATGTGGCTACTCAGTCGGGCAAACAATCTATAGCCCAAATCCATCAGATATGGGAACAAAATAATAAATCTTATTTCAAAGGGCCCTGGCTTTTAGCACCCAATGAAATCACCCCACCTTTGCCGTCTCAACCACCGCTGGGTAAGCCTTTTTACCGCCAAGAACTTTTGGTTTCCACTGTGGAAGAAATGACGCCTGTTATAGCAATCGTAGGACGTTGTGCCGTGCTCGAATATCAAGAATATATCACTTGCCGTCCAACCGAATTTCCGGAATCTGACGTTTACATTTGCGAAGCCGCCTATGATGAGTTGAAAAAAGCCTTACGAAAATTTCAGTCTCCGGGTGGAATTCTGAAGAAATTCCTGCACAGTGCTGACGTTACTCAGGACGAAATATTCTTTTTTAAAGCAGTTATTAAACCAATCAAGGAAGGAAAATGCTCAGATTACACTGAAAGTTTGATAATGATGGAGGACTCATTGGACGGAAATCCTCCCTCGGTAAATTCTGACATAGCCACTACGTCGTCGCCAGCACCTTCAGTTTCATCTACCCCATTGTCATCAAAAAAACCCAAAACGACAAAGAAAAGTTTAACGGGTTACATTTTATATTCTAGTGAAGTACGAAAGGGTGAGTTTGTAACTTTTGCAATACTATAAAGCAACTAATGAAGAATATTCCTTAAAGGTATATGTACTGCTAATCCGGACGCTTCTTTCGGAGATATATCACGAATGGTGGGTAATGAATGGAAAAACTTACCGGCTAGTGTGAAGCAAAACTGGGAAGACCGAGCTTCACGTATCAATGAAGAATCTGCTGCTAGACGTGAGCTCGATGAAACACTTAACTGTTCAAGTCCGGGGCCTAATAATGAACAACAAACAAGTCTCACCTACGAATGCTTATGGGATAAATGTGACTTTCAGTTCGAAGATTCGGTTGATTGCATGGAGCACTGTTTGGCGGATGGAACAGGCCATGTGCAGCGCACAGCGCAAGCAAATGATTCAGAATATGTGTGCTTGTGGCGCAATTGCATTCGTGTAAGAAAGAATATGCAAGCATTTCCGACTCTGCTGCGCCTTATTAAACATGTCCGCGAAGTGCATTTGAGCAAACCGGGTAAAGTTGTGCATCCAAACGAACGCAGCAAGAATTTTGTGCCCCGCAAAGCTAAAGTGGGTGCAATAATTTCCCAACAGATAACCACCAATACCGGCATAAATGTTGCTCCTAATTCTCTGTTGCCGAGAGGTGTAGTCGGAGGCACGCAAACAGAAGGCAATCAAATTCAGTTTCAACCGCAAGTGTTGGGACCACCACCAGAACCAATGTTTGTAACTGTTCCTCCTAGGCCTCAAAGGGTTTTACACTCTGAGGCTTACATCAAGTATATTTCGTCTTTGCAAGGCACGACCGCTCAGATGAACGCTCAAAACTCGGCAAACTGGAAGCGAGCTCTTACCCCACTGACACCGTCTGCTATTACCAAACCTCACACAAGTTTACCCTCACAATGGTTAGGCAAATATGCCAATACAAATGGCGAAGATGTGGTTAAAGCCTTGTGCCATTTGCGAAATTTTATGATGGATGATGTCCTGCAAATACAACGCAATTACTTCTAAGACAATAATTTGACTTCATAAAATCCCATCAATTTTTGTTATACACCAATACATGTGCTATCTACTGTTGGATATACAAGAAAATTACTAAAATAAAATAAATGAGCAAAGTTTAATTCAGAACGGATGAAGTTTCGCCTCTATCGCCAAAATAATTTCTTATGATTACAAAACCGAAGACTGTTAAATATATATGTTCGAAAATTTGTCTGTGGTCTCTCACATTAGGAATATATGCGCCAAAATTTCGGCTTCACCAGTATGTTTTTTTCATTCGGCAGTGTTGCTTGAAGGAGTGTGGAGTCGGTCGTATAACTTACCTATTTAGCTGTAGCCAGGCATCACGCACAGACATCACGAGCTAGCTCGAGCATGTTTTAACTCACCCAACTCAACGATTGAACGGGTTGACTGCTTCAAGAGATTCAACGTTTCGATTATGAGATTTCACAAGGGTAGCAACTTTTCAATATGTATTCTTTTCCGAAAGTTTAAGTATAGTTTATAAAAGTTTTGATATTTTAATTTACCGATTATTAAAACCAATTTAGTCTTATAACAATTTTTCCAAAAATGATAACTTCTAATCGTCAAATATTAATTAAACAAAACGGTTAAAAACATAAAAAATGAATTTTGATATCTACGATTCGCGTACTGAGAATGTTTATTTTAACGACGATATTCTTTTTTGTAGTGAATCCTTAAATGCATACAAAATTAATTTGCAATCTTCATACGTACATATAAATGGTAAATAGGACCTGAAGCTTTTGAAAAGCAGAAAAAAGTCTTCAAGGGCTTATTGTATGAGAAAGATTTGAGCAAATGCTTCACATAATTTAGCATCACTTGTCTAGCCCCGTTTGATTATGCCATCTTGGACGTCAAAGCATTACACTTCTCAAAAAATTAAATAAAGAAAACAAATGTAGAAAAAATAAAAGAAAGAAGGCATACATGCATATGAATTATATATATATTTGGTCGGGGAAATTTATGGTCTGGATAATTTTCATAGTCGGGGATGTTTGAATTTGCATTTATTAAAAGATTAAAGAAGGCAAATTTGAAATGAACTTGAAATAACAGGACACACAACAGGAGTTTACCTTCCATATAATCTAACAATTTTGAAAAATTACCTTTGTATATAGCTTCCTTTGAAAATAATGTTTTTTGCTAGTAAAAAAAAATTAAGTGAATTATCTTAGTAAATAATTGCCGATGGTAATCATATTCATATATTTAGAATAATTAAGCAATTCCGCAAACTATACACACTGCTCTGGCAATGCTGGTTCATAGTATGTAGCTATTGGTATGTATGCAAGATTTTTTTAATTGTATTTGGCTTCTTCAGCATATCGGAAAAACAAGTCGCCATTTTTTAACAGCAGCTGCAGGTTTGTCCTTTTTCATTATTTATTTAAACAAAAATTAATATTGCAATGACCTTAGTTATAATCTACAATTAAAAAATTTCCGTTAATATGTTAGCAGTAAAAAGAGAGAGTGAAAAGTTATTTATAATTATTTATAATTTGAAATTTCAGCCTTAGTTTCCAAATAGTATTTTCGCGTTCGTATCTAAAACAAGAGTAGAGAGGATTAATAATGACTGGCCGTGGAAAAGGAGGAAAGGGTTTAGGAAAAGGTGGTGCAAAACGCCATCGTAAAGTTTTGCGTGATAACATTCAAGGTATCACCAAACCGGCAATTAGACGTTTAGCAAGGCGAGGTGGTGTCAAACGTATATCGGGTCTTATATATGAAGAAACCCGTGGCGTCTTAAAAGTATGGATATACACATAATTACACGTTAGTTACAAAAATTTTCTCTATACCAATAATTTATTTTTACAGGTATTTTTGGAAAACGTCATTCGTGATGCAGTAACCTATACTGAACACGCTAAACGTAAAACTGTCACCGCTATGGATGTTGTTTATGCCTTGAAGCGTCAAGGGCGCACTTTGTACGGTTTTGGCGGTTAATGAGCAGATTGTCATCAGCACAATTCAATATTTGGGCACGAAGAGTATTTTTCCATTTATTTATCTTCTTATATATAATTACAGGTTTTTCGTCTTATATATTTACCAGTAATACATATGTATTTATGACAGATTCGAATATTTCCACTTGACTAATACATTTGCAACCAATAATTCAATTTAATGTAGTAGAACTTTCGCTAAGGAAATAAATTGCAATTTGTCCAAAACGATAATATTTGAATAGCAAATGAAATTATTTAACGGAGGGATGATTAACTGAAGACAGACTAATAAAATCAATTTTATTTAGTTGGTTTTTAGTTAGGAGTGATTTACGTAACAAATAAGGTCCAGGATAGGGGATTGGGTCATCGTTTAGAGGAATATCTTCTCTTTGGTTTTTGGGTATGCCCTTAAGATATCGCTGGAATTACAATCAGGCGGCTTTAACGAACTATATTCATCATTAAGCTATTAAAGGGATTATTCTTGTGTTTCACTTTCTCAGCCTAATGATTTATTAGCCAACTCTATATATGTACGCAGAAAATCTGTCGTGCAGGTATCTACATATGTGTATCATAGCCAATTCTTTATTGAGCCCCCGCTTAAAAACGACACGAAACGGTAGTCAGAAACTTCCAGAAATAGACAGAGAGGAAATCGCATTTTAAAATGCCACACTTTTTCCAAGACTACCGTTTCTCCTTGATCTTCTGTGTACATCTGCAGCTTATATAAAGATTTTATTACTTGTTAAAATGTTGCGGACTGAATGTTCAGATTTTGCAAAAGGGATGATGATGGATCGTGCGCTGTTGGAACCATTATTTTAAATCCTAGCTGGTGATCATAAGCGTCTCTTACTTACCATTAATTTAAGAAAGCACTTAATTTTGCTTTTTTTTTTTTACTAAACTTTACTATAAAAGTACATTTAAAAAATAAAGTTTTTTTACAAAATTACATTCATAGAGTTCCATGTACACACATACATATTTCCATACATATGTGCATATGTAAGTATACGTTACGATCGTTAGATCTTCAAATATATAGGAATTACAAACTTAAAGTGTATGTTATTCTACGCACGGTGCAATGGTTTATTATGGTATGTACGGCGACGGTGGATGAGAAACCCAAGGTTTATGTTAAATTAACCTCTCATTATAATATGTGCATGTACCTAGGATGTTATTGCGTTCGGTGTAAGTTCGTATGTGTGTGTACGGATATGGTTCATGTGTCGAAAGTAAAAGTAGCACTAGAGAAATATATTTATATAAAAGATTGGGGGAAAAAAAAACTATGATAAAAAATAGATAGAATATATTTATATATGTATATGTAGATGAGTAGGTTCCTTTCTACGACGAAGAATTTAGGAAACTTCTGATAATTATTGCAAATAATCGCGTAACCCTCAAGCTGATAGAAAGGAAAGTGGGGGAAAGAAAAAAATAGATATATAAGAAAGTAATTTAAGCTAAGTTTCTATAGAAAAATAAAGGGTAGACGGACACGAAATGATCCTATATAAGAAACACACACAACCGTCCTATATATGTAATTTTCGTACTATTCATTGCACAATCCGAGAAACAATGAACGCGGAGACTTGACGCTTTTAGTAAACTCTGCCTCATCAAAATTCGGGTCAAAAATATCATGATGTTGATTCTGTGGCATCGGTGTCAAGGGCATCGGTTTCGCACGTCGTATAAACACTTTCATTGGCTGATATTCGTTATCGTCGCGCAAGGTGTCTGAATCACTGGAACATATATCACTGCTAATGCTGCGTGTTGTTGGTATCGAGATCTCATCCAATTCGAATTTGGTAAGACTTTCAAAAAGATTGTTTTTACCATTCGCAACGTTATTATTGATGGCGTTATTGTTACTATTATTATTACTGTTATTCGTATTATTACTATGAACGTAATTAGCCCTTTTGTCTTTGTGGGGTTGCACCGGAGCATTTGTCAGTGTTTTCGAAGAATTCTGACTGCGGCTGCTATCAGTAATGCTATTGCTCATAGTATCGCCGATATTCGTTTCAAAATGTACAGCCGATAACTGGAACTGTAAAAAAACGAAAAACGATGATTGCATGAAAAGCAAGAAACTATTATATGATTTTCAAATGTAAAAATTATGCGTCTATTATTATTCGGTCCCATTCAAAAAAGATTTTTCTTATGGATCGATTCTCTCGTGCGATAACTAAAGCCGAACTACATACAACTTCTTGCTTTCGTTTATTTTGCTATTCAAAATGTTGCATTTTCGAGGTAAAGCTCGAGGTAATTATTACATATAGCTATGCATAAAAGTCTCTTAGTTTTTCCTTCTTGGCGAAAGGTTAATAATAATAATAAAGAAAGAAAAAATGTCCTTTGAAAACCGATTCAAAATATTTGTATTTTGTAAACTTGGTAAAAAAAAAAAAAGAGAGCAAAAGAGAGAACAAAACAGAAAAAGAAATACAAAAAATATCTGTGTGTGATCTATGGAATAAATAATTCAATTAATAAAACTAAGCTGGCTTGAGTCCAATCATTTAACTTAAGTATGATTTCAAAATTTCATATACTTGCATAGGGAAGGGTAATGCACTTACATCAGTTTCGTTGGTAAGCTCGTGATCAGATTTGGATTCTTTCTTTTTCGCTGACTCCTTAACTGTGGGGGGCTCAGCATATTTCATTTCGCTCTTCACTTTACGTACTTTTAACGCTTTTCGTGTTTCTTTTTGTGTTATAATCAGATTTGCTGTTACACCGTTTACCGGCGAATTGAGATGCACTTGACGTTCCGGATCGTTTGATTCGTTTTCAGTTTCCTCACCGTCGTCGTCGTCGTCATGAACATTGATATAGGTCTGCTGATGGTGACCTAGAGTAGCTTCCTTATTCAAACATATATTGATATTCTTTCGTGGTGTAGAAGCAGCACTGCTTGGTTTGATAATTTTTTGAAAATCATTGCGTCTATGGGTAAATAAATAAATATTAAAAAGTAAAAAGGAAAAGAGAAAATCCTTTTTTCGTTTAATTTGAACACATACTCCTTAATGATCGATTGCAAAGATTCATTTTTAACCACCACGTAGCCGTCGGGTACGTTGGCTTTCGATTCATTTTCCAATTGATTCTCGTAAGCTATTATTTGTTGATTGAGTTTCTCATTAAGCAGTTCAGCTTTCTTGCGTAACATTCTTTCAAACGCCAATTGCTCTTCGAGTGTTTTTAGTTGCTCTTTAAGATTTGTCAGTGTGCCTTTCGCTCGTTTTACGACTACGCCATTTGGACCGGCGACCAATTCAGTTTGGCCATCCATTAGCTTTTGATCTTCGTCGTCTTTACCCAATTGATCGCGTATGCTGCGCTGCAGGAACTTACTAATTCCGTTATTGTTACGCACATTAAAATCTATTATGTAATTGTTAATCTCCAAACAATCGAGAATCATATTTGCCGCACGATCAGTTAGCCCGCATTGCTCCATATCGATTACTTATAATGTAAAATCATAAGCAATCTTATTAACTACAGCAGAACATAGCATACCTTTAATCCATACATCTTCTTTAAGAACTTCCACAATACATTTAAGGCCATCATCTCCAATTTGAGTGTTGCCCGATAATGCAATGTTACGTAATCCAGGAATAGTGTCGGGATCCACATCCCGGTAACGCAAAGATTTTTGCCAGCCCTCGGTATAACGACTTATTTTTTGTATCTTTTTAGAATAAAAGCAAAAAAAAAAAAAACAAATAACATGTATTTAAATAAATAAAACCTTTCGCTAACAAAGCACGTGAACACAGTTTAAATAAGTCTCATAGATTACCTTAATCATATCTGCTACACATTCGGCACCCTTCGTAGTCAATTCACATTCAGATAAATTTAATTTTTCAACATGTTCTAAATATTTAATCGTATTGCATATGGCTTCGCATCCTTTATCATAAATATATGAGCGTTGAAAACTTATTTCCTTTAGGCTTTCGTTTGTCGAAACGGCCTTAAGAGCAAATAAAAGAAGAAGAGAAAGTATTTTATATATGAACGATTATTATCATCACTATTGCGCTCCTCTTCTCTAGTTTAGAGAATGGATTCTATCCAATTGAAACAAGGATCATCTTGTCTGCTTAAAATAGGAAAGTTTCCAACATTGAGGATACGGACAATTGCAAGTGCGATATGTGCCCCCGAAACGCTTCCTATCTACTTAGCAGCCTTCAGGCTAAATGTCGTTACTTTCGAAGCTTCAGGAACTTTACGTTCGTCTTAAAGTTTCATAAACGGATCTTGCAATGATACTTAGAAGCAAGTTATTTCACTCAGTAGAAGGTTAACGCGTTAATTAAAATTCTCTTTAATGCAAAAATTTGATGTTGCGGAGAAAATGTGTCTGCTTTTAAGCGAAATATCTCTAAAGATACGTGGGAAAGGTACCATGAAAACTAGAATTTCTCTCTGCAAAACATTATTTATAACAATTGTGCTATCTCTTCCCACTTTCAAATGTCGGACAACTTTAAAAAAGACAAATGTAAAAATTTTGCTTTGCGCCATGGCCAATTTGCGTGCTTCATCTTCGGGAGATTGGCGCGGCTGGTCAGAAAATGTTGCACAACTTTTAATTGGGAATATCGAACTCACAAGAATGATGTTGTCGCATTCGTACCTTCGCTATTGATTCCACGTATTTATCGCTTAATGGTAAACCTTCGAGATTTAGTATTCGCAAATTCTTGTTGAATTCAATGCAATTTGAAATCGCCTCCACAACGCCGGAAAACACAAACTTCGTGTAGATCACCGGTCTTTGGCGAAATAATTTCGCCTTTTTCTCAGTATCCAAATGATCTAAAACTGCTGAATGAATGCATCAATCAAATTGAATCGTGTATAGCGATCGTTATAGTTATAGTTATAATTATATATTTACGATGACTTACCCATTCCGAATGCTTTGCGCATGCGTATGCCCACATTTTGTAACACTTGATCATAATACAACGCCTCAACAATCAATAGCCAGTCGTTCACTGCTAGTTTATCGCCGAAAAAATCCAATACCGATGTCGCATTATTTTTTGCCTTTATATCCGGTACTGGTGTCAGATTTTTGGCCCGACACAATTCCAGATAACGAAAGTGAAATGAACGACATCTATTAATTTTTTTCGTCGAGGTAGTACCACTAGCTACCTCCCGTAATTCCAAATTATTGAATTTGTGCATGTTCGTTTCACGCCCTTTGTCTCCGGATTATTCTTATTCTATATGTCTAGGATATCTTGCGTATTGGATTAATCCAGAGTACAATCAACAATGATGGCTAGCTACGAGCCATGTACAAATTCACACTTACGGTTGGTTGTATTATGCTATCTATATTTTATCTATGGACTTTCCTGTTTTAACACTTTAATTATAACTATTTTCTATCGGGCTTCTCGTAATCAGATCGTGCGACAAGCCGTTGTTTGGAGAGCGACGTTTGACAGTTGTATTTCAAATATATATAAACGTTGAAAATAATTTTGAAATTTTTATTTATGAACGAATTGATAGAAAAAGTCAGGGTATTTTTTTAATATATATTTTTGTCTTTTGTTTTTTTTTTTTCTTTTGAATATGTATATGTCTTGAAGGAATTTTTAAAGTTTACTATTTTATTATTGTGGTTTTTTCGTAAATAAACGGTTGATTTCTGGACATGTTTGAGCGATAATGCAACGTTTACTCCAGTCGAGGCGAATTCGATAACTGAATGTATTCGTAATTGAGGCTTATATTTGCAAATCTTTTGTTTCGTAGAATAAATGCCTTTGTTATTATGCATGTATGCACGTAAGTGTCCATTTCTTCCCTACAATTTCCTAATATATGTTACGACTGTTTCAAGAATTTCAAAAAATTTTTCTCTATCGTTTCGTTTATATTGAAAAATGAAAGAAAACGATATGAATATATTGTGAAAATTTTAAACGATAACACAAGTAGGGGAAAATTATCCAAACGCGAATGTCGCACACCTAACGTTGCAGCTAATGCATTGGTTAATTTTACTTCTCCAGTGGACGCACTCTGCAAATTTTTCTCATATGAGAGGCAGATGCCTTATGACCGAGCGATATTAACGCACTTAATGAATTTCTTCTTTAATTAAACACTTTGGCAAACAACAGTCACCTTCCTTCCTATCCTTCATCCTACCATACCGTACTTCCGTATTACATTTGCGTGAATTTTATAAGATATATAAGATATACATATATATATATATATATATATATACATATAGAGGACGATGCATTTATTAAGGCGCACATCTGTCCACCAATGTTCAGAGTGGCGTTGGGGGAAAATTTCAATGACTTAATCTGTGAAAGCAATTGAAGCCAGTACAACTTAAAGCAGAAAAAAAGAGCAAAAAATAAGAGGGCTATATCGTCATTGGCATAAATGAGGCATACTGATCATCTAAGACGCAATTGTGACAATGTAGTATTCGAATTAAGGGTCACCAACTATTATTCTACTTTTCCGAACTTTGAGACCAGAAGGTTTACATGCATTCCTCAAAACTCTCTTTTATTGCGAAAGTTTAGATTTCCAACATTGTTAATTTGACGTGTGTGTGATAGTTTCGCAATTGCAAAGTCAGTGTCGCGCGGCTTCAAATCTCAGGTGCGGTAGAGTTTCGTACACTTAAAACGACGACCTTTAAATGAATGCTAAACAAATCGAGGATCTCCCCTATCTGTGTCGTTGGTGATTATAAGAATGATTTTTTCATTTTGATTGTGTTTTGCGTTTTACTTCGTCGTCCACTTCCTGTCTACAGCCTGTGCAATATGTGCAATCATTTCCTCACATACGCTCGGAATCATGTTACACACAAGTAAAGGCGGGGGATAGGCATATAGTTTACAAGCAGAGTGTAGTCATAAAGCCGGCTCTGAAGGAAAACAAAATGTAAGCAAATTGTATATGTGAATGAATGTAAACGTTTGTGAAGAACATAAAATGCAAAAGCTGAACTTGGCCCAAACTTTGTCGTCATCATTTGTTTTTGGTTAAAATGATGTCGAAATGAATGAATGGCTAAAAGGTACGCTTCGCTGCGCAACTCCCCTCTTGTGGGCATATTGCTTTTTGTTATTTGCATGTATATATACATATATATACGTGTGTGTGTACGTACGCGCGTGTAATTATAACTCAATTCAATGTTATATTATATTGTGTACAAAAAAGATAACGTAATTGTGTTGCTTGTTTTATTGTTACATATGTTGCAGCGTTTCAATTCCACTCCGAGTATGTTTCCATTAACGCTTCAAATAAGTTTGGTCTTGCGGTACTTGAAAGAGTTTTGAAATTTCAGTTTTTAACATGGCTTGTCTTAGAGCGGTCGACTTTTTTGTTTTCTTTTCTTGAACAAATAATTAAAGCAATCGTGATTGAATCGCTAATAGAGTTTAGTCGAACACCTTTGGCGTAGCATAAAGACGTGATTGATAAATAAAGTGATTCTTATTGAATTTTAAATGAGATTCCAATTAGATGGTATTCATATAATTTCGAAAATTTCAAGCCGCTTTTCCCTTGGCACGTTCCGTTTTTCATTTTTTTTTTTTTTTAAGTAATTAACGTGGCTAGTGGTAAGATAAAGAAAGTCTAAGAATAGTCGCTACGCGTACAGAGTCACGGTTGATGGGCGTAGTATTTAAATGTTCATTCATTCTTTTCTTCTCATTAACGTTTTACATTAAAATCCTCATTTAACTAACTTTTCTGGCATAATGCAATGAAATGTGTGTTAAGTGATTGCCAGGTTAAATATAATTTCTACTAAAGAAGAAAAAGGCAGTTGAACGGTAAATTCAATTTTGAAAGTGAAAAAAATGATTCTCGAAATTCTTGCAAAAACGTGTTACAACGAGACCTAGCGGAGAATTGAAGACACATTTGCCCGTATGGTTAACCTTTGCTTTCTTAGCGAAGCGGCGGGATAGGTATGATATATATTTCTTTTCTTTTTGAATCAATTATATTTGTTATTCTGCAAAAGCAAACAAAATACCAAGCCACGCTATATTTACCAAGGTATGAGCGCTAACGTGTTCTATGGCATTCCTTATTAGCTTAAGAATCCATGAGACCTTATTCAGGGTATAACAATAATGCTTACGTCTTATCTTGATAATTAAGCCATGTCAGTCCGTCCTCTTGTTCGTGTGGCATTCTCCTGTTCACGAAAAATTAACATAGACAGTTGAGACGTGTTGCAGATCAAGGACGAATATGCCCGGGATTTAGAGTCGAAAGTAGAGTTTGGTCCCGAACGTGAAACGTATGGAACCTATAGCCGACTTGCGGGTAACTTCACGGAAATTATATTGCAATTATTGGAGAGTTTCCTGTGTGCGACCATATCCTTGGAATACCTACCTGTATTGATACGAAATCAAAAAAAAAAAAAATCATAACTACTATACGCATCGCGTTCTTATACGACTTGTGACCGGTCACAACACCGGAATGAACTTCTTCTATTATTATTATTATTATTATTAATTGACCCAGATAAACGAATTCGAAGACTAAAGTCGTAAAGCGCTTGCCTCTAAGACTATTGCAATTGACATTGAAACCAACGACCATTGAATTGTTAGTCGATATCCTTTGCCTACAACTCGGCCCCTGCCTCATAATTACGATTGCATTACCATTCTCTGCGGGAAATTTAAGCCGTTTGGAAGATTATAATATTCTGATATTTCTTTGGATATTTACGTAGTAATGTAAATAACATTACTTGCAGTTTGCAGGATATTTATGTTATGTTTAAGTGAATATTGCACAACGAAGAGAAATTAATTTTACGGTGAATATTTTATGCAAAGTACATATTTACTTAACATTATCGGTGCAAATGATGTGAATATTGAAAAAATGTATTAATAAATACAAAGCAACTATCCAGCCGAGGAATGCTGATACACTAATTATGCGAAAGTGTTAAAAAAAAAGGAGAAAAAATGTTAAAATATGTCAAGTGTAACAAATGATTATTCGTGGTTGAAGTTGTACGTGTTTGTAGGTGTAAGTGTTCGTGTTTAACTCTGGTGGTGGTGGTGCATTATGGAATTCGTTGAATAAAGTGAATACCTGAAGAGGGTCTACTAGGACATCCCGAAGCGAACCTTGAGCACGCTCTACCTCTTACACGATCCACTTATCTAGTTCCCCTTTCCGACTCCTATTTTTTTTTATTATTATTATTATTTTTTTTATTTGACTTTTAAAGATTCTGTTTGCCAAAGAAATTCAAAAGTTAACATAAGTACTAGGAGACGTCGTCTCTTCCCAGCTCTTTTCCCAAATATAATACAGATTGGACATGTTGGATAACAAAATTAATATACGACGAATATAGTGGTGGATATGAAAATCATTGTAGCGCGACGAACCATTTTTCCACAACTCTGAATATATGTTTAAGTACACATATCTGTTTTATTTACATTGACTGCTTCTGGCACAGTAAGGTTGGACGTCATATTAAGTTGGTCACTGAACAAATAACTCACAAGTGCAACGGCCTTTACGTATGATTTTGAAACAGAGCATTAATGTTGTAAGCCGGGACGGACTGTCTGCGAATACTTCGTTTATGTGGATGTCGATGAACTAATAAAATCACTTATTGCTTATCGCAGAGAGTGGACTTCTAAGTCGATTGTAGCGTTCATAAATGCTGCCGTCCACGTTATGTTGTTAATATAAACAAATTTTCTTTTTGAATTATTTATTATTTTGGTTTCTTTTTTTTTTTTTTTTAGTTTTTGTTTCTCTTTTATTTACATATTACATGACACGTTGAACTTGAATTGTTAAATACACACAAAAAAGAAGCTATAACGATAGATTATGCCATTAAATTAAGTGATAAAAGCGAGAGAGCAATAACCACTATCGGCAATCTTGCCGTATAGTTATGAAAGAATTAATGAAACAATACGCATATGAAAGAATTGCATTTTGACGAGGAACCGGAATTTGAAACTGACATAAAAGTTTCGTACCGAGCAATTTCGTTTCCCACGTGCATATATAGAGTGTACACCCACATGCATCGAAAGTAATTGTGGAGAACGTTTTCCTTCTATTTCCCAAGTTTTGCTTCGATTTCCGAAAAACTATGCATCAAATTTTGCAAATTAAGCAAATGTTCTTTTCCTTACAAAAATGCAACTTTTTCGCTTCGTTGACGATATCCAAACATATATATATATATATGTGTGTCACAGACGCCAAGCGTAAGAATTTAGGTTGAATACCCCCTAACAAACAAAGTTTGTCATTTATGATATCTGGACCGCTGAACATGATTTAAAAGCAAAGAACCCGCCTATGAAAATGGGGAACTGGAATAATTCCGTAAAAACGGGGAATTTCTGTTATTATTACTTGAGAATGTTTCTGTTATATAACTTGAGAATGTTTCTTTCTAAAATACATTTATTCCAGCAGATGGGAATATGCAAATTTAACACCTCTATTACGCTACGGTATATACGAATTCTCAGATCATCTCGCTAGTCCAGTTAAAATGAATCGAAGAAAGATTATCAGAAATCTTCTTCTTCTATATGCAGTTTTTCAGCCGGATAGTGTCACGGCGTCATGCCTAGTGCTTCAATCAGTTAACTGTTTTGACTTCTTTAGCGATGACGAGCATGCTCGTTAAACACGGATTAGAACATGCAATTAGTTTGGATCATGAAACATATGCTCGTCATAAACAGTTAATTAATTGGTTAATCGAAACGTTAAATTTTTGCTCTCTACTATCTGGACTTGACTTATCAGCAGCAGCTACGCTTTATTTTCCCCTTACGCATATAGGGGGCATCTCCTAAATAATTAATCGTATTACAATAAGTTCTAACCATATCGAACCTCTCACAACAGTTTTGTGGCTTTAAAAGTTACAGTTCCAAAACGAGCCGTGATTACATGTTGTAAAATTAAAGCAACGCTCAGACGTCTTGAATAACCGGAATAAAAGTCTGTATAAAATGCTTATGATTTTCTGAACACCTTTTAAAATGTTGTAAGCACTTTTGCATTTCTTTATGGTAGACCTGGCCTTTGTTAGTTTTCCGTTCGATTCAGAATCACTTTTTACATCGAACTAAGCTTGTCGGTCTGTCTGTCTGCTTCGTTTTCTTGTGTTCAACGTACAGGCAACAATTTTTGAGATATTTTGTTTTGGTTTCAGGACGAACGCTATTGAAAATGGTTCGGATTGCACCAGTTGCCATATAACAATCTATTTTAAAAAGTCGATATATGATTCATTGTAGGGTAGAGTAGGATGTGTTCTTACTTTTTTTCTAATAGTATAAGTTTTCAACATTTCAATGAAGCACTGGCTAAGCTTCTCCTTTATTAGAAGAGTTAATCGCATTCGGAACAGAATTTACTCCTTTAGTCTCCATTTTAATAATAATAATAAGGTTTCAAAACCTGAAGATAAGATTTGTATGCATGTAGTTTATGTTTCCCACTTGCCTCCCCATTTCGAATTCAATTTCATCCAAATTTAAAAAATTCCTTGTCGCTTGCCTCTTTTCGAAAATGATAAAAATGGTAAATTAATTAAAATGTGTTTCTCTTTATGTTGCAAGCATGCAAATATTGCAGACGCGTTGCATACGTACATTCGTGTAGCTTCTTATGGATGATAATTAATAAAAAATAATACATGTCTTATTTTATTCACTCAATCACTATTTTTTAAAGAGTTCAATAAAATAGTGGAAGATATTTTCTTGTTTGCAATTTTATCGTTTTTTGCCAAGCAAGTGATGTAAAATTTGCAAAATTTCTCTCATTTGGCTTATGTAAGAAAATGTCAAATATTTCTTTATAGCCGTGTGACGAAAAGTTTCCACACACAATGAAAACGAATAGGTGCACGTGAAAAAGATGCTTTATGCCGACTCGTTCGTTTTGAACGTGCAGTGTGCAATGAATTATTAAAGAAAAAAGACAGTTATGACATCTCTTCAATGATTTGACTGTTTTGATGTTGCTTGATGTTGGTGGTGTAAGTGCACAAGTTTTTACATTTTTATCGCAAAATCGAACTTTTCACGCGATTAAATTAAATTATTGCTAAATTATTACGATTGCATTTATTTAATTTTGAGTTCATATGCAGCCTGCAAGTACTGAACATAGCAATTACCTTTCATTGATACTCATATAGGTTTATATAAGTGCATGCGTGCCTGGGTATGTGTGTGCGTTTAGTTACCCTATTATACCGATTGTATTGATGTGAGAAAATTTCAGAAAATAAACATAAACATTGCTTTGCATTTGTGCGAGTTTTTTAATATGTGCACACACACACACAAACACACTCATGTTAGCAATAGTTTATTGTACAATTCGAATGATATAATTTTTATATGTTAAGTAAGGCGTCCACTTGGCTTGCACCGAAGCGTATTCTTCGTACTATTCCAGGCGTAGCAATCTACCGAGAAGGCTTTCTCTTAGTTTGAGTCATCGCTTTCTTAATCGTATTGTTATGCAACGTTGTATTAGTGAGATGCAAATAGCTCTTTTTTTCTTTTTTCTCGAGCACTCCCTCATTTAACCCTGAAGCTACCGAGTAAATCGTTTAGAAATTTTTCAATGTTCGAGCTTAAAGAGAATAGTTCCAAATTTTGCAGTTATTTTCATTTATATGAGAAGACTTTTAATTACTTACAAAAGGATCAAGGATGTCACAGTCGCTTAACGGACGCCAAGTATCTACAATTTGGCAAAAATATTTCTTAAGCGATTAAGAAGCAAAGTTTAAAAAATGTTTACTATCTGCCCGCATACACGCTCTCGAAAATACCTCAGCACTTTCCTCATACTTTCGTCTACACAACTTTCGAATCCGTGAATCTATTTCGGAGAAACCGCTGCTCACATATTTGTGAGATTCGTCAATGGCAGTGCGTGTGACAACGTTATCGAATCTCAAATATAGTCAGCCAAATGAACGCGAAATTTAGTTTACGCAGTTATTCATAGTGCACATACAATCATAGTGTCTCGCCCCTTATCCGATATGGTCAAGCAATTTTTAAGAATTTTTTAACACGCTATCTATAGTATGGATCGGGAATGAGTACATTTCTAAAACATTTTTCTAAACATATTGCGTGACATGATGATTTGTTACTTATTTCGTAAATTAGTTATGCTCTTGAAATATTGCCGTCAAAATACATATGTCCTCTAAAATGCTTTTTAATTAACATCAAAAGAAATTATAGTAATCTTCTCATACTTGCTTCATACATGGAGTGTAACTGTAACGCTTGACGAAATTCTAAGAATAAGCGTCTGAAACATGCGTTTCTTTACAGTCGCAATAGTAAAATTAACCATTAAAAGCAAACTTTGAAAGTAGGAAACAACAACACAACTAACGCTGACGGAAATCTCATACAAATACAACGCACCACGAGTAGCAAATTCAAGTTTTATATTATGAAGACAGCGCGTAACACTTTAAAGGGAAGTCGTATACGGAGCATGCATGACCGTACTTATAAACGGTTTAAGCTGAATTTTGCGACAACCACGATTAGTTGGTACACAAGTACTAAGTGAGGGAAAGCTTCACGAGCTCTGTTACATAGACCTAACCAGGAAAAAGGAAATGATTCATATTGCCTGATTGTCTGATCCATAGTATATCACATATAACGTACATTTATCAACTTAGAGTCTCGTACTTTTTGGCGGCGCCTTCTAATTCTTGTATCCTGCAGTCAGTGAACAGAGTTGTATTCATGGGAGAAGTTGAGGACGCTTAGCCATTGTTATGGTGTATTAAAATGCCTTTAGAATGCGCGAAAACAACCTTCAAAAACCCCATCAGGTATACATGTTCCTTGCATGTGTCGGAGCTTCGGAGTGCATGTTTGTTTGTTTGTCGGTTCATCCAGCTGACTGCCCAACAGTGTAGTATCTGTGCTAAACTTTCTTCCAGTCGCAAAAATAAAGATATCGCCTCCAAGAGAATGGGAAAATGATTTAAACCGGTTAGAGGACACGGCCACCCGCCTATGCAATAAGAACTCTGCACATCTTTGCTTTCCGTGCCTTTTGCTCGTTACTTATAAGCAAAAACGCATCCACGATATAAATCTCAACTTTTACTCTAAAAAATAGAAAAATTTAGTTTTTCTCCTTTTTCACCGCTAGCCGTGATGGGTATAAAAGATTCGATCACAACTGATTATGATTTTCTTAGTTGCTTGATATATATATGCATTTACGTATGTTTTTTCGTGATTATTTTCATGTTCGGTAATCGGTTTAGGATATTTCGAAACTTGACAGGGGAGTTTTGGTGGGAGTAGATGATCGTAACTTGAGAAGAACTAGAAATAGAATTTTCGATTTATATCTCGATTTTTTCTTGTAATTCGTTCGTAGGTATGTATTTTAATAGCTTTTCGTTTTTCATATCATTTCAGGAAATTAAAGAGAAACATGTTACATTCTTATTCTTATACATTACCTCGAAAAACTTTTATTTATTATATGATGGATTCATACGAAGTGCGAGAACTTGAAAGTTGTAAAAAATTACCTCATACCTTGGTGCCTGATACAAAGCGACACAGAGTACGTTTAAAAAGCGACAAGTGTTCAACGTGGGAACGAATGCAGTCAGTGCTTATGTTTTCAGTGATAATAACCATTATCACCTCAGCCTACAGCAATAAACCTCCCAGATTTGTTACGGACGGTCAGTCGGAAATAGTTTTGCGCTTGAAAGAAAGTCCAGAGACGCAAGTCGGTGAGTTATGCATAAATCTCGTAAATTTTTCTCGTGGGTAAACTTTTTAAACGCTCTTCTTCGTTCTTTGTTTTTTATGCAAAGGTAATCTCATTTACACCTTGAAAGGTTATGATCCTGACAATGATACTTTGACCTTCGATAAGCGGGCAACAGCAGATAGTGGCGTGATACGCATTGAAAATAATGGCACTACTGAAGCCCTAGTTTACTTAGCCAAAGAATTGGATAGAGAGGTACTTTTTTCCCCTATATATAAAAGCAAACTATGACAAGCGCTCGTCTCTCTTTCGCCTTTACAGACGCAGGATGAATACTCTATAGTTTTAACTTTAAGTGATAACCATTTCAACGATTACAATTATGTAACGCAAAGTTTCCTTTTGTTAGTAGAAGACATCAATGATAATTCCCCAGTATTTTTACCCTACCAAAGCACTATCGAAATACCTGAGGACTCTCAGCCGGATATACTTACTGCTCTCGAGGCAGTAGATGCAGACGAGGGGGCCTACGGTCAGGTAAAAAACGAAAGCGTAGAAAACGCTTTTCTTTGTACTTCACACTTTTAGGGAAATTGTCTAATTTCAGGTAGTTTATTACCTGCAAGAATTGGAAGGTGATAATGATGTCTTTGCGATTAGTACTTATCAGGGAAAAGGTATATTGAGGTTGACAGGTGCTTTAGATTATGAAAGCAAAAGTTTATATCAATTACGAATATTAGCGATAGATCGCGCCAATTATGGCCCTGTTAACACGGGCACAGCCGCCATATTAATCAAAATAAAAGATATAGAAGATCAACCGCCCGAATTCGTTAAAGTTCAACCTGTCGCACGAATACCTGAAGACGCCGCTGTTGGCACGAAAGTTATGCGGGTGCTATGTATCGACGGAGATCGCGGCATAAATAATCCTATAGTATATGAATTGGAAGATAACGAATTATTTGCTATTGAACGCTATACGGGCTGGATTTATACAACACAATTGCTGGATCGGGAGAATATCAACAATCAGGTCGACGGTGCTTATATATTGAAAATTACCGCCAGCGAACTTATAAAGGTTGTGTTCGAAGATAACATCAAGAAAATGTAATAATAATTCGTCTAATTCAGGGTCACGAATTTTCTGGAGTAACTGGAACAACTTTTCCACCTCAGTTGCCCTCATCTCAGGTTAGAACCGAAGTAACCGTTATTATATCCGATGTGAATGACGAAATACCCACTTTTGGACAAAGCTTCTATCGGTGTGAAATCAATGAGAATTCACAGGCGAATACACCTCTTAATTTTTTAGATGCCGAGGCTAAAAATTTTATACACGATCATGATGTAGGCAATAATGGTACGTTCCGTTTATTTTTGGATCCACAAAACGATCTTTTCGAGATTGTACCGGCTGTAGCGGTTAACGAAGCCAATTTTATGTTAAGAGTGAAAAACTCGAAAGCTTTGGATTTTGAAATCATGAAAGAAATTAATTTCACTATATTTGCTCGAGAAATGGACGAACCGACTCGGTATAGTTCGGCTCACGTGCAAATAACTATACGCGATCAAAATGACAATTTTCCCGAATTTTCACACGCCATTTACAGCGTGTCTTTAATGGAAAATAGCGAAATTGGTACAGCAATTATTAAAATACAAGCAACAGACAAGGATTCTCAAGATTTTGGTACATGCGGTATACGTTACCGACACCTAAGGGGAGGTGTCGCACACTTGTAAGTAAAAAATTCCTTTTAACGCATTTTCAACATTATTAGCATAATGCCTTCTCTCCTGAAACCATAACGGATGGCAAGGACATTGATATGTTCCTGCACGAAGAAAGCATTGCCTACATTTTGCTTAGTCTGCTGTCTGTCCATTAAAAACATTTTATTTGAATTAAATGTAGACGTGCAAAAATCTTTTTTCGTGTATCTTACGCGAATTTTGTTAAAATATGAAAATTGAAGAGTTTCAAATGAAAGGTTCGCTTTGCCCTGGTGTTAACGTACCGACGCCTATTTCCTTTTCATTCATTCATTCATTTTGTCTTCATTTCTTCTCAACTGTGCTATTACAGATTACATTTGGACCCTATAACTGGTGTGATAACAGTTAAAAAAGCGGGCGGCTCAGCATTCGATAGAGAGTTTATGAGTCAACATTACCTAACTGTGGAAGCTATTGATAATTTGGGCAATGGCAATCGTAATACCGCCCAATTAATTATAAATATAGAGGACGTTAACGATAATGCTCCAATATTTTTGCATAGACAATACGAAACAACTCTATTCGAAAATAAACGTGATTTTGAACATCCTTTGCAGTTGGAGTCTCGTGATATAGACTTAAATGATACTGAAAATAGTCAAATTACTTATGAAATTGTTGAAGGGATGTACATGTCGCATTTCTACATCGATCCAGTCAAAGGTTCGATAAAACTTTTGAAAGCCTTCGATTACGAAGAATTGGTTGAGCATAAAAGCCGGCAGAGCCGTATAATGGGTGAAGGATTATTAGAAACGCATTTACTGGTGAGGGCACGTGACTCCGGTATACCGATGCTGTCGACGGTCGTACCTGTTATGATATACGTAAAGGACATCAACGACAATCCACCAATATTTCAAAAGAAGTTCTACTCAAGAAGTATAGTCGAGGATTTACCGAGTGGTAGTTCGATACTGCAAGTTTCGGCTATAGACCGAGACGGCTCTGCTCCAAATAATGTAATCGTCTATCGTATTCAAGCGGGGGCTGGTGACAAATTTGTCATTAATTCGGAAACTGGAGTGCTATCAGTTGCTCATGGAGCGAGCTTAGATCCCGATTTAACGGAAGCGAAAACCACCCACTACACCATAACAGTGGTAAGTGATAACCTGCGGACAACTTTTATTTTTTAGAACGATTATCGAAAAAAAAATTCTTTCAGTTAGCGATTGACGGCGGCATCGGCAACTCGCAATTAATGAACTCTGCCACCATCAATATCACAATTAAAGACGTCAACAACAAAGTGCCTGTTTTAGGTGAATTACCGCTTTTGCGCACCGGTGAAAATGTTGCTGTAGGCACCGAACTCTATCGTATTCAAGGTGTTTTTCGTTGTTTTGTTTTACATGGAAATATCTCTAACGTATTATCTCTCATTTAAGCTTATGACCTAGACGAGAATCCAATATTGCGATATAAAATCAACGCCCGCAACTCAGAAGCAAGAAATGAGGACGGGATCTTTATACAACAAAGCGAATATGATTATGTGTCAGTTTTTGATTTAGATCCGATCAATGGCCGCTTGCAAACCGCAAAATTAATAGATCGTGAGAAGGTGGAACACATTAAATTGGCTATAATGGTGGAAGATTTGGCGGCAGCCAACGGCCAACAATTAGCCGAAGGTATTTTAAGCTTACATATCCTGGATGAGAACGATAACAATCCAAAGTTTAAGGAACCATTCTACAAACGATCCATCGCTGAGAATAGTAAAAACGGGGTCCAAATTGCTCAGCTTAATGCTTACGACAACGATAAAAATCGTACAATAACTTACAGTTTAGAGGGCAATCCCTTGATTACTCAATTAGTACATCTGAACGCACAAAGCGGAGAGCTGGTGGTAGGGAGTAAAATCGATCATGAACAATTTCAATGGTTAAACTTTTCTATACGAGCCACAGATTCGGGCTTGCCTCCACGATCGACTTTAGTAGATATCTACGTAACGGTACTTGATGAAAATGATAATAATCCTTATTTTTTAAGCGGCTCCAAGAATTACACAATTAGCGAATCGGCCAATATCGGTACGAGAGTTGGAACCGTATATGCGGGTGACTCTGATTCCGGCGATTTTGGCAAAATTACTTTCCTTTTGGATCGTATAAGTTCTCAGGGCAAATTCTCCATAGACGCCGACACCGGAGTTTTGAGTGTAGTTGACAAACTGGATCGAGAAACGAAAGACTTCTATATGTTAGTTATAGAAGCTTGGGACAATTATCAATTTGGTTTCTCAGCTGGCGAAAGTCGTAACGCTTTCAAACAGGTTTTGTAAGTATTTTTTAATTTTCTTTGAGATAACAACTCTTTAATGATTAATCTTATGCGCATATATCTTGCATATATCTTGAAGTGTAACTATTTTAGACGAAAACGATAATGCTCCACAGATCGATAAGGACTTTTCTGAATGTGTATTTATAACCGAATATCATGAATTAAATGAGAAGATAGTTACTATTAAAGGATCTGATAACGATGATCCACAAACACCAAATGGACGTTTAGAGTTTCATATAGCTAAAGGCAATACGGAAGGTAAGCAGTCCGCGTAGTTCTTTAACATCTTGACAGTTTTAATAAAGTTTTTCCCTCAGAACTGTTTGAGTTGCGACAAATTGATGCCTGGACCGCTGACATATATGCACGGTTCTCTTTACGTAACCGTTACGGCAATCATTCCATGCTCATCCGAATCCACGACTTGGGCGTCCCGTCTAATTACATCAGCAAAACTTTGGATATTTGCATATCCGATTATAATGATCACGCGCCGACATTCGTACAACCTTTGCGTAATAGCACAGTGAGAATACCCGAAAATATAACCATCGGTTCTTTAGTGTTACAAGTACTGGCCACTGATGATGATATTGGCCTGAATGCTTTAATCAAATACCGCTTAAAACCGGATCCATTGGGAAGTTATAAGCTTTTCGAACTGGATAGCGAGACTGGAAATTTGTACATAAAACAACCTCTGGATCGCAATAAGCAGAAAATTCATGAGGTGCATTTGTAAATGTTGATTCTGTTCACATTTTTATGTTAATTTGAAATGAAAATAGTTACTGATGATATATGTCACATTAACAAGACATATTGTGAATTTTCCAAAATTGAACATATCTGACACGAGGTTCACACCGTAGCATATAGTAGTAAAATAATGGATTTCCTTTTTCACATTATAGATACGTATCGAAGCTTACGATCAGGGTTTACCGACTTCTTTGACTACAGATTTAGATCTAATCGTTTATGTACGCAAAGTTAACGAATATGAACCGCAATTTATTGTAGACGAAATTTATGTTAACTTCACAGGTGAGTTGTAAATACATTTGAAGAGTTTCTCTATTTGCAACGCTATCTATCTAGAGCACACCGATCCCGGTGTGGAACGTGTTGAACTACCTGCTACAATAGATAAAGATGAAGCCGATGATTTGGATGATCCACCAAGTCACGTTTGTTACTCCATAATATACGGCAATGAAGAGGAATATTTTCATTTAGATCCAGAAACTCATATTTTAGTTACCACGAAAGAACTGGATCGTGAATTGCAGTCAAATTACTCTTTATATGTGAAAGCTTCAACGAGCTGCACTTCAGGCGAAAATATTTTAAAAAACAAGCAAAATAAGATAGAAATTGAAATTGATCAAAAATCGGAGAAAACACATTATCGCACACAACAGGCTTCTGTGTATAAACCTGAGATTTATAACCGTTATAAACATTCGCGAACTATCCGATCTCTTCGGGATGAGGAGGCTGCAGCTTTTAACAATGCTTCCGTTAGAGAGTTGTTCAAAGCAGACAGTACAGTTGTTAAAGTTGAGATACATATCGTGGATATCAACGATAATCCACCAAAGTTTCAATCAAAAATATTTACTGGCGGCATTACGACGAACGCAGACTTTGGTGCACGTTTTATGCGCGTGGAGGCAACTGATTTGGATGAAGGTGAAAATGCTAAAATAACCTACTATCAGGTTGGCGAAATACGGCAAACATTGTCGGAGGGTTTGGAAAATGTCAGGACCTCGCCATTTCTGGTTGACCGAGAAACGGGAGAAATACAATTAAATTTTGACCCGCAAAAGGATATGAAGGGCTACTTTGACTTTATGGTTTTGGCTAACGACAGCGTCGGGATGAAGGATGTAGCTCGTGTTTTTATATATCTCTTAAGGGAGGATCAAAAAGTCAGATTTGTATTTAGACTGCAAACGGACGAATTAAGAGATAGAGTTCATGAATTTAAGGAGTAAGCGCTGAAAATTTTTTCGCCAAATTATTTTTGAATTCGTTTTCCCCAATTTGTAGAACACTTAGCAATATCACGGCTGCTATAGTGAACATAGACGAGATTAAAGTGCATGAGAACAGGGACGGCTCGGTGGATAAAACAAAAACCGATTTGTATATGCATTTAGTCAGTAAAATGGATAATTCTATATATGAAGTAGCGGAAGTTCTGAATTTAATCGATGGCCATATTGAAAGTTTAGATAAACTATTTAAGGATCTCAATGTTTTGGATACACAAGCAGCCGAAGCTCAGCTATTGACATCGGAACTTCAGGCAAACGCGATGTTTGTATGGCTAGTATTTACGAATCTATTTTTGGCCACTTTATTAGTCGTTATCTTGATATTATGCATCTCGCAAAGGACTGACTATAAAAGACAACTGAGGGCAGCTGAAGTTAATATTTTCCGTAAGCGTTTTTTCTTACTTTACTTCAAACACTGAAACACATTAATTTTAGACAATTTTATGCTCCGTCCTAATAATTAAAATTTAGGTAACTCTTCTTTGTCTTTGCGAAACACTGCGGCGACTATAACTCGAGTGCCCAACACGAATAAGCACAGTCTTCAAGGATCTAATCCGATGTGGTTGAAAGGATATGAAAACGAATGGTTCAAAACCGAGGAGAATTTAAGGTAAGCTTCACAAGTTACCCTCCCCAAGAACACTTAATGAGTAAAAATCGTATTTATTTGGCATTTTTTCGGATTTACTTTACTTTTTACTTTACATTACGGGTTTACTTTCCACAGCCGCAGCGATCGCGATTCCTTGGATGATAACTTTTTGGCGATTGCCAATCAGGATAATGGCTGTGCGAGTGCAAAATTATTTCAACAAACCAACGATTTAAATCGTCACTTTAACGTTTGCAATCATATCGATAAGTTAACAAATAATGCTCACTTGTTAGCTAAGAAATTAGAAACCACTGAATTATGATTCAAGACTCGTACTATCGCGTTCGAATGAGTATTTGAAATTTTTAAGTTAACATACGTTGTAAATGTAAATATAAAACTAATTAAATAAGAAGAAGGTCGACTTTGCTTTTTATTACAAGCAAGGGAAGAACACTGTGAACCTTTAAGGGAAATTCTTGGATTAACAATTAAAAGAACTGTAATCAACGAATAGATTTATTAAAGGCAACGAAAAGGCGTCAACTGACCCATCAATAACTGGGAACCTTTAACTAACGTAATTCTTACACACATTTTTTATATGATCTTCGATCTTTTGGACGGTTCTGCTCTAAAAAGGATACTTTAGGACTATCATCAATCCCTCAAGTAACTATTTAGAGCCCACACATTTACAATTTAAATGGGTTTAAAAAGTTAAGTATTGAAATTTTATGTGAATTTCGGACTCTTAGCAAGTTCGCAGCCAAAGGAAGCTGCCTACGCAAATTAACCAGAACATTTATGAGTCTGAGACGGACGGTTAGTCAGGCGTTATGAAATTGAGGCATTATACACAATTTGTAGTTTTCCACATGTGCACTTTGTAGAATGGTGAATATAAACAAGAAACGCTTTAAAACTCTCATCAACTTTTAAAGTACGCTTCTGCTCTAAAATGAACATTTTGGAACTGTCATCAACCTCTAAAATATCTATTTAGAGCCTACAGGTTCATAATTTAAACGGATGTAAGATTTGTTAGCGAAATTGCTGATAAAAGTATAAAAATTTATACCCCTTAATAAAACATCACTTACCTATTTTCCGACTGGACATTATATCAGTTTATATTTATTTTGAAGACGTTTTCATTAATTTCCTGTTAATTATCACTCATGACTTAAGATATTGCTTTTTTCATTCTTACTCTTTCACTAATTACTTTCTCATATTGTTCTTCTAATTTACTGAAAAAACACTCAATAACTGATCTCTCATTGCTTAAAACACAATCTGCATTGCTTGTACAACCCGGTGTGGCAATCTCATCCAAACGCGCACAATCAGCATTGATTTTAAGACAATCTTCGGCGCAACAAAAAAATTAACGCAAATTATATGTCCACCTTTACCCACTTACGGTTAGGCGACTATGAAAACTACTTTTTTTTTCGCTACGGGGAAAATTTTCGCAAGGAGAACTTGAAACTAAAAAACCGCACACATTTTCACATTTTTTACAAGTTTCCATTGACAAAATTTCATTAATTTGCAGCAATTTTTATTTTCACACAAAACTCAGCAAATTCTTTCACAAACAAACCCAATCGATCATGTAAATAAAGTAATTTTTCGTCTTTTTGTGAATTCCTTTACTTTAATAAATTTTCGAGATTATTTAACAGAAAATATTATATAATGGTTTACAAGGGAACTTGGAGCTTTAACAGACAACTCCAAGATGAACAGAAAATACGCGACAAATGATTTCAAATGAATAATATTTAAATGATGCTAGGAGACAAAACAGTGCTGCCAAATCGTATCACAACTATTAATCGAATTAGCGGTTTATTTGATTATGACTGATATCGTAATTGACTAATTGATGGTTTTGCAATGGACGAAGCCTAAATACAGAAAAGTTTTAATAGAAAAAAGAATATTTTTACCGCTTGTAAATGATGAAAACATGGAGTTCATTAAACTTGAATTTATTTTTCTTTTGCTTCGTACGTTACGTTCTGATTGCTCTGATTGATTTTGAATGAGCGCAATGAAACAATAGTCGATATTTATTAGCGTCTTTAGTGTTTGGTTGTTTTTTTATAAAAATATAATTTTTCTCAGTTTATTTTATTGATAATTTTGAAGATGTTAAAAAATAATAATAATAATTTGCCAAAATCAAGTTTTTTTTATATAGTTTTCTTAAAAAAAAAAAAAAGATACATATAACCTACGTTAATTGTATTTTTTGTGTCGTGTTACATAATACACTTTTCTGCTATTTACTTAAAAAATTTGAGATTTTTTTTTACAATTTTTTTATCTTATCTTAATTTCACACATAAAAAGACAACATTTACACATGAAAACTTAGCTGGTTACAAATTAAAATATTTTAACATTTAAAAAAAAAAATCTTACCAATTTTTTTGTATGGGTATATTTGTATATGTAAGAAATGATATATACATAATGAATTGATACTTATTTTAAATCAACTTTTCTAATAATACTTATGATATTATAAGTTAATCAATCAAGAAGCAGTAGGCAACAATTACAATCGTTAAAATATTTATGCTGCGTTCTTTGTGAACTTCTATTGTAGATGTAAGTAAAAATTTTCTAATGAATATTTTCAATCTTCAAATAAGAGGAGAGGGTATTTATAGTCGACACAGAAAACCTGTGCATAGCCGACCAATCCCAGTAGTAGTAATTATCGGTGAACCTTCATCTTGGTGGGTATAAAAAATTCAATCACACCCGAATGTTATTTTCTTAATTATTTTATTTTTCTAATCGTAAAATATGTGAAAATACATTTCAACATAATTGTTAGACACAATTTCGTTCAAAATTCCGCTTGTGAATTGATTTTATTTTACGGTAATGGAAAATTTGAAAAATATATATAAGGAAATTAGTAATAAAAAGTAAAAAAACTAAATTCAACTAAACTAAATTAATCTTAGTAAAATGTGCTTCCTTCCCTTTCGTTCGGAGCAATTTAAATTTTTGTAGTGTTCAATAGCTATGTAAATTTCAATTAATTAACAGATATAATATAAGTAAACTAAAACAAGTAAGAAATTTATGCTCCGACGTGACCGAATCTTTTATACGCATCACGGCTATCTTAAAAAGACAAAAAAAGTAAAAGAAATGCATTTTCATACCCTACAACATAGAGTGCGCGCGCGAGATTGATTTTTTTTATTTTTAAAATAAAAGTTTCGTGGGCATGTCCTTTGAAAAATTTAGATCACTTTCAAACTCATTTGCATTTTCGCTAATGGGAGAATATTTATCACAGATACTTCATAGTTGACCATACGGATAGATGAATAAATAGACCGGACGGACAGATGATTAGGCTTTCAAAGGTTGTTTCTGCGCGTTATAATGGTATTAAAAAAAAACTTGTTTTTTATACACTATAATATTGAGTAGGCGTGGTCAACTGTTTGCATTTTTGTGCAGGTACTACAGCATCGTCCGTGGAATATGTTGACCTAGTAGGTTCAAGAAGTTTCCACTTTTTAGACACCTTGAACTTTTTGATCAAAAATTCTATACTTTGAAAGTCATAATTTAAAAAAAAAGTGTGAAAACTTTTTATAGAGATTTATAAAAAGTTTTGAAAACAAATTCATTCTTCCAGGGAAGCGTTGTGTTTTCATTTGACTGGCGATCGACACTCATATGAACAGTCGGGTCTAACTCGCTTCCAGCATTCGCATTGGGAAGTTTAACCTGTTCCCATAACCATAATTGTAAACACGAAGAATATAAGGTTATCACGCACGACTCTAGCCGAATCTTTTATGTCCACCATCTTCATGCTCAAAAAAAACAAAAAAAAAAAGATACAAAATTAAGGTTTGATACTTGATAGTACTAGGTGGACGCGGTCACCTACGGTTAGAAACCTCCCCGGCATATACGCGGATAACTCAATTTTTTCCTGTTTTAAAATACGTTTTCGCAGTTTATGTTGTTCTATAGTCGTATACCTTGACTATTTTGCTCAGTGCTGAATACTAATCTGCATGCAAGAAGTTCCGTCGTTCTTACCAAATTCGAAATTAATATCTCACTTTTTGCGTCCGGGAGCAGCGAACGCAAGAACATGCTTACGTCGATTCAGAATCTGTGGAAAGTCTCTGACGCTTCTTTTTCGATAATGCAAAGTTGTTGACAAACTGAATATAAGCAGAACTCTGTATCGAACAATTCAAGAATTTTTCGAGCTTGATATAAAAAGCATAAGAGTAAGAAATTAAAATTAAATTCGATGGTTGTCGGATTTTAATGGTGATTTTAGGAGGACGACGGACAGTTTTATGGCATACAGAATGCCGTCTCCAATAAATATTTCTAAACATTAGAATTATAAAAGAGAGCGTAAGTGTTACCAACGAAATGGAAGCGCTACGCAACAGATACTTTCCCTGCTCAGCAATGTTTTGGTTTTGGTTTGGATGGCTACATTGACTCAGCCACGAGCCTCATCTTGACCTAAAAGATTAGATTAGCCGACAAGAAATTGTCGAATTTAGCGTTCAAGAAATCCACAAGTGATAAAAAACAAATGCTTCCACAACGTTTCGTTGTATGTGAAGGATGTTGAACTTGAGGCATCATCGAACCATTTTTCTTAGAAAATGTTGTTTCAGACGAGAAGTGAAGTGATAATTGTTACTATTATTAATTTAGACGGAGAAATCAATTCTAACACTAAAGTCTTAAAGCACCAGCATTATTGGCTTTTTTTTTATATCTGAAGAAGACAATGCTGCGTATCACATAGACTGAGAACCAATTCAGTTACTGCATGAGTCATTTTCTCGTCGTTGTGGTTTCCCGTTTTAGTGATCAAAATTATTAGATTATAGGGTTCAGCGCCATTGGACTTTTTTTCCGAGCTTTTTAGGGTGTAAGGTTTGCATCAACAGACACGCGAACCTCCCACGCCTTAGAAGAGGCTAATCAAATTTCAATAAACATATAGACATGTGTCGGCAAAGCCTTTTATCCAATTTTTATTCCATACATAATCTAACTCCTCCCCACCCGGTCCCACTCATGCATGTGTTTTCTATTGAGATAACTTCTTAGGCGAATTTGGGGATACTCTTTAATAATTATTAGTGTAATTTAGAACGTTTGATGCAACAAGTTTTTAAGCTTTGTACGGACCGACATAGTGTCTACTTTTTTTTTTAAATTTTTTCAAGCGAAATGGAAAACTTGCTACGGCCTTTCATCCGGTAAGAGTATGCAAAAAATAAAAAGTATATAAATAATCACAAGAAAGTTTTAGTTTTACTAAGATTAAATTAAAATTAAAATTTATCCCTTGTTTGTCTGATAATTTTCTTTTTTTTTGTAATTGAATGTGAAAAAAATCGCTTTTCATATTCATACGCGTACATTATTTTATGTTTAATATTAGATTTTTTTTTTTCGCTAATTTCGCTGATTTTTGAGAAGATTTTTTATCATCACGTTAAAGCCCTAAAAACCATATATACGCAGCAAAGTGTTCTTATACTTTGCCTAGGTCAACAACTTGAGCATTCTCTGATTAGCAATAAGAAATGATTCCTTTATATAAATCTAATTTTCAATTTATTTTTATGTTTCAGTTAACATAATTTTGTGTAAAAAAAGTTCATTCAATAATGTATTATTAGGGGTTTTAAAAAAAATAATAATAATAAAAAACAAAAATAAAAATGCTTATGTTATTATATAAAAAATAAGCGTTTTTCTCCGTAGATAATTATGATTTTAAAATGAATCAAGAAGAGAAATAGAAACATCAAATTGAAAAAAATTCGAATCCTGTTCCGCAAAGTTCATTTCGAATGAACAAAGAGCTCGTTCATTATTAAAAAGAAATTCATATAAATTAATTTACGAAAAGCTCACCGATCCTGTGCTTATCTAGGTTTGCACTAATCCGCGTATATCATTTAGATTGTGACAACTATTGTTTGTGCTATCCATGAACAGAACTGAACTATCGGTAAAGCCCGTAGTTAACGAAGGGCTTACATTACTTACATTAACGCTTGAAAAATCACCCGTCGTGTCCGCCAAGATGTCGTCACCGAAATTCAAAAAATCCCCCAAACCGGATCCAATTGTTTGCTGCAAAGTTTTTAGATTTTTATCAGCTATTTCAATAGCACGTTCAATTTCGTCGCTTTCATCTTGATGTACTAAAAAAACAGACAATAAATACAACAACAATATATTTGAAATTAGTTTGGTTTTTTTTTTTTAGAAAGACTTACCGGTAGTAAATAATTCCTTAAATGCATCTTCTGGTAAAGAATTCAACACATTAGCTAAATCATGTTCTTCGAGCAGTGGTGCGTCACCCAACGGTATATCATCTACGAAAATGGGAAAGACAAATAAGGATAAGCTTAGGCTTTTTTATTGGGTTTTGCAGAAAAACTAATTTACCTGGATCTGTACCAGTTCCCAGCATTAATTCCGGGTCGCTTAATCCACCCAAACCGGTATCTTCCGAGCTAGCAGAACTATTTTCGCACATACTTAACATGTCTTGAGAAATGAAATCATCGGCCGTTGGCAAAGATGTAGTGGATCCCATACCGGATGACGTAAAATTTGAATTGGAATTAGTATTGAAATAGTTCAACTGATTTTGCGACGTTGTCATGCAAAATTGTGTCGCCAATTCGCTCATTTCGTGGGAAATAAAAGGGGAGCAGTTTTTTTGATTACTCAAACCAAAATTCAGTAAAGTTTGCGACAACTGCAGGGTGCTGCCGTTAATACTACCACAAAGTGGTACTAATGCAGGCGGTGCTAATGTATTAGTGTATTGCTGTTGTACGGCATTCACAATTTGAGAATTACTACACGACGACGATGACGACTGATGCGAGTTACTGGCTATGGATTCCAAAGATGTCGTGCTACTCTTCCTCTTCAACACCGTCGATAATGGCGGCAATTGCGTTACATTCGCCGGCGATACTATGAGATTTGTCGGCGCAGCTTTTTTACTCCTCTTCTGAGGTCGGGCAGATGCGCCGCTATGACTGCCAGATAACTTACGCTTTCGCGCAGCCGTTGCATCTGTTTGCAAAATTGTGCGTTTCACGTTAGACTGCAGCTGAAGCTGACTTTGATGCTGTGGCTTTCCTTGGAATTTCATTCGTGGTTCCGGCATTAAGACTCGGGTCGGCGATATCCGCTGAAGTTTTCGTTCATCTACGAAACGATTGTATGCGATTCGTTTTCGAGCATGTACAGAACATAACGGCAAGTTGTGCGTTACATCAAAAGCAGGCATTTTGCATTGTGTGTTATCAGCAAACTTTGCTGTACACGGGGCAAAAATTTGCTGAACTCCATTATGTACAATATGTTTAGGGCAGTGCGAGCCCATTTCAAGACTCCATGCTTTGCAACCGTTTACACAACAAAGTTTGAGATGTTTAAACGGTCTACAGAATTGTGAGAAATGAATTAAAATGCGGTAGAATTGGTCCAAATAGGTACGGTATACTTACTCTTGCATCTCCTGATTATTATATTTTCTCAAAAGACGATCGACACATAGCAGACGTCTCTTAGCCAATTGCATAGGTAATCCTTGCAGCGATCTTATGGACAGCAATTGCATTGCCTGACGTCTCAGCTGCTGCTTGTACAAGCCAAGGCGTTCTTCTCGAGCGAGAGAGTGATTTAATTGAGCATTTTTCAGATCACATTCATCGACCGAGGAGGCGACATACTTTGGCACTTGCAGCAACCAATTATTTTGCAGGCAATACGGCAAACCAGTATCGGTGGCCAGCAAACTGATATCGTTGTTCACTTCTTCTTGCGACATTTTTATTACGGCCACAGCCCCTTTTAAAGTACTTCCTGTCTGCCAAGTTGGATAATCCAGATTGAGTACTTTTCGTGCTTTCTTTTGCGAGGCTGGAAGTACGGCTGACGACGGTGTGCCTTGCGGTGGCGTTTTCGTAGTTACCGCCATTTGAATACGGTTGGAGATAATTGCGGCTGCAATTTCAGTTTCAGCATTGAGAGCCTGTGCTGTGTGCTCTGCTTTAGTGGAAGACTTTGTATCCTGTGCCATGCTGGCTAAAATATCATTCGAGGCGGGTACATTTTTCATTTCTTTGATCTGTTTGTTTGCTGGGGGCAAAGCAGCCGATGGCGCCACAGCTTTTGCATTGCTTGACAGCGAAGCTTTATCTGATTTTTCTTCCGAAACCTGACCAGCGGCTGCTGACATCCGAAATATCACATTAACCGGTATTTTGTTCAAACTTTCACTATTGGAATGTTTCAAGGGATTGTCGAAAGCTTGTAGTGGTGGAGGATGTGGATTTTTCGAACTTGTTGTTATTTTTTTGGGCTTCTTCAGACATTCGATCTTGTTCAGTTGCTGAGCCGTCGTGTTCTGATGGAATTTTGAGGGCGGCAATTTTGCGTTAAGGCTTGCTGGCGGGAGTGGAGATGTGTGCACCACAATCGGAGCCACTTTAGCCATCGCTGTAGTACCGGAAGAGCCACCACCAGTACTCTGCGAAGTGGGTGGTAAACTTACCGTTAATATGGGCGACGAGACGGGCGCGCTTCCACAAGTCGTCATCGATGATGCCGTATCTAATAGCAATGGAGTCTGCCATAACGACGGTGTAGGTGTATAAAGTGGTGGTGGTTGAAGAGATGGTGGCGGCGGTGGTGATATTATCGATTTGATTTCTTCTGTCACGGGCGAGTTCCCATAACTATATTGCTGCTGTGTCTGATACAATTGCTGATGCTGCTGCTGCGGCTGCTGCTGCTGCTGCTGCGGTCTAACAATGCATATGTTCGTTAACTTTTTATTACCGTTTGAAAGCTGAGCTGTTGTTTTTGCCGCTGCCTGTGGTGCTTGTCTTATTACACCTTTGTTAAAGTTGTTAAAGTCTACTATTGTTGCTGATGTGGTTGTCAGTGTTTTAACTACAGGTAAGGTTGCAATTGTGTTGGCGTTAACAGGCGCTACCACAAATGCTTGCTGAGCTTGCGTTCGCTCGGCTGAGGAAACTGCTGCAGTTGCTGCTACCTTAATATTTGCATAACGTGTTAATGGTAACTTTTCTTGTTGATTTGTTATTGGAGATTTTGCCGCAACTATGTTCGACGTCGGCACCGTTATTATGCTAGCAGATGAACCATTTAGATCACTTAACCTGGTACGCGATTTCTATAAACAAATAGGTAAACGAATGAAACGGATCACGTCGATAAGATTACAAAAATGTACAAACGTATGACTGCTCAAATATGACCAATGACTGATACAATTTTAATCGCGAATAAAATTACAATTGCCCTAAAAAATACGCCAGATCCGAAATCGTTATAGTAAAGAAGAAGAAATTAAGAACTTTGCGAACGTGATATTGTTTCAGCATTCTGCGTTAATCTTACTAACTACGAGCTTCCAATAAAGGACGAAAATGAAGGGAAATAATAGACTCCAACGAATCGCCCTAACCAGAAATATGTATAATATATACGCTATACTATATATATATATATATACAGTAAAAGTTCCTTATTCGCGGGGGATACGATGCCGCGAATACAGAAACCGTGAATACGGAACGATAATTTATATGGGATTATACGGGATACGTAGGTGACAAAATAAAAAAAAATCAAATATATAAAAGAATCAATTTAATTGAATGCGAATGCGAATGCGCATTTAGGTTTTCCCCCTTTAGGCAATTTGTTATTTGGGGAAATTACTTAGCTGAAATGAACTAGATTTGGGATTTTCGCAACAATACTTTATTCGTTCCTTTCATTCTGTTTGTTTACATTCTCGAAAACCGCGAATAAAGAAATTTATAGCCGCGAATATGGGAATTGGTCGCATTTTTTTTATCCGCGAATAGTGAAACCGCGAATAAGGAACTTTTATATATATATATATATATATATATATATATGTTCCTAAGCTTCTTCTGGAAATTTAATTTTCGTAAAACTCAGCCAGTGTGTATATAGTAATGGACTTTTCAACAGGTTCTTCTAGTCTGGTTTACGTATGCCCGGAAGAACAAACGAATAGAGAGAAATGGGGTATAGGCTTTAGCGTTGCAAAATTACGAACAGCATCTATAATCAACGTCAAGGCAGAAGGAACAATCCTTAGTGTGAGTGCCTTGCCCATGTCGGTGATATGATTCGGAAGTATAAAGCTTAATATGTTCGCTATTGTCGGTTGCCGAGCATTTGACATGTTTATGATGGTTTAGTGGTTGCACTTGTAATTCAGATTCGCATTGCATGCCAGTATCTATCCGAACATGCTTCCTTTCCCTTTTGTTCTTTTATTTGGATTTCGTTCTCTTTGTCTTGTTCTTTAATTTACATACTTCACAAATTGAAGACGAATTATTCAGCGTAAGATATATTTTTAAGAGTCTACTTCACATTCCTCTTGAAGTTTATTGCATATGCGTAGACAAAAATAATATCAGATTAAAATAAAGGCCAGATAATGAAGGAGAGAAAATCGCAAGATTAGATTTGATTGATATTTTCTCATGAAACGTGACCTGAATCATTTATTATAACTGAACTCCTGACAAATTTCGGTTCTTTCAAGATATATCATGATTCAGTATTGGTATCAGAGCAGAAGAAACGATAACAGACTCACGATATTTCACGAAACTTTTAATTGCAAAGGATCAAAGGAATTAAAAGAAAGATTAGGGAACTGTATGCTTAGAGATATAAAATTCAATGTGTGTTATTTGGTTGCGTAATCCACCGTAAAACAAACAAATTGACAAATTTTACAGACACCAATTATGACCGCTTTCGTCAAGTTGATCTTGGTGTTAGTGAAAACGAAGATAAATTTGAGCTTTAAGGCATTTGAAGTTGTCAACTAAGACAACTTATGCACTTATGGGAAGCGCCCATAAGTGCAGTGAGCAAAGACTTGAAAACTGAAAGCTAATAAGATAAAGATAAACCATTTGTTTGCATTGTCGCAATAAATACGACTCGGTCTGAACTGTTTAAAACGACAAAAGCCTCCACGAAAACATAAAGAGTCTCATAACTTTTTCGCTCAATTTTGATAGAATGATAAGACGCACACTCTCTTGGCCCTATCAAAGAGCTGACATTAATCATCGCGCAACGATTAGTGATTGACTGCAGACCAAACCAACTTGCATTTTCGTAGATATTTTGAAAAGTGGTTTGCCTCAATTGCAACGAAATAAAGACGAAAACAAAGAGAAGAAGAAGTTGTTCTAAAAAGCTATTAAAAATGATTGCTCAATGATTCGATAGATAAATGGATTGGTTGAAGTTTAAAGCTTCCAAGAATTCTCACCTGTATATTAAATAAAACGGGCGGTAGGTTTGGCACAGTTTCTGTGAACACATATGGATCATCAGCTACGATAGCCGATGATTGCTTTGTAGTATTTTCAACGTTGTTTTTATTATTATTAATGACGTCACTGCTGTTAATTCTTATGCCAGTATTGTTGTTGATGCGATTAGACTTGTTGGTTATAAATCTGGAAGCTTGCTGACATGACATGTCCAAAATGGCTAACAATATTTTAATTTTAATTAATTTACGTCTTTCTTTTTCTCTTTACTGTATATTATTGTTGTTGCGTTTCTTCGAATTCATTAACGTTTCCCTCTGCTTTTCTTAAGTAGATATAAAAACTCTTTTAACGCAGCAGCATATATTCAACACAATATCATCTAAATATTTATACTAGTAGTGTATCTGAAACACAAAAAGAAACAAATAAAAACAAAACGAAAATAATTTTCATATTTTTGGTTACAAATACAAAGGCACGCAATACCTATTCTTTGTTTTCTTCTCTTTTTCTTTTTTGCTTTTTTTTCCAAATAAAATGAAAAGATTTAATGTCCGCATACATAAATGTACATATCTATCGTACACGTCCGTATACTCGCACACACATCTATTTCAATATATTCTCATTAAATTCACTCAAGTGTTGTTTGGTTGTTTGGTTTTATTTGTTTTTTGTTTACTTCTTTCTCTCTGCAAACATTGATAAAAAAAAAAAATGTAAAAAAGCCACCTACACTTTCCTAGCGTTCGTTTGTCGGAATAAACTAAACGAAGAGCGAGTGAAATGCGCTTACTCGCCAGTAGGTTAAAACCCAGATACAAATACTCAAACGCATGTAAATAGAAATGTGCACAGCTATCGTAAAACGAGCCGGAAAGAGAGAGAGAGAGAGAGAGAGAGAGAAAGACAAAAAAAGTTAGTTATTGTAAACGTAAACAAAAATACAAAGAAGAAAACGCTATGGGAAAATAACACAGACTCGAAGCGAAGGAAGAAATGTGAATCATATATTCTGTGATCTTGCACGAATTTCGAACACCCACCATTATTGCATAATCTCCGCTTTTTTGGGGAAAGAGGACGACGGAACAATGGGGGCATTGGGGAATGCGAACAAGCGAGATAAAGGATAGATGGAAGGGACCAAAGCTTAGAGTCTCCCGTTCGTTGCGGGTGCAAAGGTGTGCGATCTCTGTGTGTGCCATAAATGAATTATCAAAATTAACATACTCTCCGCTCTGATAGAGTTTACAAAAACACCAACTGTCGAACATAGCGTTCTATTGATAGGAAAGAAACGACGCATAACAACAACAATGCACGACTATGAATGAGAATGACGTACTTATGCATATGAATGCATTGTTATAGTATACTTGAGTAAAACTAAGTAGGATTGCATTCGCGCTTCAGGTCGAATCTTGGACACTCGCTACACACGCAACGCTCTCTTTTTAGATTGCGCTTAGCTAATTACTTATTAATTATTTTTTTATTTTTGATTTTTTCGTTCCAATGCAACTCTGACAATCACCCATAGCCCTGGGGAAAAACATTTACGTCCGCAGCTGCACGTAAACAAAGTGATAAAGTAAAGAGCCTATGAAACAAATAACAAATAGCGCAATAATAAATCAATTAAATAGAATACAGCTAATAAATGTTTGCCTTTAATGCCTTCAGAGTGTTCTGTTCAAAGTCAATGAATTTAATTTCCTTACACATGTTTTACGTGAACGCAACGAAAAACAGAAATTTACAAATTTTGAATGTAAATTAATTGAAGAGAACTGGCGAACTGTGTAACCAACACGACAACTTTCGTGCACTCCCCGAAAAAGGAAACAAATATTAATTCTTCTTGTACGTTTATATTTATCTAATGACGTGATTCTTTTTATGCATATCTTGAATTCGTCATAAAGTTGCTTTCAAGGTTAAAAATAAGAAACGAAAATGTGGCCTAAGGTTGCTTGCTACTACGCTTACACAGCCCACACCGTTCTGTTCAATTGGGACCTGCTGAGAAGAGTTTGCACTTATCAAACTATCAAGACTTAAGCGTGGATTCCACTGACTTTCGATGGTCGTAATGTGAAGCCATAAAAAATTCTTAACCGAAACACAAACAATACCTAACAGAAGTGTAATATACGTTATATGCAATAGATGGAAAACTTGTTACGAACACAAGTCGCCAACGTACGTGAAATTGCCTCAATAGTTTTGCAATTGTACGCGAAAACTTTAAGCGAACAGATTTGCCGACATTAAGGGCAATACGGGTGTGAAAAAAATTCAGACCGGCTCTATGCGAGCAAGCTCGCCGGACATCGTTAGGCACCGCGAAATGATATACCAGAGCACAATTTCGAAGAAAGTGTACGATTGCATTCTCTTAAAGGTGAAATGGCGATGAAGCGGATACACAACTTCCTTTATGTTACACGAACAGTTGGGACAAACTTGGACTAACCTTCAAGTCAAATGGTTTGAGTAGAACTATTTAAGAGCGGAAAACCCGCGTAGATCGAGCCTTTTATTCAAATATCTGCAATCAAGTTTTCTCTAATGCGAATGTAACTCTATATATATATATGTACCAAAAAGGAGTTACAGTCTAGCATAAACGATCATTTCGTCGTCTTGGTTTGTTTAGATGTTAAGAAAAAATTATGCCATTAAGGGTATTTGACCTTTCACTGGTAGTAGTTAGCGAATAATGCAGGTCAAGCCGTGTGAGAAAATCAGTTCTTTGAACTGGCCCGTGAAACGCAATGCGCTAACTATGGATCATTAAAGTGTGTAATCTATTGAGAAAATGTGTTTATAAAATGAACTCGATAAAGAAGAAAACAAAGGAAAAAAAAAGAAAAAAAAAAAAACAATTCCCACATTCATATAACCGGTTGTACTACGGTCAGCTGGAGAGCCAGTTAATTGGCTGCTTTGACAGTCAGCCAACCGAATAGTGAGTCGGGTAAACTGAAGCTTAGAAAGCCAAAGCAAACAAATCCAAAAGACTTTGATTCTTACAATAGATTGCGGACAAAGAAGAAACAAACTGTAAATGATAAGAATACTTACTCTTCTATAACAACAACAACGTACACATATTATATAAATTGAAAGAATGAAAATAATTGAAATTAACAAGAGAATCAGGTATGGTGATGATGTGAGTACGACGGTTTTTATGTGCATACGCAGCAAACGGGAGAACACGTATTAAAACACGATGACACTAAAAAAAATTATTACGAACTTAATAATCATATTGACATTGACAACATTTTTATGCATGTATGTGTGAACGATTGCCGTATATATATATATATATATATATATATATATACATATAAATAGATATACGTCATAAAAATTAATGAGAGTATACTTGCGAGAGTGTTGTTGTTGTATTGAAACAAGTATTGCTTGCATTCATTTACATAAGCGATAGTATTGTGTTCTGAAACTTTTTTTTTTTTTTTTTTTTTTTTGATATTTCAAATTGTCATTTTAATGCCATCATTAAGTACAAATCGTGAAAATGAATGCTATCAGCGCTAATATGGATATCTAAACTGGCAATCATATTTAGGAAATAAATATTAAGTGTTTTTCACAATTTAAATTCACAAAAACCTTACTCGTCGTAGAAGGCGATTCAAAATATTTCTATCTAATTATTGTCTAAATGTTTTATTTCTTTATTTTTTTAAGATTCAACTGTGAGCTTTTAATTATGAATAAGTTAGCCTTTCTCACATTCCCCGTCGAAATATATGAACTTTGGCCGGATAGAGTTTAAAACTCTTCCTTAAAGATAATTATGAAGTGCGTCGGCATTTGTTGAGTGACTCACACACTCAATCTCTCTGTGTTTGTTTTAAGGGCTTTCATTTTATATTTATTTATCCATTCAATATGCTATGAGTGTTGTTGTGGACACACGCGACTATATGCAGAGAAAGGCAAAAGCGTGCAAGTTTCGGTATATTCAATCACTCGATCCATTGAATCGGTTATCGTAAAACGAAAAGACCTAGAACATGATTTAGATTGAGGGACACAGCGGTGCCAAACAACACTTGGATTCGAGTCAGCCTCATATCCGAGAGCGAATAAGGCGTCTCATGGCCCTACCATAGCTTACGTTACAAGTGGAATAGTAAAGTTGATGTACGCACTTGTATAAAGACTTAATATGAAAATAAAACAGCTTTGCTTGGCTGAGTGTTATCATATTGAATAAAATGGCTTTATGGATGATGGCTTTTTGCGGTTTCTGTGGTTTTTGTATCGAACAAAATGTTGCCATGTGTTTATTTGTATTCAGATATCTTGTTTTTTTTTTCCTGCTTGGAATTAGTTAACAAAGGTAAATATTAATACCATTTGTTTAAACTCTCGTAAATTTTCGAAACGAAAACAAACTCGCAAACTGAATATTAGCAAAGGATAAAAGAAAGAAAAGTATAACACAATCGACTGCCGAAATGACGAACGATGATATCTTGCTAAGAACGAGTAGAAGAGTAAAATTAAAACAGAATTTTTACCTTGAAACATATAGGTCTTTATTAAAGATGTCTTGGAGAAAAAGTTGAACTCGTAAATAAAGATGGGTAACCATACTATAGTGAGCCACTAAATTCCCTCATATGATCCCAAAAAAAGCGATCCGATCCGAATCATATTCAGTGGCGTCCACCCTTGGGACAAAATAGAGAAGTGTAAGAAAATTTTAGCAAAACATCTTGGGGAAATGTAGACTGAGCACAAGAAAACAAGATGGGCGGACGTACGGACAGACGTGCATATATGCTTAGATTTAGAATTACTTTCTGAATCGATCGGCATACTAAAAGTTGATTCCATCTCAAGTCCTTCTGGGCAAGGTATTTACTTGGAATGCATTTTCCAACTCTGATGGGAAACCTGCGATGACCGCTAGACCCCAATAAGGGCTTTTTCCATCCACACACGGATATTGTTAAAAGGATTCATAAACACCTGTCGGCCGTGAATGTATATTCAGTTATTTCATATCGTCGACGGATAGTACGCCAAATGTACGACCCAATTATGCAATAATTTGGATGAATTCGGTACGTTCAATATGTCGAATAGGAAGTACAGCATTTAATGAAAATCGAAAAGCGTGAAAGGCTTGACCAGTAGCTTCGCTAATATAAAATGAACGCTAAATAATCAACAACAGTTGCACTTCCGCTTTAGAACTCTGAACTTGATATATTTAAGAAAAAAGGAATATATTTATATAACGATACTTGTATATATACATTTGACATACGCAAAAACAAATTTACTTTGTTAAAGGAAGCATATACTTGCGGAGAAATACACTTAGGTACGAGCTTTCGATTGTTATCACCGGCGTTAAATACTAATTTGAATATTTACGTAGAAGTTGCAGATCATCTTCTATATACAACTGCCTAAATGTCTAAGTATATGCGTAATATTTTTTCAGTATATAAGTGTTGGTAGCTATACACATGTACGCATGTATAAACATGTTTTTTTCCTTTTTTTACGATTTTACTTATGTTCTTTTGTTTCGTTTAACATCTGCGACAGCTGCAAGTTGCTGCTCCAACATACATTAAAACCCTTAGCAGGATACACATATACACATTTACAACGTTCATTTTACATCCATCGTTGAGATCTCATGCACAAGTGATGTTACATACACGGAGTCTTCACAAATATAAGAAAATCCGTTAAAAAACGCTCAACAAAATTAATTCATTACGACTCTACAATGTGTTTGATTTCATGGCATAACACTACACAAAGTTTTATGAATGCTCTTCCTGTTGCCACATATATATTGGTTGATATAAACATGTGGATTTTCTTCAATTGAAAAAAAAAAAAAAAAAAAACGGCAAAACTTCTCATAGCACTACAATTCATTCCAATCATCAGTTCAACCAGAAGAGGTAATTGACTGGCGAACTGACTCATTGATATTCATTAACCGCAACAGCATAAATTATTGTGCATAAGCGTGTACGCTTTTTTCAAAGTGCACAAAGCAGCTTACATACATGCACAGTCCCCCACACATGCCGCCAACAATAAACAAAAATACATAGAACCACAACAACCATCCGTACAACCGGCCGACCTTTTATCGTCATTTACATTTACTTATGCTGTAAATAACTACGTACACATTTCTGCAAATAGACGATACATATGTATATATCAACATGAATATATATCTATATATCTATATATATTTACTTATTGTTTTAGTGTCGCCCTTTTCTCTTTGCTTCGAATTTCAATGGTGCTTTTTATGGCTTTCAAAGAGTTATAAAACGAAATTTGTCTGGCTACTTTTTTCACTTCATAGATATCCGTAAAACACTTTTTTTTTTTTTCTTCTCTAATTCCATATATTTCATATATGTTCGTGTATATACATTCTATTAAGTTCTTCCTTATTTTGCATTAATGTGTGAGTGCAGATATTTTTTATACACATTCATTTGTTTGCACTTTAGAGCGAAGAAAAAAACAATACAATAAATAATACCAACACAAAAAATTATTGTTTACTAAACAACACTCAATAATCTCATCCATCCGACGGAGCAAACGAACATCTCAGAGAATAAAGTCAAACTGTAGACGAAATTGAGATATTGTAGCAAAAGTAAAAGCAAAAACAAATTCACAAAGCTGCTCTTACATATGCGTTATGTTGAAAAACAAAGGCAAGAGATTGAGAGCGAAATCGAGAGTACGCAATCGAACATAGAGAATTTAAAAAGAAATGCTTCACAGGGGGAAGTGTAGCTACATGCAATTGGTACGCAAATACGTCTGACTAATTATAAAGTTTTTTCAACGACTTCAACCTTTTACCATGAACTACATTTTGAATCTACACTTAAGTTTACTAACTCACACAGATTCCGCATATCAATTATATAACAAACAGTTAATGACTTAACAAAAATGACTTAATGACTTTGCAAAGATCTCGAAACAATTCTTTCTATAACCAGCCACGCCGAAAGTCAAAGACAAGAAGGGTTGGATTTCTCGCCTTAAACCAGCTATGAAAAATATGTCCCTTTCGCGTTGCACTAAAATAAACAAAGAAAACCCTGTAATATGTCTCGATAAAAATTCTGCGTCAATTCACTCTATAATAGTAACTTCTAGCCTACAACAGGCATGCTCCACTTCTCGAAGAATTCTCGCATATTCTCATAGACATTTTGCAGATACAGATGTGAAAATAATTATAACGATCTTTGAAAAGATTTGCGCCAGCAGTGTATTATAATGTTAATGAATATCGCATATCTCCAGTAAAGTGTTCTCAATAAAAAACATATTCCACGGTCCCTAGCGATAATTTCAAACAATATAGAGCACGTGGAAGGACTTTACTGCTAGACGATTTTTACTGCTTTATTATATTGTAAATATTTTTCAAATTTTTCAACATTATAGGCGAATTTCACATTTGCTAGACAAATATTTATTAAATGATGACATTTCAAATCTTTTGCCGTCAACATCTCTCAGACGAGCAATATTTTAAAAACTAAATCAATTAGAAAATTGTCTTAGAAAGTAAGTTAATTAGTTATATGCTCATATTTAATTTCAGTCCAGATTTGTGGAAATTTTTTTCCCACTTTCTGATTCGATACTAGATTGCTTGTTGAAATTTTGGCTTCACATTGTTGTTTCCGTATGTAGCTAAACTGTCGGCGAGACATAAGCGCTTTCTGCCCTGATGGTGTGCGAGCGTTAACTATGCGTGCAAATTAGTTTTTTCTCTATACGATAATATAGGCGATCTATTAAGATTTCCCAAGCAAGTACAAACGTCTACGTCAACTCATGATATCGCGACGATCAGAAAGATCAAAAGAACTACCATTCCTAAAAAGTAATGTTACAGCGTTTATAACACCTTTGGCGCGAATATCTCCTGATTATTTGTTTGTTGCAATCAGCTCATTGTTCGCAAACTTTTTACAAAAAGAAATTAAAAAATTGTACTGAAACATAAAACACATCTTGCAGAGTTAACCGTGCAAGTTAAGCGAAGCTTAAAGAGAATTTGTGTTAATTTCTTTTTTCAAACATTTAACAAGCAAGTTTTTAGGAGATGTTTGTCCGAACGTTATCGCTGCTTTGATTTGCATAACAAACAAATCGAGAAAGTTGGTTAAAGCTTATTAACCCACGTAGTTGTTGTAAAAGGCAGCAAGCAATTCAAGCTTCTTAATATTTTTGAATACCACCGAAAGATGACTAACGGAGTTTATCCATTAAGTAATAAGAAAAGGTAATGCTACACAAGTTCAATATAAGAAGCAACTTGAACGCTCCCAAGAGTAGACATTTTCAAATTTTTAACTTTTTCAACAAAAAAAAAGAAGCAAAAAGAAAACAATATTAAAAGGTATGAGCAAATGGAAGTAAAAACCCTCTCCAAATATTGCTTTCCGTTTTTACCTTTTAATTGTAAAGCTAAACCAAATAAATGAATCATCAAAAGTCTCTAATACAGTACTCCCCGAAAAAAACCATTAATTCTCTCTCCTACTTTTCGATAATCCCGTTGAGAAGTGTTTTTTTGTTTTTTTTTTTTTTGTTCAAATGAAGGATAAGTCAGAGTGAGCTAAATTAACGAAATTTTTGCGCCAATTTTGCATTGAAACTATTTTATACACAAACACAATATACTTCATTAAAAAAAAAAAAAAAAAATGTTCTCCGTACATACACATTGCGTTTTTTAACCTCTCTTCTTAGTATGTATATTTATTTATTTTCTGCAGACAAAACAGACCTGGGAATTTCTTGTTTCTTTTCACTCCTTCCCTTTGGATTCTTTTTTTTCGTTTTCAGAGAAAAATGTTCGCAACTGCACAACTTTATTTAATGTTCAAATTCCTTTAGAAAACAAACGTAATTTCGGTTAATTTCTTTCTCACTTTAGTATGTGAATCTTATGATTGTGTTTCAGTTTTTATTTTTTCATTTCTTTCTGCGTTTTCCTTTTTGCAAACAAATTTAAATCTTTGTTAATAAGTTAACATTAATTGAGAAATGACACTGCGCAACTAAAATGGCCGACAGTTCATTTGATTTGAATGATATCTCTCACGTCTATGGACATTGTTGCCAATCGTTGCCCTCGTCCAATGAAAAATCAGTAAGCGTTCATTATTCGACAACGTGCTGGCGCGTAACGTATCAGCTGTTTTTCTGTCGCTCTAATACTATCTCAATGTTCGCTGTGTTTGCTATTCAAGCTACGAGGTCTTTTTGCAAATACAACCTTTCAAATTATCTAAGAACTTTTCAAATTATAACTGTATTTATTAACTGCACTTTTCTGCATTCATGTATGCATTTTGCCGGTGTGGCTGACATCAGCGCCTGTTAAACAATCGAAACAACTTTAACTTTTTGCAGACTTTTACAAATAAGCCGTCCAATTCTTCTTGTACACTATGTTAGCTATTTTTCTTCTCCTCTGCCTGTAATTCCCCCTAACCCCAATCGTATGTAAATGCTCTGCTTGCTCTTAGTAACTAATTACGTAAAGTTTACAGATAATAACCGCATCAATCTATTCGTCTACTTAATACACAGTAATTCAGAGAAATCGGTCTTACGAAGTCTACAGAGATCTGTCACCGTAGTTTATTTTTTCTTTTTGTTGCATTTAAAAACCCCTTTCCTTTTTTCATGGAGTTGTCATTTTAAATCATTTTTTGAATACCGCCAAATTTAAAAACATGTTGCCTACTTTGCGGATGATTTCAAAAACATGAATTTTATAATTCCCGTAATTCCTTAAGATAGAAAGTCTATTAAGTGAACCATGAAAACATGTTACCATCAACTATATGTTATAAATACATATAAATACAACGTTATGTTATAAATACATAACTATGCAATGATTAACAAATCATTTGGTTGTTGCAGTTTTTTTTTTTTCTCTTAAAAAAATATTATTTTTCAATTGTTCTCATACACATTGAAACATTTAAGTGTGATTTTACATAAGATTACATAAGAAAACAAGCGAGAGGGTTTTAATTGTATGTTTGCACTGGGGTCACCATGATCAATTTTAATATTGAATTGTCTATATTTTAATTATTTTCAAGTTAGCAAAGCTTTCAACCGACCTGTAATACTTATGCTAATTTCAAAGCCGTCGGCAAAAGTCCCCCAATTTGCTAATTGATGTGTATATCACTTTTCTTCATACGTTTTGCTTTTTTTCCTATGGGGATTTCTTGAAGTGCTTCAAGTGTAAGACGTTATTCAAAAGCGCTCAACATACATTCCCAACTATGAAATCAATCAAAATGTTTATCCAAAATATTTGCAACTCTACCATTGACACTACAAAAAATTGTATCTTTGTATTTTTTTACTTGGCTAGCGTTGAGAAACTTTATTACTGAGAAAATGGCGATAGAATTCAAACAGTTCGGATGCGTAGCGGATAATTTCAGTGAATTAATTAAAGTGGAAAAGTGAACCAAATTGCATTACGAACGTTTTAAGGCATAGCTAAAGTGTTTAAATTTTGAATTTATTTCAAAAAGCGATGAATATTCAGATAAGTACAGGTAAATAAAATTAATTTTCCACCCAGCCCGAAAAAGACCTCCTGCACGAAACGACACGACAAATGGCGACTACCGAGAATATGTAGATTACTATTTTTTTGTTTTGCTCTTTTTTTCTATGTTGCTTTGTAGCTGTGTAGTATATAGTTGTTGGAAGTTTCAGTGATTGAGTGTTGCCAGGATTTCATTTAGAAAAAGGTTGCATTGTTATGGAGTAAAATTATGAAGGCGCACATAGAGTTGTAATGGATTAAACACGTTACATACAAGTTAGAAAAGTTATGATGCTTTATGTCAGGCATCCGTTTTGAAAGATGGTTTTTAAATTTTGGAAAAAGAACTCTCACCCCATAAATATTGCGCTTCCCTCCATTTAGTTATAGGACAAACAATCCTTTGAAGAATGTTGATCTTTTTGTCTCCTTAATTTAATTAATCGTCTAAAGCAATGTGCCAAGCATGTAGATCTCCTTGCGGGTATATTCTGGATCGTGTCTGAACATGCCAATTTCTTAATAATTAAAATTAAACTTAATTAGATAAAGTGTATATACTTCAATAACTAGCACTTTATTGTAAAACATAATTATGTGCATTGCATAAAGTTTCTTAAGGAATCTTCATACATACATACTTCGTTGAAGTTGTTATGCGTTACGTATTCTCATTTCGTCATTTCTTGCAGAAAATTTATCTGAGAAAGTTACACAGCTGCAGAAAGCTTGCGATGAATCAGTGCTCGGAATAAAAAGTGGTGTTGACAACAATGCATCAGAAAGGTGTCAAAAACAATTGCTGCAACCGTTGCAACAGCAAGGCCAGAAATCACAGCAACCTTTATCTTCTGGTCCACAACAAGGGCAAGTCCAATTACTGCAGCAGCAACAGCAGCAATCAAAGACTAAGCGCAAGCATCGTCGTGGAAAACCGAAATCTAAAAATGGCAATAAGCCCTACAAAAAGACCAACTGGAAATTCCAAATGCCACGACTGAACTATATTAATGGTGGTGCTAATGGGGGTGGTGGCATCATCAGAGGTCACGGGTGTGGAAATAGTGGTGCTCCTCGCTCGGGTAACAAAATACCCCGCTCGCGTTCGTTGGTACCGTACAATACAAACAAATTTCTAATGGAAGAACATTTAGCTGATATACCGAGTGCTGTTTTAACACCTACCGGACGCACTCGAGACTCTAGCTTTTCAATGGATTCTGAAGATAATTATTTCTTTTCGTTGCCAGAAGATGAAGAAGAATTCCTAACTAAAGAGTTTGCAAACGTGTATGAAAAGGCTAGAGTCGAACGCTTAGAAAGTCTTAGCAAACAAGAATTGATTGATGAATGTTTGCAATTCGAGGACCGCTATTCCAAGATACAGGGTACACAACGTCAGCAGCAATTGAACATGCAACGCATTGCAACAGAATATATGTCTAAAATACGTATGCTGGAGGAGAAAATTAAAGAATTGTCGAGAGAAAACCATAGTAAATTAATAAAATTGAAAAAAAGTTGTAATAAATAAAAAAAAATTTATTTACCCTTAGATTTACGTTGTCAACTAATGCGGTCAACAACGACTGCTGCTGCAGCTTCACCCCCTTCGGCTGCGGCTCCTGCTGGCTCGGCTTGCCAACCAATGGATTCAAATAGCGAGGACAGCGAAAGCGATAGTTCTACCTCAAGCTCATCATCATCATCATCATCATCAAACAATAGTGCTGAAAATCCTCGGCGACGACACAGTTTTTCTTCTTCACCCGACTCTCCACAAGAGTTTCAAGAGTACATTGAGAATAATTATATGAAAGAACAAGAGCAAGTAAACGAACAAATTCTCAACATGAACGAGCAGCTTATCCATGATAATGCTGCTAATTACAAACGTGGTCATGTGATGGCGTTTGAACGACAACACATCCTACTTGAAGCTGATGTGGAAGATGATTATGACGACATACCGGAACGCTTCCGTTCTGCACCGAATTCACCTTCCCAAGAGCAATACCGAATGCACGAACAGACCCACGATTGCGGTGAAATTAATATTGTTGAAGGTTTGCCAAAATCGACAATGCCATAATCTCTTACATGCATAGGTACTCGTATTTCATTGTCAATATATAACGTTTTTTCTCTTCGATTTTTAATTTGTTGAGCAGAAACAGAAAACAGAAAAGTAAAACTAACTTTTTTCGTTTGTTAGGAGAGAAATAATCGATTCCTCCCTTTATATTTTTTATTCATTGTTTTACACAACTTTTATAACATTTTCGAATTTTTTTTTTCAAAATTTTTATTTACAAAATTAAGGTAAATACTTACCTGTTCGTTTAACTAAAAAGAAACTGATAAATATTTAATTTTTTTTTTTTTTTATATTTTCCTTGCAATCGTATACAATAGTTCTGTCCTTCATGTAATTAAGGAATATTGTTATAATTTATTTTAATCTGTGCTACGCGTATAACATTTGAAGAAAACCTGAAAGACAATTGGATTGTATATATAAAACCGATACATTAATGGACACACTTTAAAAAAAAAATAAAAAAAAATTGCTGATAGAGACATCAACTATCGTTAAGAAGTACTTCACTAGATACGGTAGTCAGTGCTATAAATATATTTAATATGCACAAATATTAAATCGTAAGATTCAATTTAAGGATTTATATCGATTATGATAAACCTTGGTACCCAGTACGAGCTGACTTTTGTCCTCTGTCTCGTGGACTTAACATATTCTAAGTAAATATTAAACTAGCGCCACTCCAGCGCGTATATATTAATCTACGCCTGTGAAGGGTAGATTAAGATAAGGCGGCTAGCGAGAATGAAAGATAATGCTAACTTCATTTGTGCATTTCGTGCATATTTCTTATATTTCCCGAAACAATTCTATATGAAAGCCATGTATGTATATATTGAGTATATATGATAAATACATAATCGTACACATATATATGCAATCGCTGAAGGCGTATTTAGATGCATCTATATATTTAAAATATTTTTTAACGAATTTGTGTTCGTAATGTTTTTTTTTTTACCTAATCTATTTTTCGTGGTGTGAAAATTGAAAATTTCGAATACGGAAGCAGCTCAATATGAGAATATATATATATATATAAATTTTATGTTGACTGGTTCGATGTTCAAAGTTTGAAAATTTCATTCAAGAAATCGATTAAAAAAAAAGGAGCGCAAATTAATTTGTTCAAAAACATTTTAACAATTTTAACAAATAATTGGAAAAGGAAGTGCACAATATGCATGAATAAATGAATATGCGCGCGTGCTTGTATGTTCTTGAATGTTCTTTGTTATCGGGATACAAAATTACAAGGACATTCTGTTATTTATTTCTTAAAACTTTAGCAAGCATCCGTTGAATCACTTTTTAGTTTTTTAAATCTAAGAAGAATCCCAGAAAACGTAAGATTAGATGAATTAAAATGGGAGTTGAATTTCGACTTTCCTACACTTTTCTTTATATTAATTTTTTCTGGTGCTGGGTACAAAAACAATAAAATTTCTCTTATGACTAAATTCTAGGAATATATTAAGAGTTTTTGGACGTTTTTTTTTTTTTTTTCTCTTTAAATCATTTAAGTAACTACATCCTTTATAAATAATATAATACGTATATAGAAATTGCCTTGTAGAAAGGCAAATGAATTTACACATGTTATTAAAACACATTCTTCATTCACATAAAACTAGTAAACAATGCAATTGCACACAAAGGCGTACAAATTTCTTCATTTATATAAGTTTTGTTGTTTTATATTTTCATTTTAAACCTATATATATAGGAGTGCGTGTGCGCGCGTGCATATGTGTGTGTGTGTGTGTGTGTGTGTGTGTGTGTGTGCAATGTAAAACATCACAATAAAATTTAAATTATTTCGAAATAATTTATAACAGAACATGCAAACAACCCTACGATATATAATGACATATAAAACATCACTTAGTGAGAGAAAACGTTATAGATTATGAAATAAGTCAGCCTACAATCTCATCATAAGACATTGAAAGTCGTATTAAGCTTAACTTAAGCATGCACGCATGCATGCATGCATGCATTCACACGTTAAATGTAATGCAAATACACAACCCTTTACCTGCCCACCACCACCATCATTATCTTTTTATTTCAATTTTTTATGTTTTTTTCCCGACGTTTGAAAGCAGTGGAGAAAACTTTTCGTTAGTAATGTTACGGTAAAGCAAAAAAAAAAAAGATAAACAGAAAAATCGTAAAAATTTTTTATAAAAATTTATTACTTTTAAAATGTGATATTTTTGGATAAAACACACAGGTTTAAATAAGAAACTGTTCGTTTGGCTTAAAAACAAAAAAAAAAAACAAAAACAAAGAAAAGACAATTTTATAACTGAAAAGTTTTTGAAGACTCTTTTAAAACATTTCATTTTATTTAATCTTCTTTTATAATGTTATTTTAAATAAACATATGTGTTTGTTTGTATAGTAGTAATAAAAAACGTAGTGGTAGTTAAAAGTATATGTTTACATACATAAATATTTTGTATGTATATTTAATGAGCTTCTGTTTTATGTAAATTGTATTTATAACGGAAGAATAAAATGACAACCACATTATATTAAAAGAAGACGAGAATCAATTTTTCAGTTAATAATAAAAATAAATAGAATATATTGCTAATAATTCCACGAAAAGGAATATGAACTAATTTGTTGATCCCCCAAAAGCACAAAGCAAAATCTCGAGCTTCTCTTGAAGAATGGTAAAGTTTATTTAAAAAATATTTAATTGCATAAAAATTAAATTTACGACATTATTACAATAATGGGATTGCTTCCATTTAAATTAAATCGGCGACATTCATCGGCATTTCATCAATTTGTGTAGAATAGTACTGTTCAATATCACGCAATATACGTATGTCGTCTGATTTTACGAAATTAATAGCTACACCTTTTCGTCCGAAACGACCCGAACGCCCAATACGATGAATGTACAGCTCTCGATTATTGGGCAGATCGTAATTAATGACAAGTGAAACCTGTTGCACATCAATTCCACGCGCCCACACATCGGTAGTAATTAGTACACGTGATTGACCGGCCCGGAATTCTTTCATAATTTCATCGCGTTCCTTTTGCGGCATATCGCCATGCATAGAACTTACGGTGAAATTTGCCTCGCGCATTTTTTCCGTTAACCAATCCACTTTACGTTTAGTATTACAGAAGATTACTGCTTGTGTTATTGTCAGAGTATCATATAAATCGCAAAGAGTATCAAATTTCCATTCCTCACGTTCGACTGCCACGAAAAACTGTTTTATGCCTTCCAACGTCAATTCATCGCTTTAAAAATTATATTAATTAATAAATACAATGGTATAATCAGTACATAAACCTTATTATTACTTACCGTTTAACTAAAATTCTGATAGGATCTGTCATAAATTTTGAAGTCATTTCCAATATTTCGTGGGGCAATGTAGCAGAGATAAGCACCACTTGAGTGGCTGGCGGTAAATACCGATAAACGTCATAAATTTGCTCTTTAAAACCTTTATTCAACATTTCATCAGCCTCATCCAAAACCAACATCTTAATGGCTCTGGTACGCAATACACGGCGCTTGATCATATCAAAAACTCTTCCAGGAGTGCCGCTTACAATGTGCTGACCATAGTCTAATTTTCGTATGTCTTCTCCCAGGTTAGTACCACCAATGCACACATGGCATTGAACGTTCATCAAATCGCCTAACGCCAAAATTACCTTTTGTATTTGTACTGCCAATTCACGGGTGGGTGATAAGCATAACACTTGTGTTTCCCTTAAAGAAGTATCCAAACTCTGCAGAATTGCTATTGAAAAGGTAGCCGTTTTGCCAGTGCCTGATTGGGCTTGAGCAATAACATCACGACCTTTGACGATTGGTTTTATGCTGCGCTGTTGTATAGCCGATGGTTTCTCAAAACCTAATGAATACCATGGTAAATAAATGTTTATTTCCCTTTCAAAAAAACACCCACCATATGCATAGATCCCTCTCAGCAATTCTTCCTTTAAATTCATTGCGTTAAAACTGGGTATGACTTCAACATCTTCGCTAGTTTCGAACTCTACATTTGATAGGTCCTCAGCTGGTGCTCCACCTTTTCGCGCCATATCTCCCAAGCAATTATTTTAGTTCGGATTTGAGTTCCAATATCGAATTATTTTACTTTATAATAAAAACTTGCACCAAGCGGCAGGAAAAACTATTTTGGAATGCGGTGCAGAATTTTTGACATATTCTTTTAATTACTTGTCAACTTTATGATTGCCAACACCAACTATTTCACTTTACGATATTACGATATTTTGGCGAAGGAGAAAATACAATGGGACCTGATTTGTTTTTTTAATCTTGAAATTAAACTTAAATGAAAATAATGAATTTAAATTCCACGCTTAAACAAATAATTGATCAAGCCATCTGTATTTCTTACCTGTTGCAAAACCACATTCGACCACCAGTGCATTTACGTATCGGAACGGAATTACGATATCTTTCGAATCATAAGGATTTTCTATTTGGATTTTCTAGTTGGAAAAAGTTTTTACAACTTTGTGCAATTGCTGCAATAAAATCTGTGAAAATTTTGTACACGTTTGTGCTGCTCTACGCAATATTTGTACGATTGGGAAAATGCCTAAAGACGACTTTAAATAAATTTAATATTTATTTCTCTCAAGTAATTTCTTTCGTTTGTATACATATACACATGTAGACATATCGATTACAACCCTTTTAGTGTTTCCGCTTCATTCTATTCTTGTTACTATGAAATGAAATGAATTTCCGGGAGTGCGGTATGGTTTGGTCGTACGTTTTTTTCTTGTATGTCCCGTTGGACTACGCAATATTTGTCGAAATTTCTGTACATGGATAAAAATTATATTATGCTCTTCATTTAATTATTTTATTCTAAGCGAATGCTGAAGAACACATTGATAACTAAAAGCATAAAGCTTCATAATAACAAAACAATTTTTATTTTCATAATTTCACATTTATCATTTTTTAATTTTCTTAAAAATAAAAGGCAAATTCTTTTACTTTGGTTTTGTAATCTAAAAATTATTGAAAATGAAAGGGTACTAATTTATTAGTTTAATACAAACTATAGATTGGTGGTGGGTAATGGCACGAAATTTTTAACAGTACTATTATCAAAGTTGTTAGGGGTATCGCTTTTTTGCGTTAGAGTAATATCCGAACTGTCGTTTGTTTTCATTAGAGTACCCAGCACAATGCCAATAAATAAAATCAAACCAACTTGATGATTAGAGATGAATTTTTTCGCACAATCGGTTGGATTATCTATATTTAACGAAGAAATCTGTGACGAAATATTTTAGTACATAAATTACAATCTTTTAATAAAAACTTGCCTGATGGACTATGTGGGCTCCTACTAAGCTAACGGATGCATAATAAGGTAACGTTTGATCGCAGACTAAACCAACTAATGTTAAGCCAGACAACATTGCAACAGTGAAGGCCGATAACCACACTTTAGTATCATCGCCAAAGCGTAGGGCCGTTGATTTAACGCCGATTTGTAAATCATCTTTTTTATCTTGATGGGCATAAATGGTATCGTAGATTATGGTCCAACAAATACCAGATAAATATAACGGTAAACAAGCAGACCAATCGACCAATCCTTTTGTTGCACACCAGCCTAAAAGAGCACCCCAATTGAACGCCATTCCCAAAACTAATTGGGGCCAATATGTTATGCGTTTCATAAGTGGATAAGTCACTACAAGGCCTAATGAACTAGCTCCTAGAAGTATAGATTCCCAGTTGAGTTGTATCAATATTAAAAGGCCAAAACTTAATTGAGCAGACAGAAATATAACAGCGTCAAGTTGGGAAATATCTCCACAAGCCAAAGGCCGGTTTCTTGTTCTTTCTACCTTTTTATCTATATTTCTGTCCCATAAGTCGTTAATGGTGCAACCTGCCCCACGCATTACAAAAGCCCCGGTAGCAAAGAGACTTAACATATACCAATCTGGCCAACATCCCGCATTTGCACTTAACGCGATACTCCATCCGCAAGGCCAAAACAATAAAAAACTGCCAATCGGACGATCTACACGCATTAAACGTATGTACGGTAATATATTTCTAATAACTTCACTTTTGATTGATGTAGTCTTCAAATTATTTTTCTCATTCCCAGATGGTTGGATGCTTAATGCAGCTGATCTGTGAATATTTTTGCAATTACTCTGTCTTAAATTGTAGGAAGGATTTCTAACCAAAGTATTCGGCACATAACTGCTTAAAGCAATAGCAGAATAGCCGTTGAAGCGCAGACACGTTACACGTCTTCTCAAGATGAACATAATGAATAGAATAGTATGATGCTGTAAGAAAGTGTTATTAATAAAATGTGAAAATAAATCAAAAGTTAAGCAGATCTACGAATACACAAATAAAGAAAATATACGAAAATATTATTTCTATTGCTATTTTTTACCCGGTTGAGTGGCAGGCAATTGGTGTATTTTTCCGCACAATGGATTACTCGGAATCTGTTTCCTAAATGACGGCAAGAATTATTGCGAGCGTTACGTTGACGAGTTTTTTTTTTAAACCATTTGAAATTTTAGATTTCTTCACCTTGATCTTTTTAGCAGATTAAGTCAAGACAGCACTTAACACTGTATATTTTAATACGTTGTTGTGGATGTTGTAGAATTTCATATTTCATCCAACTTTTTTCCAATTATAAACATTGAAAAACAGCTGACATGAAGAATAAACGAAAAAAAAGTGAGCTTTTGTATTGAAAATATTTAATTGACTCTGTGCTTTTTTACTTTTTTCTTCTTCTTTTTGTTTATTTGTTTTCTTTAATAGATTTTTTGAAGGTTTTCTAACAGATTGACCGTTTTAACAGAAAATGGCCAAACGATTTATGATTTTAAAGAAAACTTTTTGTTTTCTTTTTTTTCACTTCCTTTATTTGCATGACAAAACGCGTGGTATTTTGGAAAAATTTAACGCAATATATTAGCCAGTAGTGATTTTTTGTTTAGGTTGAGCCAAAGCGGCATAAACTTCTAGGATAATTCACTTTGCAAAAAATCGTGGATGACATTTGGCAGTAACAGCAAAGTAGTAGTGTTGCCAATTTAAAAACTTTAAGGATGAAAGCTCAGCGTTCATCTCGCAATTCCTGTTAACTCCGTTAAAAACGCTTTATTGTTGAATTCAAAATGAACGCATTCGCGTTTTTATATTTTATAGGTTCCGTTGCATTCAGCACTCTACATATTCAGCACTTCACATAAAAACGTATGTTATAAAAAGAAAAAAAAGAAGAAGAATTCAATATGATCTATTTGTTACTTTAAATCTTTCTTATAATAAATATTCAAAGCAGTTATAAAAATTTTACAAATATTTTCTCAGCCAATTATATATTACTGTTATGCCTCTGAATTCAACAGAATTGATATCAGACTGGCCAGCGGCATTTAATAAAATATTCATCATTATATTTCCCATCGCCAAGATTTGATTTGTAAGATACGCAATAGTTTGTAGTTACCAGTAATGGAACATATCGTTAACATTTTGAAAATATTTTGGAGCAATGGGAAGTCTTTACAAAAGTTGCTACGTTCTAATCGTTTTCATATAGTTTGAGCTGAAAAGAAACTTTTCTTCGCATGTGTTCCTCATTCTAAATTTCGTGTACTTTTTTATCTGTAAAATCTGTCTCGTACATTTAAAGGGTATGCTTTTCTAAGTGAACGGAGAATAACAATAAAAAACTGTTACAGCGCATCGTAACGACGAGAAAAATGTCTCTCGATTCTGATCGTTAGTAAAATTTTAAAATTGAAATGAATTACGTATTTCACGATACATAGGCCTTGATGAAGGAATATAACAATATTTTTATCGCCGTGGAATTGTCCCAACAATAAATAAGACATTTTTAGCTTGCTTTGTTTCTCCTGCTGTGAATTATATGAGAAAGTTTATAAAAAAGAAGCGAATAAATATCTTTCCGAGTATATAGAATAAATAACATTTTTAAGTAAAAGTTATTCTCATAGTGATAAGGTCTTCTCCTAAACAATAGGAAATAAAAACGGCGCTTACTCAGCGCTCTCACCTTACTTCCTACATACAATTTTGCACACGTTGCGTATAAGTTAAAATTCATAAGCCATTTTTGCGCACTGCCCTACAACTTAATATAAACTTAAACTTTAATTTTATTTTTGCGCACGGATTGATAAGAATAAAGTTTAGCGAATAACACCAAAGTATGGAATCAATGACATATCGTCATTGATATTAGTATTTAAAATGATTTGAGGTCTTTCTTTCATTTCTCTATTTAACAATTATTGGAGTGTTTTTATTTGTGTTGCTAATAGGCGGAAGCAGTAAAAATCATTAGAAAATTTACAAAAAATTAATAGTAGGTAAGAAACGTTTAGCCTTTTGCAAATTGCCGGCATACTTGATGTATTTTGATTATTTCTAGAGATTCACCTCAAACTGGTGTTTTTATTGTGTTTCGCAGGAAAATTCGTAGTTCTCTTTTTCGAAAGCATACATTTTTTGCATTAGTTACGTTTGTAAAAATGAAAAACTTCAGAGCAATTTCGCTACACCAAACTAAAGTTTCAGGCTGTTCCGGAAACAACCAAGGCATTTGAAGTTCCAATTTATTAAACGCATTTTATAACTAAAAGTAACATATATTATAGAGAAATAAGAATGAAAACGGGGATATAAAGTTAATTGCTTCTAACTTCGAATTTTGGCGAACTTTGAATACAAATATTGCTCGTGTCTGCATGTATTAGTATTTTAATATTTTTTTATAACGACTGCGATTAGCAATCATTAAATTAAATTACACATCGATATAGCGACAAGAGTATGGATGTTTTGTGTGTTTTAGGATCAATGATAACAATACATTTTTGCATTTAAATTTGCAAAGCAAAGAGAAGTATTCTTCTTTGGCTCTGAGTCTACATGTTTAGGTCTTTTTCTACTTGAGAGATATAAAGAGAGTTAAAGTGACAATAAATTATTTCTAATAAGAGAAGAAGAAAAAATAGCAAAAGAATTTTTGATTAATAACCGCATAATATTTATCAATTAATTCCAAACATGTTTGCTCATATGTGATCTGCAACTACTGGAACTTATATTTTGGCGTTTAGATTTATCTGATGAATCGCAGACGGACGGATGGATCTAATATCCACATATGCTTCGATACTAATTGTAATTAAAAATAAATTTTTAACTGGAGTGAATCCTTGATATCAGCTACTTAAGGCAGTCATTAAAAAATTACAAGCATTCTTGATCTTTAACTGTGAAGTATAATGAAAATACTTTGGGACGAACAAGTGGCAAGTTGAATAGGCAGATTAACGAATTAATTAATATTTAAAGTTATTATTAAAACCCATGATTTTCACAGGCGACAAAACTAAGCTAGCTATTGTGGTTAATCCAAGTTCTTTTCTAACAATTTCGTCACGCCAAACCAAAAAAAATCATTTGCCGTTTTAATAATCCCCTTCAAATAGTCATTATTTGGAGCTTTCAGTATAGTTTCTAAGGCTTTTCTCAGTATTGCTATAAAAGCGTAATTAAAAATATACGAAATAAAATTCGAGACATTAAAGACGCTAGGTACCGACAATTATACGACTTTATTATTATACTTCTGCTTGGTTCGTGCCCACAATCCTTCTCGGCTTGTGTCCAAAATCATACACATATGGACACATTGACAAATCAAATTTTATATATGTTATAAAAAGCAAGCAGGCCATGTTAAATAACCTGTTTCCTCATGTTTGTGTTTTGTGTGTTTGTGTATGTAAGTTTCTGTAAGCCGCCAAATAGTCAATTACTATATCAGCCTGGAATAAATAAACCGCCAATTCGATTAATGCTTGTAATACAGTATGTCAGCACTGTTTTTCTCTTAGCATCATTACTTGATCGAGCTTGTTTGTGACGAAATTTGGTGAGTTTTGTGTGAAAATAAAAATTGTTGCAAATTTATGAAATTTTGTCAGTGAAAAATTGTAAAAAATGTGAAAATTAAAGGGAAAATCATTGCACATTTTGCATTATCTTGCGGTTTTTTAGTTTCAAGTTCTCCTTGCGAAAATTGCCGAATATTAAGAAATTTAAGCCCCGTAGCGAAAAAAAGTAGTTTTCATAGTCGCCTAACTGTAAGGTTGTAAAGGTGGACATATAACTTGCGTTTATTTTTTTAATACGCCGAAGATTGTCTCAAAATCAATGCTGATTGTGCGCGTTTGGATGATATTTTCTCGTCGGGTTGTACAAGCAATGCAGATTGTGTTTTAAGCAATGAGAGATCAGTTATTGAGTGTTTTTTCAGTAAATTGGAAGAAGAATATGAGAAAGTAATTAGTGAAAGAGTAAGAATGAAAAAAGCAATATCTTAAGTCATGAATGATAATTAACAGGGAATTAATGAAAACGTCTTCAAAATAAATATAAACAGATATAATGTCCCGTCGGAAAATAGGTAAGTGATGTTTTATTAAGGGGTTTAAAGTTTTATATTTTTATCAGCAATTCCGCTAACAAATCTTACATCCGTTTAAATTATGAACCTGTAGGCTCTAAATAGATATTTTAGAGGTTGATGACAGTTCCAAAGTGTTCATTTTAGAGCAGAAGCGTACTTTAAAAGTTGATGAGAGTTTTAAAGCGTTTCTTGTTTATATTCACCATTCTACAAAGTGCACATGTGGAAAACTACAAATTGTGTATAATGCCTCAATTTCATAACGCCTGACTAACCGTCCGTCTCAGACTCATAAATGTTCTGGTTAATTTGCGTAGGCAGCTCCCTTTGGCTGCGAACTTACTAAGAGTCCGAGATTCACATAAAATTTCAATACTTAACTTTTTAAACCCATTTAAATTGTAAATGTGTGGGCTCTAAATAGTTACTTTAGGGGTTGATGATAGTCCTAAAGTATCCTTTTTAGAGCAGAACCGTCCTTTAGAAGTTGATGAAAGTTTTAAAGCGGTTTTTAGTTGCGCCTACTATCGCGCGACATGTCCATGTTTCAAGGTATAAATTTTATCCCTATCTGTTCGCATACATTCTTAGTTTCATAAATGTTCACAACTCAATTTCTGCAGAGAGCTCGCTATGAGTATAAAGTGACCAAAACTCTGAAAATCATATAAAAATTATATGTAAAAATTATGCGATTCGTTATTACAAACAGATTGAAAATTAGAGCAAACGTGCATATTGGAGGTGGTGAATATAAAAACATGTTCTTTGACGGATTGATTCCTTCGGATCTTTGGGCCGTTCATTTCATTCTTGCCTACGAATAAGATGTAGGCATGTCAATTACGTTGTTAGTAGATTCGTGGACGGTTACCAATCGGTATACGTACTCGATGATTTGTATCGGAATTTTCCGAAAAAGGACATGTAAGAGTCCTACGAGCAGATAAGCAGACAACGTTTTGTAATCCAATCGCGGAATCTCGGCGTAAATGTTTATAATGACGCTGTCTAGTGGCATGAATTTTTTTTTTCATTAGTAGATCCGATATTTGAAAAACATTAGTGTTTATTTTAGCGATAATTTGAAACTTAACTAAAGTTCTCGTAACCCTCTAATATATTAATTGATCCGAAGGAAACGATAATGCAATCTTTATACCCATGACCGAAGAATGAGGGATATGTTCACAGCACTGTGTGCCTGTCTGTGTAATTTCTGGAGTGGTTATTCTCCTAGCAGTAATCGACACAAGATTCTCTATTGACACGAATATGTCGAAGGCCAGCATCACAATGTAACGTAACCTGAAATCATCTCTAATTTTAAAACTAAAAAAAAGTGTTCCTTACTTATCACCCACAACGATATAAAGTTGCAATTATATTTTAAGGAAGGTTTTGCAGTACCTGTACAAAAATAGACAAATTCGGCCCCACCTGCTCAATACTATAGAATATTAAGAGTTACCATATAAAGTCTTCAGAGATCACATAAAGTTTTTGTATTACCGATTAGTCTGAATCGTGAAATGGAAATACTTCTGCTACATACTGCTTTATATTTGGCAAAAGCATTGGAAGTCGTTGCACGCCGGTTGATATTGAAAATGGGCCAATATAAATGGCCAATGTAAAGGGGTCGTGATAAAATGACTTGCTCTTATATTGGTTTGTGGACGAATTGAGTGGATCGCGGCTTTCTAACTTTCTTGAGCCGTAAACTATAACGGGTACGCGATATAAATTTCGACTTTCATTCTTCAAAAATAGGAAAGATTAGCCACGCCTATGCAATATTATAGAATATGAAAATTCCATGTTTTCCTGTTCCCTTTGTTTTAGTCCTTTTTAGAATAACGGTGATGGGTATAAAAGATTCGGTCGTGGCCGAATATAATTTTCTTGATGTATTTATGCGCGAAGAGTTGAATTGGGTGTGATTTTCTAAGAGAAAATGGGTAAAAAGAACTTTCTGTACTCAATTTATTTAATTACGTTTCTCTTTGCTCATATCGTGAATCAGTCATCGTTAGATCTTCAAGTTCTTCAAGTTGTGCTTGTCGTTTATCTGTAGATTACACATATCTGTACACTCCTGTATGCATGTAAGCTCACTTGAGAGCCCAACATATATATATATATATATATATTGTGATAACAATTTCTTTAATTGTGTACTCGACAATTTTTTGCGTTTAAATTAAATAACAACAAACATCGTACCTAGACATAAGTATATGAAATTATGTCTTATCTACTCGCTGGTAATGTGGTACGTGTTTTTGAAGTGAACACATTTTCATATTTTGTGTGTCGCTAACTTTAAAAAGAAGACGACAGGTTATCAAAGAGAGTCAGTAATGAATTGACTTTTTCCACAAACAGGTGTTTGTTGCTTTGTTTTATTAAATTTAATTAAAAATTGTATGCAATACCGGTAAAAAGATTCAGAACTGAAGAGAAATAATTACTAAGCCAAGTGATGGATCATGATCATGACCATAATCATGGGCCAGATGATGCCGCATCTTGTCCAATGATTATGACGGTGAGTTTTGATTTCTTACATTTATGCAATTTATTGTAATAATTGTTTTGGGTGTGTGGCAAAGAGAGGAAGAGAGAGCGAGAGCGAGAGCGAGCAAAAGAGGTTATAAAATTTGTGCCAAAATCTCTAACCATACCAAACTTATTTAGATCGATCGCATTGAATAAATTTTTTAAACCTTACCGTTCATGGAGACTTTAATTGTTGCGATCTTCACAGCTGCAATATTCAATCAGGAACTCAACCGTTCAGAGTAGGTGTGATGCATGGAGAAATTGGGAAGACTTCTTAAGAAAACGAAAATTTCAAAATACTTCTACTAATAAGTTGTCAATGTTTCAATAACTTGAAACTCGGGTACAGTTCACGTTTCATTATTTCCCTTTAAATACGTAACGAAATTATCTTCAAGCCTGAATGTAACCCGCTTGATAGCTATATGTTTGCGTTAAGAACCATCGAAACATACATACATAATTCACATACTAATTGACTTACTTATCTGGTCACTACTTGTATCGCATCGATTATAGGGTATTATTGCGGTTGCCGTAGTTCTCTCAGTCAATTTAATTTAGTGCAAATATAATTCTTTGTGTTTATGTGTGCCCCCAAATAATCATAATAATATGTATTATAATACAAGTTTATGGCTTGTGGCTTTGAGATATATAAAGAGAGCCAAGTGAGATGAGAATCGTTTATAGTATCCAATAAAGAGAATAAAAGAAGCGTGGGGGAATTCGTACATGACGTTGATCAAAAATGAAGAGCAATAACGAGATCGTGTATTTGCTGTTTTCTTCAACATGATGTTCTTTATAAAAGAGGCAGAAAGAAAGGAATCTCGACGATCTTTGCAAAAATTTGGTTGAAAATGAAGTCCGATATATGGTGTACAACCCTTGAAATATTGCAATTATGATCGTGGCCATTATAAAACGGGCTTCGCGCTAACGAAAGTAACCCACTCTTCGACAGTGTTGTTATCCAAAAGTTGTTTATAATCAATTGCAAGCATCTTTTTATGAAAGAAGATAAAAGTGATCTAACCCTGATCACTTCACTAATTCGCACACAATTGGATAAGTGCAGTAGATTGCAAATTGTAGATATTTCCTTTATTTTTTATACCCGTCGCCTAAAGGATGGGGTGTATCGTCATCCGCCATTTTGCCATAATCTTTGCAACGAGCCAAAAAAAAGCTTCAGGGATCTAATAAAAAATATATCTTCTTGGCTAGCGTCAAACTTTGACCGATTTAGTCATGACTGCCTGTCTGTGCGTTCGTGCGGATGTGCGCGAAAAAACTCTTGGTAGAAAGATTGGAAATTCTGGCATCTGTTGAAAATGCGAAAGGCACCTCCACTGAAAGCATTTCTGTTTCTCCAAGGAAAAATTTTTGTGTTCCTTGGTTACTACTTGTAAATTATGAAAGATAGAAGGCTGACATTTCCTAATTTTATCACGCGGCGGTGGGAAGTGGTTGATATCGGTATCGTAAAAAGTATGCTGATGGATACAAAAGAATCGGGCCGTGCCGAATATAATTTTCATTCTTCTTTTATTTTCTTTTAAACTCCTCTTGATATTTTTCAAAAAAATCATGCGACTTTTTTTGACATTTTCCTCCACAATCTCATTTTTATTAATAATGCGTATCGATGGACAGGGCAGAATAACAAATACATCGCATTCCGACATAAATAAAAGTCTTATCATTCGCGTTATCTTATAATTATTGCAGGCGTTTGTGTTACTTTGTTGCAGGTTATAAACTTGATAAAGACTTCACATATTTTCCGTTAAGTAAACTAACAAAAATGAGTGCTAAGGAAACGCGGAAATAGGAGGATGAATTTTCATACATCAGAGAAGAGAGATCCATAGATAGGATAAAATATATTGATTGCTTAACATGTTTTAAATTTCTTGACTGCGTATTTTTTCAACAAAAATCTTAAAATTTCAAATATATCACATAATCTATCAAAAAGACCGCAGGGAATTGGTTTTACTCGAAAGTTAGAAATGGCAGCAAACCCTTCGAACTTGAGAACAAGTCACTCTGACGGAAACAGATCGATTTGCAAGCGGCTTTCATGCTGCGAATGGTATAAATTAAGAACTTTTTTGATTTTACCTCGAGATCAATTAATTGGTCTTTCTTTGAAGAGATCATTTCCAGGGTACTATTATCTAACATTTATTTGCTGCTGGTATTTTTAAAACAGAGTCCAATTCTTAAAGCGCTTAGGTAATAATTAAAGGATAATATGAAGCTTTAAATTTTATCTCCAGACACCAGTCAGCTTTCAGCTTTCAAGGACTTACCAGTGGCACAGTTTGAATCCTGAATGAACCGCCCATTTATAGTGAATAAATTGTTGAATGTTTATATATCGAGACGATATGTCATAGAAGGCATTAATAATTGATTTCTTTATATATTTCGTTATTCTTAAATTTTCAGTTCCATGGCGGTCACTGCGAACGTATTCTTTGGAATGGCTGGGTTGCGAGCACTGTGGCTGAATTTGTTTTCTCTGCTTTAGCCATATTCTTAATGGCGTTTTGCTACGAAACTTTAAAATACCTCAGAGAATACATTTTGCGTCAAACGGTGCGCAAGGAAGCAGAACGGGTTGCCCTGGAAATGCAAGCTAAAACAACCAATCCGCCCGCTCATACCAGTGGTGGTGGTTGCCCGAGATCGACAATGGCCGAAATACAGGAGAAAAGTTACGCTCAGCGTGTTTTTTCAACCCCGCATCTAATACAAACGATTCTAAACGCTATACAAATATTCATTTCTTACCTATTAATGTTAATCTTTATGACATTCAATTATTGGTTGTGCCTAGCTGTGGTCTTGGGCTTAGGCGTTGGTTACTTCTTCTTCGGATGGATTAAGCAGGAAGTTTACGAGTCTGAGTGTTGTCAATGATAACTTAATTAGGTTATGCATGATTTTGTAAATAATAAGAAATTGGTTTCATTTAAGTATTATTTTAATCAATTTTCTTATTAATGTAAGCAGCATGGAATGCAAAAATTTCTTTCTTAATTTTTTCACTAATATATATATAAAAAAAAACGTAAAAACAGCGGCCAAATGATTCGTCTTGTGCCCTCAGTTCAAAGGCTGGCTTGAACTTGAATGTTGTTCTCTGTACTAAATAGTTTTTTTTCTTCATTGGATGTTTTGGGGTTGTTTTTAGGAGCTGCAATTCTGTAGATGGTATATATTATTATTATTATTATTATTGTTATTAATTTAGCCAAAGAATAAATTCTAAGACCAAAGTGTTAAAGCACTAGCACTAACATCTAAGGCTGTCGGCGTTAAAAACTTTCTTAGCGCAGAAAAACTTTTCTGCAAATTTTAAAACGATGATGTCGACAAGCTTCTGTATTGGAAATAGTCGCTGCGATCCGATTGACACTGACTGATTTCTCAAAATCGGTGAGTAATTAGAATTTTCTAAACTTTAAGCCTGAAAAAACTAAGCGTACGATGAACAATACGAGCAACAGTTCGGTTTTTCTAAAATATGTTGAGTGCTATGACTCGTGAAATTTGACAGTCAATTGATTAGCTCTCGATTGTATCGATGGATCTGCGCCAGATCTATATTATCCCAAAGATCGCTTATTGAACTCGAAGGAATAACGATTGATTGGCTATATATAATAGACGCTTGTTAAGACGGTATCAAAACCGAAGGTCTTACAATACAACACCGTAATAGAGCTTGGTTGGGATTACATAATTCCGGTTAAAAATTCAGTTGCATTGTGTTTACGTTACAGTAGCGAAGCATAGAAAAATTCATTTACGCTCCTCCGGTGGATTATATTTAATTTCAAGTGCCGACGTTTCGATGCATTGGTGCTGCGAAAGAAAGCCATGGCGTACGGCATTATTCAACCAAAACACAATTACTTTACCCCGTTTAGCCGTGTTGTCCTTCCAAATACCGAAGACATATTTATGGACCGGAGCCTATGGGATCTGCTAAGCAAACGATAGGCATTTTAATCGACGATGTGTTTAGTCGGCAAAATGTTTGGTCGTCTAATTTCCCTTGTATATGTACACATATGTATGTGCATAAGATTTTTACGTGGAACGAATGATTTTCGTTTGTTTCGCTTTCGTTAATTCGAGATTATATTATATCATGAGCATCAGCAGCTATTAGGCGTAGAAATAAGTATCGGATGTATGCATTGAGGTCGATTTACGATCGAATTTCTTATTCTCATTTTTCTAATGTGGTTGGATTCGAAGAGACAGCTCGATTGTAATTGTTGACAAAACCGCTTACATACACGACAGAGTAAGTAAGTAATTGCTAAAGTTACTGTTTTAATGCTTTCGAAATTAATGTCAAACGAACTTTGCTAATGTTGCGGTTATTAAACTGGAAAATTTCATATATAAATTAAATAATCAAATGTTTATTCGGATGTTATTTCATAATTATCAAAGGAATACTTGTACAGTTATTCAGGAAATAAAAAAAGATAAACAGGATAATATTTTATAATACATAGAAATACTAAAGTTTATCGTATACATACATTAATAAATAGTAAACAAAAAGAAAAAAATTCTAAAAAGGTGACCATTCTTCAGACACTGAATAAATATCAATTTTACGGCAAAATCAAAGTGTATATATATATATATATATTTATATGTACATTATGCTTATGCATAAAAAAAAAAAAAACAATTAAATGAATTTTTGCGACCAAATTCTTAAATCTTTCCTACCACAATTTGTTTGTGTAACATTTTCTGTAAATTTACTTTTAAAGTTAGTGGATATCTACACGTAGTGCTTATCGCCATTCTCATAAGCTTGTAGCACCGACCGGGTGGTGATGGTGATGGTGGTGCATACCGCCATTTTGAAAATACATGTAATAGTTATAGGGTTGCTGTGAAGCGGCAGCTGCTGCGACTGCTACTTGAGTGGCAGCGACTTGATGCTGAGCTACCGCAGCTACCGGACTGGTGGCGGCTTCGCAATCAAGTAATTGTTGAGTTGAGGTGCTGCCAGTTGCACTGATCGGTGAGGGTGACATGGGAACTCCTACAGCGTTACCAACTTGGCAACTGGCTCGTAGAGCAACTGCTTGATGATGTGCCAAAATATCGCTAACCGTATGCGAAGATGGCCAACAAGCAGCCGCTGCTGCAGCAGCAGATCGAAATTGGTGCGCTTGTGAATTTCCAACTTGATGGGGTGGTGATGGACTGCCACATGCTACAGCCGATTTCATATTGTAAGCGCCATAAGGCTGATAATAGAGATGAGAATGATGAGCATGAGCCGCAGCAGCGACTGCTGCATGACTATGATGGGCGCTAGCTGCGGCCAAACCTGCTGCATGCGTCGCTGTATGGTGGTGATGATGATGAGCATGCGCATGAGCATGCGCATGCGTTTGCTGCAGAGAACTGTTTGAATTTGAAGCGGGCGAAACTACCACACCGCCGCTATTGTGATGATGATGATGGTGGTGACTAATTGCGCCCAGTTTATTGCGTAAAATTCGTGAAATGGAGCTAACGCTGGGTACGTTAGTTTTATCACAAATACCCTCGCTTAACAAACGATCACGTATTTCCCAGGCGAAAATGCCGGGATCGCGCTGTTTCAACTCCCGTATATAGTTCACTACTTTCGGTGTGGTTACACGCGGCTTTGAACCTCCTATGGCACCTGGCATAATTGAGCCGGTTTCGTGAAAGCGGGCCAAAATTTTTGATACGCAGCCATGACTGACCCGCAACTGACGACTAATGTCACAAGGTCGTATACCCAAGCGAGCCAAATCGACGATGCGCTCTCGTGTTTTAGTTGGCAGCGGCCGTCCATTAACAAACACCCCGCCCAACTGATTAACTTCCCCGTATTGAGGGTATTGGTTCTCTGCAAATAAGTAGAAGAATAAAAAAAAGAAGAATTTTATCGAAAGAAGAAGAAGAAAAAACAGTTACAGTTTCCAGTTCCGTGTTAGCTTGCAAATATATGTGTTCCATGTATTGTGTCCCTGCAAGAAATGTTTACAATTGCGCTCCCATATATAATTAACTAGTCTTTATTCATTTCAAATTATATAGTATTTCTGAAGTATTCCCATAAACAACGACCTGAGTCAATGTGTTTCCAATGTGCTTTTGCATATCAACGTCCATCTGTGTAAATATGAAAAACGTGCCTTTTTCCGAAAATCCATTCACACACAAAGATCATTGTCACCCTGGAATTACATCATTGATGGCTTACAGAACATAAAAAACAAACACATAAATTGAATAGAAATATTGAAATTAAAATCCCATTTGAATTGTGTGCAATCTCAAGTGCTTGTGCACTACGATGACTGGCCACTGAGTGAGTTGCCTGAATTGACTGCAACTGCTTAACAAGTGTTTAAGAAATGCGAACGTTATTAAACAGCAGCAGCGATACCCTACTCTGTGGAAGCTTTGGTTTTTGCAAACATTTTGGGGCATCGTTCAGTTTCGAGTTAATGTTTTACCAATAATGAGCTTTCGGCACAGTCTACGGTGAAAAGGGTTGATAGCTAGTACACGCAACCAACAAAATCGAAAAAAGAAAGAGTTAAGAAGAAACCAACCTCCTCGATGTACGACTGAAAGCAACTTTGAAGATATTAGGGGATAGTTGACGTTAATGTTTCTCTTTAAAATGACGACATAGTCCAGTCCTAACAGGCAACTCGTCGTGAAGAGTCCTTCTCTACCAAACATTCTTCCTAATCTAAACTTTAATATCGATCGACTTGAAATGCATTTCTAGATCGGTTGAAATGATGAAATATCTTTTGAAATCTGGTTTCTCTATTCAGAGAGGACATGGAATCTGTTTCAAAATGAATTCACATTTACAAGCGAGAAGATCTGCCTTAGACCTCTTGAGGACATTTAATTTCTTTGCGATGTAAACTTGTAGTCATGACCCAAATGTAGTGAATTTTGCGTAGTTTTAGAAATATGTTTGGAATTTCTTGTTTTTTTTTTTTATTTTAAAAAAGATGTTTTCTATACTGAAGAAGGAGAAGAATTCCAAGTAACGAAAAGTTAAATATGGTAAAATTTTTGTTCAATCGGTTTTTTAATCGCAAGGAAGACTCAGAACTTACTGTGATTCACAGTCGGCATCAATCTTCTTCTTCTTTACCTACGAAGGACAGTAGAAATTTTTCCAGTAGCTAACCAGAATAAGATGTCGTTCAATAATAATTATAATAGGATTGCCTTGAGTTTGACGCGAATCTGAGATAATTTATAGGAAATTTTTATTACGACTCTTTTAGGATTGAGAAGAGATGGTGGAGAAAAAATGACTAATGTTATATCCCTATGCACACAGCAAATAAATCTATCAAATATAAAGACTTTCCATATCAATTATGCCACGTCTTGAGTGTCTCCTTTGAAGCCATTCTTAAATTAAATTCAAGTCTTCAACTGATGGAAAATGCTTTCGATTTATTTCAGTTAAAGAGTTACAAACCTAATGACAAAGATATTATGCTTTACCTTTCGATAGATGCATGAATACACGTACACATAAACACATAATATATAGATTTTTAACTAGTACGTGCTTACAAGCGTATCGTGTAAATTTTTTTTTCATAAATGGAAAAATATTAGATCTCTTTACATGTTCTATAGGGAGGAGAAGTTACGAGGCTACTTTATGCATCCGAACCATCAAATCGGTAAGACTTGTAATAATACCATTAGAGAGTGCTGTAAAGGCGAAAAGCACGTGTAAAGTAGACCAGAGTATTGTTGTGAGCAGAATTCGCTTTGAGCGCTTTACACAGATGTTCAGTTTCAATTTGCAAACTTTATGGTGTTTAATGTTTTCTTCCTACTTTGTTTTTTGTTTTCATGTATTTTTTTTTAATTTTTTCTTTTCTATTTTAGTGGCATTAACATGAAAATCATAAAAAAAATTTCAGAAAAAAGAATTTTTAATCTTTTAAACAGAAACACTAATACTTATGAATATTACAATTGTTTATTTTACGATTATTCATCGATTACGAATACATGTAAGTATTCGCTCAGAGTAATGGAATACTTGTAGATTAAAAAAATTTTATTAAATATTATAATTACTTGTGTGTGTTTGTGTGTGCCCAATGAAAATGAATATTTATATTGTTTTTTTTATGTACGAATATGTGCAGCTGCATAAATATTTGGAAAATTTCTCAGTTAGAAATGTCTATAAAAACTTTTTAATAAAATGCCAGAGCGGGCCAATCTTTACATTAGCGATGCGCATCCTAGTAGATCGATCACATTTGGCAGCAATATTCAATTTATTGTCGAACAATGTAAATACATAACAGGTGTACATGGATGCAATCCAAGCAGAATGATAGAGAGGGTCACACACATTTGCATACTCGTTCGTCTCTCTTCAGGGAAATGTTCCGTACAAAAAATCCTTAAACCTATTGTTAAATGACAGTGTAATCACTTTTCCAATGCGTCAGAAGCCTCAGTAGGTAAAATTTAGCCCTGTCTGACTATTGCCTCTTCTTGAAATGGGGAAATCACGAGTCCACCTTAGTACTCCAAGCTATCCATAAAGTGGAAATACGTTAAGCATTACATGTAAGTGATATTGTCTACATTTTTATGTCTATATGCCATCGGTTTGCTCCAGATGCAGAGGATAATAAAGGGAAGGGAAACAGTAGGTGGAGGAGGCGGAGCAGAAGGAAAAGAAAGGAGAATCTATTAAATAAATCCATGGAGATCTATCCTAAAGGTATACCGTGAACACTATCGTGTTGAGCACCTTCCCTTTCCACATTTCCACATTTGCAAATATTTCGAGCTGTTCGACTTTTAGGATATTTTACACATACACAAATAGACGAGAAGAAGAATAATAAGCAAGAAGTGTGATTGAATTTGTATGAACTTGACTATGAAAACCATTGCCAGTCGGTTTAGGCAATCGCGTTCTAGTTGTTGGCCAAACCTGATTTTAGAATAAATTTTCATTCTTGATTTTTAAATATGCTAAACCTAAAAAAAAAAAGCAGTAATGTGTTAATATTTTTTTTTTTTTTTGCTTTCTTACTAACACAGTAAAAATTTGTCTATGTAGTCGTCTCACCCTCAGTATAAAAGCTTTGCATTCAAAGCAAGTCGTAAGTATTCTTCTTTTGAAACAACTTGAGAGCATTGATCATCAAACTGAAATGACTGCCAGTTCCAGTTTACATGTAATATTAAATCTTTCAATATTTGGCTGTTTATTAATTGTGGATACGTCCGGTTTCCCTAGCGAAAGGCAGGTAAATTTCCGGCATATAAAAAGCGTACAAATGGAGAAAATCTAAACAAATAGAAGACGAAAAAATCCAATTCCGTCTTTAAAGACTTATCACCCGATATTTGAAAAGTCTGAGCTAAGGCGAGAACGTTAGGGAAGGAACAGTGTTTTTTTGACAATATTTTCTGGACGAAGAGGAAGGAAAAATTGCAAATAAATATTAGAAAATGGCAACACCGAAGAGATCCATTTGGACGAGGCATTCTTGCTTTAAGATAACTTGCGGCGTGGAACGTAGCTGAATCTAAACGCGAACAATTAACTCATATATTTTGATCGCAACGAGATTTTAAACTTGTTGCTTTATGTGTGATATTGATTTTGGCGAGAGTATTAGCGTGAACAAGTTCAATATTCGAACGAAAGAACTGAACAGTTTTCGAGTTGCATTGCGTGTCGTTTTAGTTCGTCATATGACTGCGCAACTGCGGGAAAACAAATTTTGGGGTTATTTAAAACTTTGCTACGCTCACAATCGTTTCTGTATGTCATTCTTGATTGGTTAAGAATTCACGTCAATCAATAGAAAAGAGAAATTTTGTTTCTGGAAAATTCACAGTGGCATCTCTTCTTGTGGAAATTTTTATAGGAAATTAAAAAATTTCGTTTCGCAACGATTTCAATTTTACTGTGTTCAAAAACTAAGACCAATTTAATTTGATCTTTTTTAATTGCTCAAAAGTCATTCCCCTCACTTATGCTAACGTTTTTTCCAATTCTCGGTTTGCAACCCCATAGGCAAAAGAGTTGCCTTGGATTGTCTATTTTTGAACCGATGGGCGAAAACGCAACGTCGTCCACCAATATCGCTGAGCTGAATTTTTCAAGTATTTCTAGTTGAAGCAATCTTCGTACTGAGATTCCGTACTAATAATTCTTTACATTTTATAAATTCGGGGAAAAATTGGTCGATTGCTTAAGCAATGCGCATAAAATTTGCAGAAATGGTTTAGATTTGAAAGATTTTTTCTTGAAGTGGTGGGTACTTCAGACTCTATACAAGGCGAATGTGTTTCTCTCGTTTTTTGCAGCGTTCCTTAAACGAGTGGTTTGATTTTTTCACTTATTTATTTGACGATTCCGAGGAAACATCTGACAATGCGAAAACCGATGAGAAGTATTGTGAGTAATGAAAAAATTTAAATATTTCATCTGAAACCGTTTGTTCATTCTTTTGCTGCAGTAATTTGCCGCAATTGTGAGGTAATTGTCGCCGCTTCTGAAGACGTTGCCCATAAGGATGGGATTGTCATCTACAAGAATACAACAACTAAGCCTATGGAACTCGATACCACAGAAGCATTACAAGATCCGAAAAAGGAAGAAGGCGAGTAAAGCAAAGCACCACATTAACGTCGCGAATATACGCATCATTTCAGCTAAGGGGATCGTGTTGTTCAAAATTTGTATATTACTTTTATGTATATGTATTTTCTAGCTCAAGTCATAGCTTACAAAAAAATTTGTGTTTGACTGAATTTATTTACGGCTTTAAGGTCATTAAAGGCAAAAGTTACGATCGATAGCTACAAAAATTGAGAAGACAAAGAAACACAAAAGCAATAACTTCACACACTTCGTGTGAACAAATTGGAGTTTTTCTAAAAGAAAATTATTTTCTCAATGTTTTTCTTTCCCCTACGAACTCTTTATACAAATCGTACACTGATCGTAAGATTCGAGTAAGCGTTAGTGTTTTGCTTGAAAATAGATTCCATCCGAACTTAATTGTAACTAATCCATAAAGATACCAATTTCGGTTTCGAAGCAGACGTAAACCACCGAAAATAGCTACAAGGAGAAATAATCTTAAAAAGAGAGAACAACTTGGAAGTTGTTTTAGATATCTGTGGGAATTGTGAAGCGATTTTAGTCGAAAATCGCTGCAACTAATGCAAAAGAACGCAGAGAAAAACTCCCGGGGTCCTGATTACCCGATTCATTTTGCATTCTTGTATTCCTGCAGGGCATGAAATGCAGAAATTGATAGAAATTGATTGCACAGTATCCAAAAGTTTGGAATGAGTTTTATTGGGTTTGTTTTATCGGTTAATTTAAAATTGTTTCCCTTTCAGGAAAGAAGAGCGAACAGTCTTTTTTATTAATTTACGAAATATTGCGATGTGTTGGACTATTGTCATTGCGACTAATTGTGATTCTGTCACTCGTGAGGTTTGTTAAAATTGTACGCTTCTGTCTCTTTGGTGAACGGGTGAGAGGGGGGGGGGGGGGGTTGCAGAAAAAAATTGGACAATTTTTCTTTCCACTAAATAATTGTGTGTGTGGTGTGCGGCAATACAACTCCCATTGCTGTAATCGGGTGTAGCTCAATTCCCGAATAATTAACGATCCAAAGATTACAAATGTCAAATATTATGTCAACTTGGATTTACATGTCTACAAACTCAACAAATAAGTGGCGTTCCTCTTCTACGTGCTTACACACACACACACACACACACACGAGCATGTGTATCGCGACATTTGCAGCTACGAAATGTTGCTCTTGGTGAAGTGGTCTCTTTGTATGTGGCTGGCTGGGCTGTCACTAAAATATGTTTTAAATTTGTTCACAAACTGTTGTCGTCTGGCTTCTTTTAATTTACTGAATGAAAACCACCGTGCATTTGAGAATACATTTTTATATTTATTTATGAATGCTTCTAGCTATTAGAGCGACGGCAATATTTCGGTATTAGAGATGATTGCGCGAGAAATTTTCAAGAAATTATTTGTTTTAATACGAAATAAATTGCAATTGATTTGAAATCTTTGATCGCATAAATGTGGGACCAATTTAGGGAAATCGTAGCGAAAGCATGAAAATTATTTAATGAAATCTATCAGCGAAACCGGTATGTATCACTATCACTACCAGTAGTGTGTGTTAATGTATTAGCAAACATCAATAAACCCGTCTCTAGCCATTGTGAAGAGGTGCAGACAAAATAAATAAGTTTAAGAAATGCGTGTGGGCTTACACGTAAATATCTGTCGGAGAGCGCAGAACGTGATAAACTAATTTCGTTATCTAGTTTGTCCTCTCGTCCAGTTAAAGGCTTAAGGCCAATCAAGGACATGTTCTTAAAGTCACGCGGCATGGAAGTTAAATCTTACTCGAAACATCGCGAAAGAAACGGAAAATGTTACGGAAATGAGTTGTACTCGGACTCGCGCGGTATAAACATTTCAAATTCAAACTTTTTTATTAAATGTCTATAAAGGTTTTCACGAAATTCTTTATATGACTTCTACGTCCTAGAATAAACGAACTTTTAAATGCCTGATCAGTTCATTAACTCGCCCACAATCAGAAAAAAACACCTTTTCATAGGTTGAGCAAATACCTTCTTTCCGTATAGAACTAATTGCATCCTACATATGAAACATTTTTTAAAACTGATCACAACACGAGCTTATTTGCATATTCATTTAAGATCTAAGGTCCGTTGCTTGCTATCATGGTGATACTTCCTACCAATTAAGAAAAAAATATTTTTCTTCATACGCTAGCTATTATCCATTTGCGAGCAAAATATTGTTCGAATATAATTTTGGGTTAAAGTTTTCTCATTACGCCATACCATTGTGCCAGTAAAGAGCTCTTGGAGAACGAAAATTAGGTACAGCCGTTAACTGGATGCATGTAGCTGGGTATAAGTTTTGTTGATGAAAGATGTCTGTGCTTTAGAGCATGAGTGGCCGGGTCGCTAAAAATCGCGTCTCACCGCCAAGTTGCTTTAAATCTCAGCTCGGTATAGATTTTATTTCGTTAAAGCTATAGGGAATGCTTAGTCGATGAAGACATAATGCTTATCGGTTTCTCACTTCTTGGTCATTCGTCAAAGGTCATTCGTACAAAAGAAAAAAATAAAACACATTTTTATTACCGTCTTCTTATGAATATTACGTTGCGTTAGTTTTGTTTGATATTAACAAAGGAGTTTTCTGGTAAAACTTGGATGGTTCGACAATGCGTTAAATTATCGCGCTAAACATCCCACAGGCTTTTTCAAGGTCTTCAAGGTTTATAGAGAATTCTCAAGTTCAAGTATCATTAATCAGTTATTTCGCTCCGCTATGTAAGTTAAATTTCACAATAAAGTCGAATAAATATTTGTCAGATCAGTTTTCATATTGTAGCCGAAGAGTTCTTCTATCCAAACTCCCTATAATTCAAACCAGTTTAAGTTTGAATGCTGCCTTATAACTGTTATATATATGTTACGAATGCATGCATCTATTTAATATACTTCCATGCAGAGGTAAGAACTAATTGAAGGAAAATCTAATAAAATCCGCCGCAGCGCTAAACATGTACCTGTGAACAGTAGCTATAATTAAATAATTGACATTGATGTTGGGCATGTTCAAGTGTTAATTTAACCAGTTGGTAGACGGCGTTATAGACACACACATATATATATATATATATATGTATAAGCAAGAAATGTGAAGCAGTAAGTCAATGATAAATTAAGTGTTCTTTACCACCATTGTTGTTTATGTGTATGTATAAGTGCACTTATTAGTGGTGTAAACAAGCCACTGTGAAGTTTTTAAGTTGAGCACACACCATTACCATTACCAGTTGAAAAGCAAGTTGTAAACAAGTTATATTCACATTGCAGTGAATTTTGATCACCTACCATCGTCGAAGATGAGATCGACATTTTTCAATTCTTTTCACTACACAGCAATGTATCGATTGGTTTCCTTCTATTTTACACATACATTTACAATGAGAGCAATTTCAAATTTATTTCGTCAATTTTTTAAATTAAGGGCAAAAGTGAAAAACTTAACCTTTTCACTTTGCGTATCTTCTGCAATATTGCGAAAGTCATCTTAAGTCGACGATCGATATGCGTTTCCTCGCTTGCTGTTGCTGTTACAAGCAAAATGACGCTGTTAATATATCGTTCATCGTTAGCTGTTGTAAGAAGGCAGCATAAAAAATCCCTTTTCATTGTGTTTTGTTTAAACTTTAAACAAACACTATTGAAAGCCGCCGGTATTTCTTTATGTTTTCTCAAGAAGCATTTTGCCATTAATAGCTTCAAGGGTTTTTTGGCCTTTTACACTTGATTTTATGTTCTGTTTATTCTTGATCTTGCTAGATCCGAATATATTGTTTTTCAATTCTTTTATTTATTTATTATTTTTTTTTTTGCTTTTCTGTTTAAGGTTTATAAAATTTACTTAAGCTTAATGCAAATCAAATATTAATCCTGTGTTTGGCAAATAAACCTTGATGTATGCTGGTGTGATGTGTGTTGTGTGTTGTGTGTTGTGTGATACGCATGTACCCATATACGCATGCATGAGTATGTGCATAGAACACGCACTGGAAATCCGATATTTTAAATAAAAGTGTACATATATATATTTTTTTTAAATTTACTAAACGCTTAATTTTCATTAATATTTATAGAAAGTCGTAGATATTTTCTTCTAATTTGTAATCGCCAGCTTTGTTTGCCAAATGATTTGTTCCAATTCTTTTAAGGGATTTTTTATTAGGATGTGCTTGCTCTTCCAAAAGGCATACTTATGCATCCGGACATGACTATTTATTTAGTAATTTGAGTTGCTTGGACGAAAAAGGGAAAAGTATTATCCGGCATTTTTAACAGCCTTAATCGGAAATTCAAAGTCTATGAGGGCTCTTAGCACACACAGCCATAAATATAACGAACACAAATTTCTAAACTAATGGTAATATGACTACAAAGCATTCTGTGAAAGCTTTGTGGAAGATATGATCTCTCTTTCTCTCTCTTTCTCTCTCTCTCTCTCTCTCTAAGGGGCTTTAATTTATTTGGTTTCATCGTCTATTGCGAGTGCATATCCACCAGGACGGTCAAGTTTGTGGAGAACAAAATGGTAAGACGCAGCGCCTTTTAATCCCTCCGCACATGCCGTTCCGTTTTCAATGATTAGTGATTAGTAATAATCAATTGCTCGTATCATCTTTCAAAAACGGTAATTGCATCTCACTTCTTTCGCATCGATTATTTTCTTGCTAGGAAGTTTGTGGCTAAGCTCAGCTAGCCGACGGTTGAAAATTGCATCTTTAAAGTTTGACATATGGACTACACTTATCGGATAGTTTCGAGTCTTGCTTTCTGTTTTGGGAATGGAAAAGTGTTCGGATTTAAAAAAAAAATCGCAGTCTCTCGTACCAATATGTACGGCCCATCGATAACATTTTCTTTATAGTTCGACCGAGAGAATGTTTTTAAATTTTTTCTACGAACGCGTACGAACTTTATCTGTAAATGCATTTCCTAAAGCTTCATTCTTCAATGTAGTTTATAAGCGAACGCCTAATGCAGCCATTAAATCTAGTAGAACTTATGTAAATCTCATAGAGAAGATTGCCATTAAAAGGCTAATTAATATTGTCTTTAAAAAGCGAAATTATAAACTATAAA